GCCGCCGCCGTCACTTCGACATCTCCCGCGGCGACAATTCGGTCCCCCCGCGCAGTGGGACGTCGTCACGGCGATTTCCTCTGGAATCCTTTTCTCGTGCCCGCGAGCAATCAGCGCGGCCGGTCGCGCGCACCAAAGTGTGAGGATAATCTCTCTCCCGGTGGTGACGACGACGACGAACGTTGCTGGCGGGCCATTCGAGACGCTTTTCTTTCGCGCTGCGGCCGGACGCGAGAGAGTTTCTCTCTCCGAAACTCTCCGATTTCGATCCGATCGATTGATCGAGTTACACACAGTACAAACGTGGTAAACAAGTTCGCGTTTTTCTCCCCTGCCTCTCTCTCGCCCTCTCTGCGAAATTTCTTTTGTTCCGCGACGCGCCGGCGTCGTCCCCGTCGTCGTCGTCGTTGTGGTCTCGCTTTTGCATTAATCGCGGATCGAACTTTCGTTTTGTCCTGCTTTCCTTTTTTTCCCTTCGCTTTTCGAAGCAGGCGGCGACGACGCGCGTATCCACCTCCCTGCGTGACTCACTCACTCGCTCGCTCACTTTTTGATATTATAATTATACGGGGAACGTATGCGATTAAATCGTGCGCGCGCGATTCCTCCTTCTTGCGCGCATTCGTCGCATCACGCGGACTATGACGGTTATGTGCGCGCATCGGTGCACCCGCAGAATTCGCCTTCTGATTTAGGCTTCACGTCCGTTTCTTTTTCGGAGTCCGACTGTACCGGAGAGAGGGTGGTGGTGGCGGTGAGGGCGGTGGAGGGAACCCCGCGCGTCTAGTCTGGTTCTCCTTGCGAATCGCGCGCGCGCGCGCGTCTCCCGTTTTTCTCCATCTCCATCAAGCGGGTTAATTCCCGACACAATGATCGTAAAACATCATCCAAGGATAGAAAACAATAGTAAAACCCGCCGACGGCGGCGGAGTTGTCGGACGACAACACGGCGCGACTCTCGCGCTGCGCTTTGCACGGTATTCGCGGGGAATTCCTCCGCTCGCGTTCGGAATTCGCGTTCTCTCCCCTTCTCGTCGCCGCCGCCGCAGCGGGACGAAAGAGCTCCGGGTGTGCATCCGATACATGCGAATAATAGCGATGAATATATACGGTGTTGTCAAAACGAAATGAACGAAATTGATATGTTATCCGACAGATTTAAACGCCGTTTCGAAGGGGAAACACCACGCCGAGTGAAAAAGTTGCTAATCTCGTTCGAAACTGTCTTATACGGTGATTTCCACCAAACTCCGATTAATCTAATCGATGATCTAAGTTTACCGCCGGTCAAATCACCCTCAAAAAGCAAGTGGTCAAAAGGTCAAAGGGTCAAAAAGCAAGTGGTCTTGCTCCATCTCATCAATGCAGATAGAAATGATTGATTTTTAGATTTTTTCTTGGGCGACAAGTTTTGGAACGAAAAATTAATGTTAACAATTTTTATTATTATTCATCGATTAGTTTAATCTGGATTAGGTGAGAGTCACCCATAGTCTAATTAACCTCATAGTATCTCTAATTATAATTATCCGATTGTCACTCATAATATCTTTAACGTGATAATCATTTTCGGCTGTAGCTTTGTTTTATTGTTGTACCAAAATAGCGATTTTTTCCCAACAAAAGTAGCGGTATTATCGATCCTCCTCAATTTCGAGCGCGTATCGAAACACTCAGAACCCTTCAGTATACGGCAGAAAATCGGTGGAAAATGGCCGCTCCGTATCATTAGAATCGCAAAATCATACATCGTTGAAATCGCGAAGCAACGGTCACTCGACGACGTCGAGAGCAACGGGAGATCGGCGACGGGGTTCGCTCTTCTCCTCTTTCTTCCTCCTCCTGTCGGCGGGCGCGACAACCCTCTGCTCTCTCTCTCCGCGCACACGGCGGACCGCCGGCGCTTTTTTTCGCGAAAAGCGCCGGACGAGCGCGACCGGTCGCGCACCGTCGCTCACAGGGAACGCGCGAGTTCGCGACGACAACGAGGACGGTGAGGACGACCCGGGTATCTACGCGTCCCACCGGCGGCGGCGGGCACGAGAGCCCCCGGGGGTTCCCAGGGAGCCGTGATGCCACGATGGGATCAGGTTTTTCTCGCCGTCGCGACGCGCCGGCCTCTCCGCCTCCGGGGCTCGCGTTCCCGGCCGACAAAAACGAGCCACCCCGTGCCGAAAAAGTCGTTATGTAAATGCGCCGGCCTAGGCCGCGCCGACGTGCACCGCCGGTCACAGGTATACACACCGGCGTATACAGCGGGGTGAGAGCTGGTACACGACGCGCAACTCGATCGTCCTGTGACGATCGTCAGGTTCGAAGAGGCGGGGACGGGAAACGCGGGTGAAGAAAAAAAGAAGCGGATATTGAAAGCCCGGGTTTCCCCGTGACCGCCGACTCGAGGCGCGAGCTCCTCCTTCGCTTGATGAGTTGTGAAGACGACGCGTTCGGTGAAATTAATTTGGTAATTTGGTCGGATTAATTTGATTGTACGCGACAATGTAGCGGACAGTCGGAGTACTTCAGCGATTCTCTTCGGGAATGAAAGGGCTGGAAATTTAGGGATTGAGCGATTAAAGAAATCCCAGATGTGTGTGTGATAATAATTTTTAATATTTTCATCTAGGATATTCTTTGAAAAATTATAAAGCAAGAACGAGGTAAAAAAAAAGGGAAGCATCCTGTTAATTGTGAATATTTATGAAGCCGGTCAAGTCGCGCGACGTATTTCGCGCATCCTGAGAGTGCGCCTCTAAGCGCACTTGGCGCGCAATCCTCAATTTAGGTCGAGTAAATAAATGCGGGATGGAATTATTAATAAATTCAGTTAATGCGGCGTGAAGTTGATGAGACGAGCGGACGATTGCGCGTGGTTTTATTTTTTAACAAAAGCTCGATCGAAGTGTCGCCGCGCGGATGACAGGCTTCGGTAGGTGATCAACAACGTGTATATCACATACGCGCGGTATTAATAAGGTCATGAAAACGAGAATAAGATGTCAGCCACGGCGATTATAAATAAATTGCGAGCGACAATAATAATGAAAACGGGGCGGAAAGCGGAAATCGACGGTGGTGCAAAAATCGCTCCACGGAATCGTGGAAAACTTTGGTGATTCCACGTCGCAACTCGCGATGACCGAATCCGGTGGAGAAATCCCAGTGACTTTTCACGCGAAAACGGCGACTGGATTTCAAAATGGTTCGAACATACACATTTTTTCTTAATGCAGTTTGGAATGCAGCCGATTGGCCAATGAGAGAACTTATTTTTCGAAAACGAGTTCTAGTAATTTATTGCGTGGATCTTCGTTGACCTAAAGTGAATTCTTAGCGATTGAATACTCTCCGAGAGTCTGAAAACTGTGTTTCGTTTAAATAAACGCAATCCTAATATTGACCGGATGTCATGCGTCCGCGACGATCGCGCGTTCGACCTGTCGAGCGACGACGGGGAGTAGCGCACCGCTGACGCGCTCCTTTCTCTCCCTCCTCATCCGCTCTCCCTCTTCTATCGCCCCGCTGAGCCGCGATCCCGCTGACCCGCGCCACTCCGAGACACAGTGCTTTCACGTAGAGCGTTTTTTCGCGGGTCGCGCGGTTCGCGCCAGAAAAATCTCGCGGAACGAGTCGCCACCCCGCCATCGCCGTCCTCGTCGTCGTCATCGGCGGAGACTTATTCGCGGGCCCGAGAGGAGGCCGCGTGCACGAGCGTGAGACCGGGACCCGGGCTCGTAATAAGACCCGTCGGCCAGTTTTTTTCAACCCTCTCTCTCTCTCTCTCTCTCTCTCTCTCTCTGATTCTCCTTCTCGCTCCTTCTACCTCCGCTCTTTCTTCGGCCTTACCCTGTGCCCTCCTCTCTCTCTCTCTCTCTCTCCTGTCCGCCGACGTCGGCACACCGGTATTAATTTATACGCGGTACGTGTGTGCACGTCGCTTTTTCTCGCAGTTCCTCGAAATTTGCAAGAAACTAGTCGGACATTCAGGCGGCTGGCTCCTCGCCTGGATTCGCGCGATTGTCGTGCCGGCACGACGATGCCGATGGCCGTCTGGAGGGATGACGGTCATGTCCGTCGTGGGAGGGTGATACTAGAGAAGTTGCTATTAGCGACGATATCTTCGTCCAAGAGTATCCCAAATTCCTCTGCTTTAATTGCTAAATCCAGGCATGTGGAATACGTAAGTCGTGCTCGGGGAGAATTCCCATGATATTTGCTAACTGGTTATTCATTTCACGGCTCTTTGTACTCTCTTGAAATTTCTTGGAGGGAAATTTTACTCGGAAAGTAGAGCGGCAGCCGAGTCGAGCGACTTTTCACTCGCACAGAGCGAATTCTCCACTCTGAATCGTCAAGTGATCATTTTCCTCCAGAAACTGAAGAGAGATTCTGACATATCACTGAGAGAAATACTACTAAAATTGTAGCTATTTTCAGCCAACCATATCTTCCTCCGGTTTTAATTCAAAAAATAATTGTAACAATTTGCATATAAGGTTATTATCATGACAATATTATAATAACAGTTACTAAAAAAAATGATTCTCCTGACTATAAATCTTACAATTACAATTACAAATACTAAATATTTTTTTCATAGTGATTCCATCGTCAGCATTGTGGGAAATTTTACTGATTGAAACATTCACTCATATGGAGTCAGAATCCACTTTCAGCTTGAGCGAAACATTCGCTCCTGCGACTTCGAGTGGCAGTATTTTCACTATCGCCTCGAGCGAAAATACTGGCACTTTTCGCTTGTTTTGAGTGAGATTCAACTCCGAGAAATTCAGAAAGCATCCGACGGACTGGCTTCGCTACGTCGGTACTAATTATCGAGCGCGGACGAAGACAGAGACGGAGCTGCGCGATGAGCCAATTGTCACTGTTGCGACACGAAACGTCATTGTCGGTTGCTCGATGGAACGCCGAAGTCGCCGTTAATTGCGCGTGCCGGCATTTCCAAACAAACCTTACTAACGAACGCGCTTTGCAATTCGCAGTGGTGCAGACGTCCGTGCCGCAAAACGAGGCCGAGTTGCAACTGTACAGGGTGATGCAGCGCGCCTCATTGCTGGGGTACTACGACACACTTCTTGAAATGGGTAAGAGTGCGAAGATCGAGGACGTAGCTCACGTTGCGACTTTTAGACAGTACTTTGTCGGTATAATCTTGATATTTCGATTTTGCTCTGAAATACCGAGTTTCACCGTCGATGCGGCTGCGATATCGAATCTCTCCACCTTCTCCTATTTAACTAACGGGATTTCATTATTTCTTTTCCTCCTTTAATGACATTCCTTCAACTGTATTGTATTGCCATGTCAACAGGAGGCGACGACCTGCAGCAGTTGTGCGACGCCGGTGAGGAGGAGTTCCTAGAGATCATGGCACTGGTCGGCATGGCGAGCAAGCCGTTGCACGTCAGGAGGCTTCAGAAAGCCCTGCAAGAGTGGCTCACTAATCCTTGTAAAGTATCACCACCTGCGTGCTACGTCGTAACCCCTGAAAATCTCGGGTCGGTCGGCGCGTATCCTCCTCTTCCTCCTCTTCGAGAATCCTTCTTGAGATCCCGATCGGCCCCATCTCACCCGAAATTCGATCATTCGCGCGTCCCCCGAGAATCATACGATTATGTGTGAAGGAATTCTGTGTCTCACAGCGATGTTCCAAGCGCCGGTGGTGCCGACGAACGCCGCCGCCAAGAGTCCGGCCGCCACCGTGAGTTTCGCGTGCGCAAGTCCGCGGCCGCAGATGCAGAATCTGCCGGCGGGCTTCACCGCGACCTCGCAGACGTCGTTGACGCCGTACGTATCGACGCCCCACGTGCCGCTCACGCCGTTGCCCTGCCGAAGCTCCAGCCCGGTCGTGCCGGCGGTCACCAGCGTGTCAACACCGGCGCCCTCGACGACTTTCCGCCAGAGCCCGAGCCCGAACACACCCTTACCCTACACCACTTCGCACAGTCCCAGCGTGCTGCAGGTAATGGAAGCGAGACGATCAGTCAGGAAGAAACCGGCGAGATTACCTACGACGACCCCATTTCAGGTGGGGACGTGCGAGTCCTCGTGCGGTAGCGGCACGACGCCGAGCCCGAGCGGCGGAGGCGGCGGTGGCGCACCTGCGAGCCCGACACAACCGACGCCGGCCCTTCTGCAGACGCAGGTGCAGCGGCTCGCCGAAGCCGCGGAGAGGCTCGTCGCTACCATAAGGCCCATGGATCCCAAGCCGCACAATGCGAAGAAAAAATTCTGCAGGAACTTGGAGGTGAGTCGTTAATTTCAAAGCGAGACGTCGGCCGTCGGACGTGTCTGAAATACGGGGCAGACCTCGAGGACTGTGTGAGCGACCACCGCTTTTAATTGCGTTCCTTAATAGGAGGCAAAACGACACGCGTCACTTGTACGTCGTTAATTAATAATTGACGGAGATGAATTTGTGACCAGTCGCTCGATCGAAATACATTTCCTGCGGGATTCCTCCGGTCGTAAACTTCAGAATACTTGAGATGAAAACGATCTGTGGAAGCCTGCGAAGTTCCACCTAGCTGCCTTGCATCCAAATCCTTACGCTTGGGTCCCCGGCGAGACTATCGCCGCCAAATTGGAATTTTGCTCGCCCGATTCTCAGGCACAGTTCTTGAAACTTTCCTTCCGAGTGAGACATTCTAAAGCACAGCGAACTGCACTTGGGACGCATTACAGATGGTAATGACGATGTCCGACAGTGACCCGCGCAAAATGGACGAGATCCGGAAGTACGCGGCAATTTACGGCAGATTCGATTGCAAGAGGAAGCCGGAGAAGCCTCTCACGTTGCACGAGGTGTCCGTGAACGAAGCGGCAGCGCAGATCTGCAGATTTATGCCTGCCCTCCTCACCAGGAGAGACGAGCTGTTCCCGTTGGCGCGTCGTGTCGTTAGGGATTCCGGCTATCATTACTCCAGGAATCAATAGTAAGTACGCCGGCTTGGACATACGACGATATCGTTGCGATGTTACGCGCCACATGCAACGACGTTGTCGTTGTTACGCGTTACATTTTTCTCAGTAACGATTCGAAAACGGCGCTATTTCAGCGCAAGATATTTTCCCCGACAACTAACTGGATTCCACCGATTTGCATTTCAGCTTGTCGGTACCGCGAACGCGCGAAAACGGCGAGGAGACCGACGGTGAACGCTCGAAACGCCAGAAGCTCGAGCTGGAGGGTGAGGGTGAGGAAGCGACGCAGGTTAGATCGCCCCAGCCACAGAAATAGATCCGCTCATAAATCGCACTGATCTGGCCGCGCGCTCGCATGGTCGCTAATCACTAACTACACGCCCGCCATGCATTAACCACCTGCACTCGCGATCGTGAAAACTGCGCGAAAACAGAGAACGGACGGAAAAGGTCAAGTATAGTTGCTTGCAAATGCACGGTGTGTGCACGGCTTGACGAAAGTATTGCTCAAGAGTTGAGTCAAGATTCACGTTCGGTCCTCGCTGCTTGTCAATCCGCCTTGCGTCATTCTGTAAAATCACGAGGAACGATACTACGTCTTATTCACTCTATCCTGTAGATTCCAGATAATTTCGTTTGCTATTTCTACGAATGCAATTTAAAAATTAATATTTCCAATTGAAGACGAATCTTTCACGCTTTTCTCTTGCTCTTGCACGTGTTATTGCCGAATCGTTAATTCGCACATCGCGAATGAACACTGAATTGGCAGAGTATGAAGTTAGAACAAGCATGAGAGTTTCTGTAGAAAGTAGATATGGAGTTTTTTCTCCCAAAAATTGCATGTTTTCCGACACAGCGATGGAAACGTTCTTTCGATCGTTCCACTGTTGACTTGTTCGATACGACTTGCTCGGACTCTACGCTTCGCGCCTGGTATCCCAAGTCGTGTTTGATTTTATCAAACTGTTTGTATGTTCATTTGAATCTGCTGCTCCGTTAACTAACTCTCTTTCTCTTCTTCCTTTCTCCCACGCGCATCCGGTTTGCCATTTTTACTCTCTGTAGCAGTTCACCGTTTCAGGAGGAATTGGACCTCCGCTGTTCCGGCACGGACATTAATAATTCCATCACGAGAAGACACAGATCATCCAGGTGATTATTCTCATCCACCGAAACTAAATTTTCAATTACGAAGATTTAATAGCTACCGTTCAAGATTTATTCGACGATATTATACAGTTAACGGGTGATAAAATTAATTTAGAGATACATCAGTTTATTGATTTCTTGATTTGTTTATTCTCTCTCTCTCTCTCTCAACGGGAAAGGAAATCCTATGTTTAATATTGGAAAAAAAAACGTATTATATCATATATATATATATATATATATATATATGTACGTGTGTGTGTATAAATATAAACATATATACAAAAATTAATATTAATATTATATTATAATCAGTTTATGACATATATTTATATTAGTGCATTATTATTATCGTACCGGATGAGTGCATATTGATGTTCAAATAAGCTCAATGTTTCAGTCCAGTCTGGAGGAAGAAGAGTAACAACGGCATGTTTAGCGCCAGCGTGGAAGAGATCAGCGACTCGGACAGCCAGTTTTCGTTCTCCAACGAGGAGTCTTCGTCTATGCACGTAAGCTATAAATCTAAAACAATCTATCACGCGTCGTTTGTATTTTCACATCGGAGGACGAGCGGCTCATCGGGCTCGTGTCTGTTTTAGGATACGAACGAGGCGGAGGCCGATAACACCGACAAGGAAGGTGATTTCAATCTAAAGGTGAGCATCGAGCGAATCTGTATACGTTCTTCGTTACATCTTTAATTTTATATCATTTTCATCGTCGTTTCTTAGACACATTAGAACCGTTTGTAAAAAAAAAGTACTGAACTTGCGTATCGAGCAGGTTTTTCATCCGGACAAACAACGCAGTCCCCGGTGTTTTCTTTCCTTTTTTATCGCCGTTGAATAATGCATGATCTCCGCGAAGAAACTCGTAAAGTCACGAACCTGTACACGCTCGTTTGCGACATAATAGGAAAAATAGTGATGACGAAGACAGCAGATATTTACCAATGGCACTTAACGGCGGGTGAATGATTGCGTTGCGCAGGTAATAGCCTCGCGTGGAGACAACATAATCGCCGTAGCGAATCCCGCGCTAATGGAATGCAGTCATCCTATCAAGGAGGAACCGGCGGACGAAAAACCTACACTGTGATATTATTGCTTAGCGTTTACCGCCACCATTGACGTTACGTCGACGTGAAGGTGCGCCCCTTTCGTCGTCGTCGTCGTTATCGCGATCGTTTGAACAAAACATCCTTATCTTTTAGTACCGAGCACAAGAACACGCGCGGCAGCGGCTGAGAATAAGCGGACGAGACTTATTCGTTAGGATCGTTATAAAGTTTTGAGGAGTGGATCTCGCTCTCTCACCTTTTGTTCGTGCCAGAAATATTTGCGTCTAGAGAGAGAGAGAGAGAGAGAGAGAGAGAGAGAGAGACATACCAGACGCTGCCTGTTATCTAGTTCTAGAGATACGGATCGAGATACAACCACACGATATTGTTTAGCGATTACGAGCATTTTTAGGAAACAATAGAGAATAAAAGCACATCGTTTAAATCAAAAAGGATCGTCGACTGAAGTACGTATAGTATTACAAAGTGTATATCGTAAACCGATGTAAATACAAGAGTCTTTTTATGCGTCATCGTGTACGGCTTTGATTTTACATACATCTCATTTGAATTGTAAAAATATTACTTCCTATGTTTGCATATTTAATTGTGCACATCTTGCATATAAAAGATGAAACGATCACCTCCCTTAATCACAAGAAACATTCAGGAAAAATTCAGCGAGTTATAACTTGTAACGAGTGTAAAAATATAATAATGATGGTGGACACTAATTAACAGTAACATAACATCAACGTCATAATTCAACGTTATAACATCAATATTCGCCCTCAATAATATAAATATAAGATAACGTGTGTGTTATCTAACGCTTACGTTGAGTGGAAAATTATAACGTTGATGTTACTGATGGTTAGTGTTTACTAGTAAGATGATCCTAAAAATATCTTACAGCTCAAAGTCTTCAATTTTTAGCTCTCGGATATAAAGTAAAATTTTATACGAAAAGATATACGAGTATAAAACTAAATCTGATCGAATGTAAAAACAAATTGTATTAAAATTGATTGAATTATACTTCGTAAACTAAAAATCACACGCAAATGGTGTTTACTATCATTTGAAAGTGTGGACTTTTCCCTTTAATTTGCGAACGCGACCAATGGCTGCGTTCAGCGGAACAAAGGAATTAGTAAATAGTTAGTGATTTAATTTTTATTTTTAGGTTACTAGATATACTAGAAATTAGCCAATCAGAACGTAGCTTTTCTAGTATATTATTAGACCTATTAAGGAAACAGGGATCTTCTGACACGAGCTTTTAAGTTCGTATCAACCTATGGATTAGGATTGAGATTGAATTAAAATTTGACGAATCAGAACAAAGTAGACTAAATTTGAATTAAACTTGCTCTGATTGCTCATATTTCAATCTAATCTCAATCCTAGTGTGATATGGGCCTTAGATCCTTAAATTTAGATCAATTACGTTAACGGATTATCAACTCAATCGTTTTATGAACGCAAATGATATTACAATCTGACCATGAAATAAGGTTGGTATTTCGTGCGTCGTACGATGTACATTGTTGGGTATGCTGTGGTCGTTGAATGTAGAATTTCAAGGGTCCCTAAATTTTTTCTAGACACACTGGAAATTCTCTATCTGACCGCCAATCGGTACATCCGACGAACTCGACGTACGACGTATCCAGCCTAATACATCTGATTAGTGTATATTTTGAAATCTAAAAGTATATGCTAATCAGATACAAAGACAGTGTAGTACTAAATGTTTGCGTTCCAAAAACATAACGGTTGTGCAACGGTTGAGTAATTTCTCAACGTAATTGATCTAAAGGTAGGGATCTAATAGTAAAGACCAATAATCAACGGCCACGTTCAGCAGAACGTTTAATTTGCAACTGTTGGAAGTTTTCCGAGCTGAGATGGGATTATTCTTTTAGATGTACAGAAATAATCCAATGTCAGCACAGGAAACTTCCAACAGTTGCAAACTAAACGTTCTGCTGAACCCGGCCTTTGACTCGCTCACTGAACGCTTGTGCTTTTTGAACGCAACAAATGTACGAGGTCTGGCTATTAAATAACGAGACTGCTTATGAAAGAGTTTTATTTTAAAAATTATTCTACAATCGAATGCTCCCCTTCAATGTACTCCCCTCCCCTCGCCACACACCGTTCCATTCGTTTTTTCCATTGGTCAAAGCAATGCTGGAAGTCTTCTTTTGTAAGTGTATTTAGGAGCTCCGCCGATTTTCGCTTCACCTCTTCCATCGACTCGAACCGGGTTCCTTTTAAGACAGACTTGATCTTTGGAAACAGGAAAAAGTCACAGGGTGCTAAATCAGGCGAGTACGGCGCGTGTTCGAGCACTGGAGTGCCTCTAGCGGCTAAATAACGCTTCACAGACAGCGCGTTATGGGCAAGTGCATTGTCCTGGTGCAAGATCCACGACTTGTTTTTCCACAACTCCGGCCGTTTCTTACGAACTCGCTCTCGCAGTGTTGCCAAAACTTTCAAATAGTAAGTTTGGTTTACAGTTTGACTCTCTGGAACCCATTCAGTCATCACGATGCCGTTGATGTCGAAAAAAACGATTAGCATGGCTTTAAATTTTGATTTCGACATCTTTTCGTTCTTGGGGATGCAGGAGTTTTCCAGTGCATGGATTGCCGCTTAGTTTCAACATCGTATTGGAATATCCAGGTTTCATCGCAAGTGATGATGTTTTCCATCAATTCAGACTCTTCATCTAACCTCTCAAGAAAATCTGAGCAGATCTGACGGACAAACTTTTGGTCAGGGGTCAAATTTTTTGGGACCAACTTCGCACAGACTTTCTTCATGTTCAATTCGTCATGTAAAATTTTTCTGACAGTTTCTTTATCGGCATTTACAGTCTCAGCAATCATCCTAATGCTCATACGACGATCTCCGCGCACAATTTCATTGATTTTGGTCACTGTTTGCGGAGTTTAAACAGAGACAGGTCGACCTGGACGTTAGTCATCTTCGGTGTTCTCTCAGCCTTCAGAAAACCGTTTATACCATTCGAAAACACGCGCACGAGATAGAGAATTCTCACCATAGGCCTCTTTCAACAAGTTATAGCACTCAGTCGGAGTTTTTTTTAATTTAACGAGAAATTTCATATTGATCTGTTGCTCGTGTTTTTCGTCACACATTGTTATCGGCACGAGAAAAAAACACGTTCGTTTCTAACCTCTATAGAAAAAATACTACTACAGCGACAAAAACGAGTTTTCGTACTGGAATAGTAGACACTTCCACCTATCTAACACTGCATTCGTTTCCCCCCCCTTCCCTCTAGGACGACTTCTGCGCGCGCAGTCTCGTTATTTAATAGCCAGATCTCGTATTTGTCGTTTTAGAAAGCAAAATAACTGATGGTGATGGAGACGAGCCTTAAGGTCGTCTCAGCCATGATTGAGAAACAGAAACAGTATTAGAGAGTAGCAGAGAATCAACGTAAAACCGCGCTTTTCGACGGCTTCCATGGCGGCTGTGTAACCTGATATCATGATGACTTGTGCAACCAAAAATTACAATTTGTGATGAACAAACGTTCTAATCACTAGACGGATTCGCATTCAACGCAATATCAGATCGAGATTCAGTGAGAATTATCATAGCAGATGCGATCGTCGAGTGATATCTCGGCGGATAGATAACGTATGTCCATATTTATACCTATTTCGGCATATTAATGAAAGTGGGACATCGTAGTTCCTACGGGCAGTATCTCTTGCGGTGCATTGTTGTCAATATCCAGATTGGTTGAAGCAACAAAATAAATCCCAGTCTCTTGTGAATTTCACACTATTCGGAGGTCAGCTGTAAGTTTTGAACGAAAGTACTCGAAATGTTGCACAAAGCAGTAGCAGTAAATGGTATACAACAAAAATTACAGAATATATAATGTTACGTTGTCGACAAGATATTCGTTGAAGTAACGGTATATTTGCGTGCCAGCTGAATGATTCATCTTCCAAACTTAACCTAAATTTCGTTTGAACAAGTGAGTGAGATAAGCGATAAAAAATTATTTATATTTAATTGCAAGACCTGTAATTCATTATAAATATTTCAGCAATGGATAGCTCGGACGAGGAATTGTTTGAGGTAATGCCAAGCACTAGCACTTCGTTAATGAATATTGCAAGCGATGCAACAAGTTCCAAGATTAAAATCAGAAACTTATCAGTATGTCTTACACGTATAGAGGTAAGTCCTCCGATAAATGAACCAACAATTAACCGACCTAAGCTTAAGAAAAATCGTCAACGGTGGAGACACGGAACATTATATAGAAAGAAGAAACAACTTAAAACTAAAAAATCTCAGAAATCTTCAAGTCATGAAGCATCCAAAGAGATTGAATCAACAGTTGAGTCTGTGCCATCACAAAATAATATAGACAGTCACATATTTATGAATAAACAAGATGAAGAAAGCAAGAGGAAATTGAGTAGTGATCTTCAGCAGAACAACCATGATGATGAACAGACATGTAATATGTCTTCGGCGTCGGCAAGTGAGGCACTGGATATTCAGGATTCATCCTTTAATGATTTATATGCATCAGCGCGTACTTTGCCATACGATTGGACCAGAAAGAAGATTTCGGATAAGAATGAACAGGATGTAATAACAAATGTTAATTTTCTGCCATCATCTAATATAGGGCAGAATAATATAAAGCAAGTTTCGTGCAGTTATGAAACCAATGATCCGTCTGAATGCACTTCGGGTCAGGATGAAGCAAAGTCTAAGAAGAAATCTATCTTGTCTAGAAGAATTTCTACCGGTTATGATAAAACATTGGATGACCTTCTCTTCAGGATAGACTCTTTCCGAGAAAAATTGGCCATGTGTAAGCCGATGAGGAAAAGGGGCCTATCTAGCGACAAATCTTCTGACGATATGCCTATTCAACCGAAGAAAAGGAAGAGATATATGATTTTGTCGGATGATGACGAAGACACACCTGCAAATGAGGATACGCAATTGATTAATCATGATGGTCCAAGTTGTTCTCGCTCGTCTCATGAAACGGCGGGTCAAGAAAATGCGAGTCAAGAAAAATTGATAAACATATGTCGCAAAATGCAAGTCTCTCTAACGAAACTGGAAGATTCGAACGATGCGGACGTCTCCAGATGGTTCCAAAGCAAAAGTCATTACTTGCTGTCGCGAAGCAGTTCGCCGATAAACGAAATGGAAGAATTGTGGTCGAACGTAGTAGCCCTCGACAATGAGGAAGCATCGACAAACGCGAATTCATCGGATATTGATTGTCCCGTAACATCACAACATCATGCGGCCGGCAATGTATACGGAGAACGTCGGGAGAGCCGGTTGCTTCTGATGGATGACAGTGACTCCTCGACAGCGGAAAACACTCGCGAAGCTTTACCGGTCCTTTTGCCGAGATCGTCTAACGCCCGTGCCAAGAAATACGATCCGGATAAACTGGACATTGCGTTGAAATCCTGCTTGAATTTATGGAAGAACAGACTGTTCAGGAAGCCTAGGGTTCTGTTGCTAAGATTGGAGATACTATGCAGTCCACCCGAAGATGGTGTATATTCAGCGAACGAGATCGAACGTTTAACACGCAATTACATACAATTCGTGACTAGCACCGGCTCCGTGTCTCGCAGATCGTCGTTGTACAAATTAACGAGCTCAAGAAGACAAGAGAATTTGGACAAAGGAAGAAGTATCGCTGACAGCGAAGTGAACAATGTAAACGCTACCGCATCCTCATCTACGATATGGTGTGTTCAGGACACGTCCCTTGATGATAGTCATCAAATGTCAGAGAAATGTCCATCGAAAGGTATGACTCTCAATCTTGTCTCTTCTGCTCATGGTAGTGTAGAAGCAATCGCGTAATTTTGTTGAAGGATGATTTCGAACGAAGAATTCAGTACTTTTGTGTATTAATACACAGGGTGTGATTCGGAATAACCACTTGTTCTTCAAAAAATTATATTCCTTACTGGATTCTGAAACGACTTTCCTTCTTCCAAAATTTTGTCCAGAGCTTGGTTTTTGATTTATAGAAAGAATAGTTGTACATAACGACGTAGCTTACCGTCAAACACAGGCGCTTATGTAAGACGCTTGTAATCATTTCCAAGTTAAACAAAATTACCTTATTTGAAGTATGTGAATAAGAGTGTGAGTAAGAGACAAAGAGAGAGAGAGAGAGAGAGGACGCATTTGTATATGTGTGTATGTGTAGCGATCAACTGTTCACACACAGATTTCCCACGTAAGTTCTCGCGTCTAACGGTGATTTCGGCCTTGCTTACTTCCTGTATCGGATCCGTAAGTATTTCTACTATTTACTATTTCTTTTTATAATTTATAAACTAAGCTTCGGACAAAGTTTTGGAAGACAAAAAGTCGGCTCACAAAACCTGTGTCAGGAACGTGTGTTTTGAAGGACAAGTAGTTCTGAATTACCCTGTATATAAAAGTATATAAAGGTAATAAAAATAATAGTGATAAGAGTTACTAGAAGTAACGAAAACAACATTTATCATGTATTGAGATACATGCGAATATTTTGTATTCGATTCTTATATTTTTTCTTTACTTCAATTTTCTAATTTGCTTTCAAATTATTATAGCAATTAGTGGTAATTAATTACATAAGGTGTTTTCTATCTAAAGTTCTAATTTTTTTTTTTTTACAGGTAATCAAACATCGGCAGATGAGAGCCATGCCGTTAGTGGAAACATACCGTTTGTGAATCCCTTGAAGCTTACCCTGAAGAAAAAATTCAGTTCGACTAACGAGGATATTTCCTCATCGAGTAGGCTAAAAATTTGGCAGAAATCATTCTGTTCGCAGAAAAGGCCGGAGAAAGCAGATGCCGGTAGCCAAACCACTTCGGCGCAATCGAAACCACCATCCGCTACGTCGAACTCTGCGACGAGCTCGACAGATATAGAACGTGAGGGAGCAACTGTTTCCAATATATTGGATCCCACATTTGAGTCTTCCAACAATGATAACTCATCGGTCGCAATCTCCATAGAGTCCGTCCTACCGAAGAATCCATCACCCATCGCGAATTCTTGTCGCAGCATTGAGGAAACCGTACGTAAGAATCTATTTATTCAATCCAAAGATAGCATTGCCACCAAAAGCTCCAGCGACAAGGACATTACACCGGAGAACATGTTGAATTCCTCACCCATATCTCGTAAGGAAATATCAGAAACGGATTCAGAACTCCCGATGTCGTCTGAGAAGACAAGGATCGATAAAATGAGATCACCAACGAAGTCACCAACAAAGTCACCAACAAAGTCACCAACGAAGTCACCAACAAAGTCACCAACGAAGTCACCAACAAAGCCACCAACAAAGTCACTGATGAAGTCATCGACGAAGTCATCGACAAAGTCATCAGCAAAGTTACTAACGAAGTCGCTGATGGATTTATCGACGGAATTACTGAAATTGCCGACGACGTCGTCCAACCGCTCCTCGTCTCGTACAGTCTCGTCGAGCGAGAGGAAATATTATAAAAAGTACGTCTGCGTCGTATGCAAGTCATCTTACAGTGATTATCGTATGATGCGACAGCACATACAGATCGGTAACTGTACGAAGAATCTGTTTACAACCTTGAGCCAACACTATGTGAAGAAATACGCTAAATCCAATCCCCAAGGATCTGAGCGGTCCTCTTCCGACAACGACTCGCTCTTGTCGACGACGAACCGAAGGATCGTCAGCAAGCAGCTGTTGACGCCGCAGCCGAAATCCAATAGCGATAGAAACAAGCTGTACACCAAATCGAAGTCCATAGATCTGGGCAAGTACGGCGGAAACCACATCAACATACGCACCTTGCAGAAGAAGATAGAGGCGACGCGCTGCCCGTCGAACAAGGATCAGCAGTCCATGCGCGCGGATCCGCCGAGGAAGAACGACGCGGCGTCTCCTTCGCGTCTCGAGGAGTTGGCACCCTCGCAACTCGAATCGACGCAGCCGGCCGTTGTCTGCGAGTGTCACCGGGACGAGACGGTCTACGGTGACTGCGTTCAGATCGAGGTGGTGTTGCTGTGCACCGTTTGCCAGACGTTGTTCCGGCGCAACGATTGCTTCGAGGCGCACCTCAAGCGCCCGGAGAACGCGGCCTGCGCTAAGAATAATCGCAGGCGTGACGCGCCCGCACGGGCGTCCAGGTTGTTCTGCGGCTACTGCCGGATAATGTTCACCTCCCTGCAAAAGACGATGCGCCACTTGACGACCCACGCGCGGCTGGATCGCGACGGCAGGGTGAACTTCCGCTGCAACATCTGCAGGGTGATCTTCTACGGATTCGGGATACTGTTCATGTCGCACGTGCGCATCCACGCCAGCAAGCCGTGCTACTTCGCCAGCCGGCTGTCGTTCCCGCTACCTTCCAACGTCGGCCCACGGCTCGTCGAGCTGTCCAGCAAAGAGATCTACCTGTTGGTGGCGGACCAGGTGTGTCGGAAGTGCAAGACTCCCTTCACCACGGAGCTGGCCTTGAAGTCGCACTCAGCTATCTGCCGTGGCGACGCCCTCAGGTCATCGAAGGAAAATAAGAGAACGTCCTCCCCCAGATGCAAGACAAGGACGCCGGTGTTGCTGATATGCGGATTCTGCAACGAGAAGTTCAGCAACGAGGGCCTCTTTAACCTGCACTCGTTGGAGCACCAGCAGAATCAGGAGTCCCACTACGTCGTCGTGAACGTCACCGCCGGTAGCAAGGCCTATATTTGCAAGGTGTGCGCGACAGTGTGCAGGTCGTTGCAGAGGTTCGAGGATCACTGGTTAGTACACAGGACTCTGCGCGAGGACTACGCGTGCGGCTGCTGCGACGAGCACTTTGACAATATCGACCTGTTTCAAGAACACGCCGCCACGCGGCACGCAAGCAACGATGAGAATCAGCAGAGGCCGGTCTACTGTAGGATTAATTATCGGGATGCCCGTGAGGATCACAACTTCAAGACGAATCTGCTCGCCGTGATGGGCAGCGACGATATACCTTGCATGAAATTGAGCCGCTTCGACAAGAAAGAGTCCGCCGTGTTCACCGTTTCCCGCGACTCGGACGACTCGGCGGAGGGGCGAACCTTGCCGCCGTCGGCAGTCGAGGAAACGGTGCCCTGTGCCGAGACCGCCTCGCAGGAGCAAGTTGTTACCGCGCAAGGGAGCGCCGAGACCGTCGCGGAGGATCGGCTGAGGAACGACGCCAAGAACGTCGAGAGTGCGAAGGACCTCGTGGAGATCGACATGACGCTTATGATAGAAGAGTTGTCGGAGAACGAGAACGGTTCGACGTCGCGGGAAGTCGGGAAGGAGAGCGACGGCACGTCGTCCGATAAATGTGAGGACGCGCAGAGGAACGTCATCGTGTACGGCGGGGAACGACAGCTCGGCGAACCAGCAAGGGACGACTCCGCTTCTACGGGGAATTCCGGCGATGCGAGCGGGGATTCTGGATCCGGCGGTAACCAGCACACTCCTCACGCCAATTCGTTGTTACGCGCGGTGCGTAAACCCACGAAGGCGGAACCGAGCGAGCAACCCGCCGACGACAAGAACGCCAACGCCGAGAACTCAACGGACGCGACTGGCCGCGTCACAGCTCAGTCCACTTCCACGAAAGTATTACCTGCGAACGTCATGACCTCCGTGCCCGCCAAGTTCCTGCGCGTCAAGTCTCTGGTAGAGCTTAACACGCTTTCCAGCAAGAAGTCTCCGATCGTCTATAAATGTGGCTCGTCCGGCTGCGACCAGTCGTTCAAAAGCCCGCAGGAACTGTCGAAACATACGTTGGCGCAGCACCGCAATCCCGAGCCGCAGTTACCTGTGCAGCAGCAAGGACAGCCCTCGTCGTCCAACGTGCCGCTTGCGTGGCCGATAAAGCCGACGTTCAATCCTTCGATGTACGTGCCCATGTTGAACTTGCAACCGGTGACCAATAATAATCGTCCGAAATTGCCGAATGTGACCAACGACGTGTCGCTGCCGATCTGTACGAGCGCTCCACCATCAAGTTCCACCACGTCCAAGACGTACCAGGTGGTCGGAATAAAGACACTGCACACGATCAGATTCCCGGCAACGACGAACCAGACCAAGACCCAACAGCAGCAGCAGCAGCAACAGCAGCAGCGGCGGAATCAGCTGCTTCAACAGCTGTGGCATCAGCAACGGCAGCAGCATCAGCTGCAGCAGCAACTGCAACAACAGCTGCAACCGCAGCAGCAAGTTCAACCGCAGCAGCAGCAAGTTCAACCGCAGCAGCAGCAACTTCAGCCGCAGCAGCGGCAACTTCAGCCGCAGCAGCGACAACTTCAGCCGCAGCAGCGGCAACTTCAGCCGCAGCAGCAGCAACTTCAGCCGCAGCAGCAGCCGCAGCAACTGCTGCAACCGCAGCAGGTGCTGCAGCAGCGGCAGCTACAGCTGCAACAGCACCAGCTGCAGCAGAAGCAGCAACAATACGGCATCGTGTTGTCGCAGAACACCACTGCGACATCTTCGGCCGCTACTTTCACTCAGCAGACGGCGCAGAAACCGACGGCGTTCCATCGAAACCTTCCGGCTCGAGTCGCTACGCCGATACTAACCGGCCGGTTGACTCAGCCTTTACAGCAGAGCGGTAGTACGGTAGCGGTGATGCCGATGGTGCAGAACACCTACATGCAGCAGCAGAAGGTACCGACTTACGTCGTCCTCAATCAGCAACCGTCGCAGCAATCGATTTTCCCGCCCATTACCACCGCGAGCATCCAGCAGCAACAACTGTCGCAGCAACAACAACAGCAACAGCAGCAACAATCGCAGCCGCCGAATATCGGCGGTGCGATAATGTGCGACACTTTCGTGCCCGTGCAGCAGTCCACCAACGGCGAGAACAACAACGTGCCTTATCGACTGATGCATACCCACACGATCATGAACAACCCGACGGGGCACGTGGCGACGACGACATCCGGGGCTAATATCGCGATGCAGGGCATGTACATGATGCAAGTAGCGAAGAATCCCGACCGCTACGCCTGCCTCTACTGTGAGGGTTTCGTGTGCAACAGCAAGCAGGAATTCATGCTGCACGAGCGCTCGCCGAAGCACGAGGCTCGCATCAATTGGACGTAACATTCGGCCGGCGTCACGAAGAAGACCAGGACGGTGACTGTCGTCAAATTTGCGATTCAGGAGAGAAAGTGATGGATAAGATCAATCGACGACCGACGGGAATAGACAATATCGATGTTCAACGCTGTAGACACCGCGTGTGTCCATCGTGTGTGCTTTGAGGTAAAGTCAGACTGGTCGAACGAGTCTCTCAGCATGCCGTCTTGCAAGCCGTGTAAAAAATCTTGATTGAATTGGCAAATGGTTGCGTGCGATATTGGTGGACGAGCTCTGTAAAAGCGGCCTTCGATTCGCCATTCGACAGCCAATGACGTCGAGTGTCCTGGCACCGTCACCACAGAACCCGTCCGCTGTATCATATATTGGCCCGCATCGATCGTGTGCCAGTTTTCTTCAATTAATTACTCGAGATTTTCCCCGTGGTTTGCAAATTGCTAGAGGACTATTTCGTTCAGCTTGTCTCTGCTGATCTACAAGCGCACGACAGATATCGCATCAGACACCCTACATAAACAAGACTCTCACGGTTGTGCAGATGAAGCAGAACCGACCGCGAAATATTGCCGGTACGAACTTTTAGCTGTAAAACCGGTCGTTTTCAACGATCGCCAAAATATCGCATAAATCTCGACCAGTTTCAACAGTATTTTTCTATCCGTTCGGTTCTTTTAGTACCACAGAAGTGATGCTCGTGAGTACTTCCGATGCTTTTTAATGAGATATTTTCGACTGCGATCTGTTAGATTACCCGGAATTTGGTGAAAGTTAACCTGAGTATCGATAACGCGATCAGTGAAGTCATTCGACAAGTATTTTCCAGTCGAATTAACGATACGGTGATGTTCATTATATGCGTATTCCTACGTCCTTATTCCGTTAAAAAAGAGATCCTGATTTCGAATGTCGGGAGTGATCGAGACAAGTTTTCGTGAGCTTCCAGTCCGCATGTGGCACACGTGCTTGAGTTCACGATGATCCTTCGCATCGACGTTCTCGTTCGAATTAGGTATTCCGAATTAGAAATTGACGAATTAAGAATTACTGCGTTCAGCAAAAGTCAACTCTCGACGATTATCGTTCCTGAATCTTACATTCTTCGCTTCGTTTACTTGTAGGTTTTCGCAACAGTATATTTCAATGCCAAACGATAATCGCTGAGCGTTGACTTTTCTGCCAAACGCCAAAATGAATAATTTTCGATCTTCTGCCGTCATACTCGTCTCGTTAAGATATAGATGCTGTCCTATTTTTTATACGAGTAATTATCTGTCTTTTCAATGAAATACTCTTACACCCTTACTCCGTTCGTACTCTTGCTTCGTGGATATTCTCTGTCGCGGCATTGATTTCGTTACATACGATATCATGAAGCCTGGACATTTATCATTCGGAACCAGCGAACTTCCTTCACGCAGAGATATCGTACTATGTTTGTCTATCTAATTCCTCGCACCGATGATCCTAAAAAAACCGAATAAATGAGGTCGTGAGACCAAATATAAACATTACATTGCAATTTAATCGGGATGGTGTGATGGTCTTTTATTTTCCTCTATTTATTAGAGTTTAGTCATGCGATTAATATTGTTATGATTATACTGTTACAATTACAATTTTACGAGGTCTGTTTATACCGCTAATAGTAAAATAAATAATAGAAATTACATTTATACAGAGGTAATTTTAGTCATTTTATAAATTATAAAAAAAAAGTTACAGTACAGCAACCCGGTAGTGATCGAAGTGCTATTCCACAGATACGAAAGTTAGATTTTTGCATTTTTATGTTTGAGCATAGTAAACTGCACTTACGAGCGATAATTTATTAACAATTGTATTCAAACGGAAGCGTTGATAAAATCGACACAGAGAATAGGATGTAACGATCACTATTAAAGTTCATAATAATATAATTTTCAAAGTTATTTAAGACAGCCTCGTATTATTTTAGGAGGTATAAAAATAAAACCACACGTTATCGATAGTTATTATTTGTATATATTATAATATTATCTCATTCAATAATATTTATAGCCTTTTTAATTACGTAAGTGATTTTGGATAAACACTTAATAATTTACGGAAATATCTTCCAGTTTTAATTTATAAGTGAATTTAGCTTCAGTAACTGTGTGTTGGTTACAAATTGTTAGAATATTTAATATGGTTAACTAGAAAGTGAACCGAATCTTCATGATTATTAAATGCATATTATTACACTCGGAACGTTTGAATCGAAAATCTAGTAACGATTCCATATATTATCTCTCTTTTTAACGATAAGTGGTCGGTATAATCTAATCTTAAGACGATCTTAATCCTGAAAGTTTTCATTTTCTGGTTTTTTATGAACTATTCAATTTATTACCACAATAGAAACCCAAGAGCAGCACGAAGTGGTTGGCTAACAATTGCCCAACGTTTGGCCAATGTTGGGCAATGATTAGCCAGCCAATACGTGCTGCTCGGGAAATCGGTTATCTTATTGGGTCAGGCTGAAAATAATAATAATCATATGGATCTTTCTCCTGACGATAGAAGAATAGAAATGTAGTATAACATAAAACGTGTAAGTGGAGATAAAGGAAAGAAAACGTGTGTAAGCCTCGTAATAAATTTAATATGTTATTACCAGGATTAGATATAACATCAGATTGCGTGCATACCGCCTTTTATGAAGTTATTATATGCAGTTATTATACGGAACATATATGTATATACACAGGGCTTATATATACATATATATATATATATATATATATATATTGTATTGCGTTATAAACAATATAGGTATGATGCGATTTATATAGTTTGCATATTCTTTTTGTTTTTAAGGACATTCCTGTAAGTACGTAGATAAGTCGATTTTGCGTCGATGGATGCAGCACAATGCAGGTCAAGCACATGTCTTCTTACAGTCAGAGTTATTGTAGAATAAAAGTTATCGATCCCGACTACTATCGTATTATTCAACGATGTTTTCACGATATGTAATTGTTATACAAACCAGCTGTACTTTTCTCTCCAAGACTGAAACCGTAATAGTATAAACGAGTCTCGCGATTCACAAGTCGAGTTCCGAAACGAGCTCAACTCTCAAGTTTTCGCGTAGAAAAATCACGCTCTCACGATGTCCGTTACGATTATCGCCCTCGATATATTTTGATGCCCTCTTTGACAAAGCTTATCGAAGTCACGTAGCTTTGTATCTTCTTCTTTGTTGCAACTCGCATAAACGGAAATATCGAAAATGTGTCGTGTGAACTTTGATCGGAACTCTCGCGAAGAGGTTTCCGAGATATATACCCTTTGAATATCTTGGAGTGAAACCTCATTGAAAACCAATGAAAATTATCTCGAGGCTTTGATAAAAATATCGTCATTTGGAATCGCAAGAACCTCATTCAAACTTTGAATGAATTTTCATTCCATGCGAGGAAATATTTTAATCAAGTTAATGTTTGTTCCAATGATAGTGTGATACATCACCGATCGATTCGCCAATTTCGAGTGAAAATATTCATTCAAATCGACTTAAAGAGGATGATGTGTATGAATGAAAAGTCACTCGCGATTGGACAGACTTCCCTTACAAAAACAGCATTATTAGCTGTGATAAATTCCTGTTACTCAGTAATTTTATTACTCGTGCGAGTAATAAAACTATCGAGCAACAGTGATTTGTTACAGCCAGTGATACTTTTTTTTTGTAAGGATTAGCTCTGATCAATTCATTTTCCGAGTGAAGTCACACTTCAAGAAATTTAAAAAGCCAAGCTATTAAGGAGTTATGAAGGATGTCTGTGGATATAGTGTAAAATAAACTTACGTCTTCGAAATAAATAATTATTCTTTCGAATGCGCGTTCGTGTCTGCTTTATTCGGCACTTTGAGCGACGTTATCGTTTTCTTACAGCGATCCCTTACCCCTAATCATTGCAATCGTGGTACAGATACTAGTAATAACACTAGACTGGAGACTAATTAATGCGAGCGACTTACATGACGAAAATATCTAAGAACGAGTCTCGGACGTTAAACGCTTCTCCCTTTTCTCTCTCTCTCTCCTCTCTTGACCTTTTTGTTTTACTATCGTAATGAACGATTATTCTTACGTTAAGGCAAGCTTACGTGGCTAAAACTCGTACGTCGGCCGTCCGTTTACCGTCGAACAGATTCAGAAGATCGATCGTGCGCTACATTCGTTTTCTCAGAGAACATTCACGTGAGATCGACCCGATCGAATTATTCTCCTCGCGTCGAAAAAGAATCTATAAATTGTTTGGGACAAATTCGCCCGAGCGTTTCGATCCCGCCGCGGAAATTAGAATTGCGCGATCGGTCCTCAGCGTGTGTAAATCGAGGATCGAAGTCGATGAAAGGTTGATGGATTCAATCTCGATGATACTAATTAGCGTGGGACAGTGATTGATTGCAGCGATAAAACGGCAAGACTGTTTCGGTACAATACGAATACGTTCATCTGCATAATTAATCATTCATTAATTTGTCGAATCAGCCGTGAAGAGTCGAACATGGCAATTATCTGACTGATAATTGACGATTCAATCATGACTGGTTATCTGACCGTTGATTAATTATTCATTCATCTCGGCTATGTCTTAATAGTCTGTTTGATAGTCACAGATCACACTGATTGCTAACTTGATCGATTCAATTTTATTTTGCAACCGTCACGTTTTCTTTCCCTTTGTTTTCTTTGGTTTTTGCAAATACTATATATATGTGTAAACAGTCTGACAGCTTGTTATTTAAAAAATTTTGTAACGCGCGCCAAAGAAGGTCCAACTATTTAGAACTGAAATATTCGCAATCTTGATGATTTTAAGCATTTTCCAATTGTCGCACCAAGTAAGACATCAGCGCTTTCTCTATTTTGAGACCCTTTATTTTTACATATATGGTTTTTCCTTTCTTCCTTTTCATCAAGAATAAACAAGTGAAAGGATATGATTTCTCGACACTGAGACTCGAGTCCATCTCGTTTGCGCTGCTTTCAATCCTCGAGAAACGAATCTCATCCCTTCGATATAAACTGTCGACGCGGTGGACACGCCGACGACTTGTTCTCTTTATATCCTACGCTTTGGCACATAATTCACGTTGCACAATATCGATTGCGTCTTTATCCGAAAACGAATACTTGTCTCGTACTACTTATCAATTACAATACGGTGTGTATAATACGTGATACAGGTATAAACGCGTACATTATAAAGGGTGTCTTTTTTTTTTCTTTTTTTTTTACAAAAGCTCCGATGGTCGCGTGAAATCGAGGAGAATAACGACGACGTAATGTAAACGCAGTATAACTATATCGAATTTATACAGGCATTATACAGATATGACGATAACGAGATGTCGCAACGCGAAACGAACGATGAGAAAGCGAGAAGCGACAATTCGAAATGAGTAATGATAAAAACTAGCGTCGAAAATTAACGTCGGTCTCACGAACGGTCGCAGGTTCTTGTCGCAACACGAACAACACGAACGTTTCTATTTTCGTTCGCATGCTGGAGATGCTCCGGGAAATACGGGCAGATCTCGCGATCATCGGATCAAGTTGAGTAGCGATTAATCTACCTTAAAGAATTAAGTACGACTACGAGGGGCCGAAGCGGCCCTTCACGAGGATTCCCCTCCCACGGGCGTGATCAAATCACCCGTGTGTGTAAATTTAATAATACTGCTGCAGGTATTCGATGTTCACCCCTCACCGCGTCTGCTATCTTACATTGTCTTACAAAAGTACGTACAAGAGGGCCTAAAGAACGATTCGTCGATTATGAAGTCTCACTCAATTTTAAGTACCGCTACGATTCGTCTCCGCGTTTAATCGCTAAGAGCCGAGTGTTCTCATTTACAGTGGAAGGGTGTATAAATTAACGGCCGTATAAGAATGATATTTACAGGCGATGCGAGAACGTTGCTTTTGCATTCGTTGTTTAGAAAAAAAAAAACAGACCTACCTCGAGGTTCATTCGTTCTTTGCGACCCGAACCGTCCCGCTAGTTATTATGCTTAATACTTTAATATTCATCCTCAAAACTCGGAAGAATAATTGTAGTAATAAATGAAGATTCTGATGTTATAAGAAGAACCAAGTATTTCTCGCAGCTAGAGAAGGTAGGAGAAAGAGAGAAATTCTTCGCGAAACCTTTGCGATCTCTTCCCGACGTTAAGAGTTCCCAAGTGTCGACGTCGAAGCGTTCACCTCTAAATATCATTCGTATTCAGTCTTCTTAGATACGGTATTGAGCCGAGGGGGGAACGAGCTGCATCCCCGTTAAATATAACATCGATTAACCGTGTGAGCTTCGCGCGTTCACATAACTAATTGTACAGTAACACTACGGAGCTAACGAGATATATCGCGTCGGTGGAAAAATATCGTACTTTCTTGTTGTGACATATCGTAAATTTGCACGTGACATTCTTTGGACGTTCCGTTACCAACGATTTGAGCACCGCTCCTCTGCTCGACGGAGCTTGCAGCGTTGCCCGTTTCTCGACCTCGCTCGCTTACCCAGCTTGTGTATTTCTTCTTTTCTTCTCTTCTTCTTATTTTTCTTCTTCTTATTTTTCTTCTTTTTCTTCTTTTCCCTCTTCTTTAATTAGATTAGAGGAACAGTAAGCGTGTACATTGCTCTCTTACAAGTTATCAGAAGTTATTATTAAATTATTATTTTATCGCTAGTAATTAACTGGGATTTTTACGGAAAATGCGCGCCGTAAAACTTTCTCTCTGTTTCTCGTGTACGTGTGTATGTATATCTATATGCGTACTCGAATAAAATGTGTATGTGTGTGTTAGTGTACAAAAACATTGAGTATCGCCTAATGCTTATATTAACAGATCAGCCGAGTCTCTCTCAATTTTTCATCAAACGAGACTGTTTCCTCCGGCCGTTGTCCTACCGACTTAAGTGGAATGTTGCGAAGGTGGAGATCTTTTCCTGCGATTTGTACAAAATTGATTATATCGCCTACTACGAACTATTGGTTCCGTATATATTTGTCAGTCTGAAGATTGGTAAGTAGTGGGTAAGTACTTCTAAGGGGATACAAATCTATCTAGTCTCGCATCTCAATATACAAGATAGTTGACCGATGAAGCGACTTTTTATGGAGGTGGAAGTGAACGAGATAATTATTCGCATAAAAGAGGAAAGGAAAGCTTCACCTTTAAGTACTCACTTACATTTTACAACTGTACACGCGCAAACTCTGCGGAAACGTGAATGTGAATAAAAATTGACAGAAAGGAACTTTTTTACCTCGTGAGAAAAACAAGAATTCGTATAATGCGTCGCGAAATGCAAACCTCCACGTTCAATCGTGGCAAAATCCAATGATCTTCGTGAAGGCAAACCAACGGGATCCGCCGAGTAACAAACGTGAAATCAAGGTGTGTGTAATTAACAGGTGACGATGGGGCGGGTTTTACGATTGTCCTTGTTACTCGTATTCTCCGAGTGTGTCGTGCGCCTTTTACGGCAGGTTGGTATTGGATGTTTGTCATACTCGTTGAATATCGTCGAAAACGACGCAACGCGACTTCGGTGTGAAAGGTCGTACCGCTCCCTAAATTTCCAGGAGTGAAATCTCACTGAACGATTCAATCGGCTTCCTTCATGTTCGCTTGAAAACGAATGGAAAATTCACTCGAGACGACAGTGGAAATCGGGACGCCCCGCGCCGGGAATCGCAAGGGCGAATGTTTCATTCAAACTTAGAACGGATTTTTCATTCTTACCAGTGAACTCAATCGGATAGAGCGAATTTATTGCTGCCAGACGGTGGGATTCCAATTGGAGAATTTACTCCGTGTGAACGAATAGTCGCTTAAATTCCAGAGGAAAGTTTTACTCCGAGAAACTTCGAGAGGGAGTACGCACGGACAAAAAAACGACTCTATTAGTGCAACTGAATTTCCCGTTTTCACCGAACTTCCATCCGGTCTCTCCAGTTCAGTTACAGAAACCGAGACTGTTTTTTCCCTGTGAATACCGCACCGACTCTGACATACCGACGTTCGACTTTTTCGCGTCTCCCAGGAGGGGAACGAGCGATACTCGCCGACGCTTCCATCCTCTTAGAATCTGCTGACGGCTTCGTCATCGGCGACGAAATAGTTGGAGCTCTTCGCGGCCGAGTTATACATGCCGTACGTGGGGCTGCACACTACCATGCTGCTCGTGTTCCCGAGCTCGCTCTCGGTCGTCACCGACGAATGCCTGCCGATGCTGGACAGCCGCCTGTCCTTCTTCGCCAACGTCATGCGACAGTCCTCCGGCCTCAGTGGCATTGACGGATACGTCGGCTGCCTGGCGAGCGTCGTCAGCGCTCGGTCACCCGTGTCATTGAAGCTGCGCAAACGTTTGAGAGCATGATCGGAGAGAGCGTTCGAATGGTCGCACCTTCTACACCGATGGTTCGGATCGAGGCGAGCGCCTTCTGCCGTATCTCGAATTTCCGCAAATATTACATAATTTGCTTCCAGCTGGCATTCGCATCTCTCTCCATGTGCTTTTCGCTCCGCCGCTAACAACTACACTCGGCTTAATTTTGTTCAACGTGTTTTCTTTACAGGTAGGACATTGTAAACAGCTTTTATGCCTTGCTCTGGTTAATTTTATCTCCCACCATTGTGTTTAAAACTGATATGATGTCTAATAAATTACTATCGTTATTATGATTATTCTCATAGATACCTGTGATGTCGCACGATGCCCCTCTTTATCCTGCAATGCTCGTTCCCGCTTTGTCCTTCCGTCGCAGTTCCGTGGGTCTTGCACGCCTCAATCCCCATCGACGGCACGGGGGAGAGAGAACCGGGCCCGTACGAGCCGCTGCTCTGCCTTCTGTCCAGAATGTGGACCAGTTCCACCGACGGGGTCGGCGAGAACGTGCCCTGAGGACACGCGACACAAAACGCCGCCAATAATAACAATAACGCGCGCGCCCGACGAACGCGATCTTAGTTTATTCAGGCATCACACGTGCGTCTATATCTGCACTATGCTCGATCTACAAGCGCGACCGGTTGAAAGTAAAATCATACGGGAAGGGAAAGATGCATAGGGGAGGCATATTGGGATTTACTCGGACATGCCGGGACCCGAGGGGTTCGGAATCTCGCAAAACTCTCCGAGGACCCCCTCCGTCCGATACCGACTTTATTGACAGACGTTCTCACGGAGAACCGTCGAAATCAACCAAACGTACACACATACATACTACGTGAAACGAGTACATCGATAACTTAGTCGACAAAAGAACTGAAAGAAGTGTGGGTATAGTCGATAGGAGGAAGATCGCAAACTCGCTTTCCTCCTTGATAAGGCTCTGAACGCGCCCGACATCCGACCAGACATTATCAAATTCTCTCGATGGATACGAGCGCGTCGCGAACAAGCGAGGAGAAAGCTTGCGCCCTCCCCCGCCACTGACCGTATAAAACTAAGAATACGAAACAAAATGCGTCCCGATCGCAGACGGCGGATCGCCGAGCTTCACAAAGACGAGGACACGTCGTCGAGGTCGTCCCTCACCTGCAGCGACGGCCTCCTCAGCGTGCCGCCCTCCATGCCGACCAGCTTCACTCCCTTCACGCTCTTCTTCGGGCCGACGCTGGCGGGCGCGTTCTCCTGGGTGCTCGCGTTCAGATTGAACTCCATGTTGCTCCGGTCGACGATGCTGATCGTCCGGTCGTTGTCGCGTAGCTTCTCGCTGCTCGGTCCGAGCTCGCAGCCCACCTTGGCGTAGGACGGCGCGCACGGGGTGATCGGCGGCGTCGCCAGCACGCCGATCGACCTCGTTGGCGAGAGCACTTGGCCGAGGGGGGTGCGCAAGTTCCTCACCCCGAGGATCTGAGCCCGGCACGCGTCACCTGCAACCGACGTGTAGTGGTTCGACACCGTGGGGGTCGTCGGGGGTCGTTGTCGCGCCGGCGTCATCACGTTCCGCAGGTTCTGCAGATTCTGGTTCACCACTCTTTGCGCGATCGTGTTGACGACGCCTTTCGCCCTGGAAGATTCGGCGAGATCGCCGCCGCCGGCTGGGTCGACGTCGCCGCTGTCGCCCGCGTCGTCGTGGCTGCAGGTCCTGTCGTCGTCGTAGCCGCCGATACCGTCGCACGAATCTATACCCGACGTCGATTTCTGCAAGTGACGGCGTGAGTACATCAGATATCTTCGGATCTCTTCGATTTATATGGAATGAATCATTTAATACGTCGTTTGAAAATCGTCCAAAATACGTGCATTGAACGAAACGATGTTTCGGACAAAAGTTGTTTGGTTTCGAAGGTACGTTGGAGACGTAACCTTGAATTACACTTTGCGTTCTTTAAGTTTTATATGGAATCGTATAGTTTTGTTTAACACGATTCTTCTGTTTCACTTTCGCTTTTCGACAAGACTACCTTAACATTTTTGTACGTAGAATGGACAGGTGGATTTGAATATTCGTAAGTTTCGAGTACACGTTTACCGAGGACGAATCCATCAGGGCGGCTCCGGAGCTACTTTGCACGACGCCCGATGGCTCCTTGGACTTGCTGGGTGAGTAAACGCTCAGCACGTCGCAACATTCCGGAAAGTAACCCTTGCCGAGGAGGGTCCTGGTGAGGAAGCTGGTGCACAGCTGGGTGAAGAGAGCGGTTATCATGGCGGCGGTGCGAAAAGGAAACTTCTGGGTGTGCGTCCTCGCATCGTAGAACGGGTACTCGATCAATGCGGGTATACCGAGTCCCCGTTCGCCTCCTGCAAGCGAGTACGCTTAAGATACGAATCGGGCTTCTAAATGAATATCTCGCATGCACAACTTTTGAGTGTTTTATAAATATCTTTTGGGCCTTTTGGCCCTTCGCGTTGGCACACTTATATTTAGCACAACTGGAGGATCTTAATTTTTCGCCTCGGATCTGCAATTATCTGATACATAAGTGCCAGATTAAGATTAATCATAACTTTTGGTAATACGGGCTTTGGACACATTCTCTCCCTCTGTTCTCTCCTTGTATGTAATTTCACAGAGAATTTTGCGCTAATACTGACCAGCGAGACGCAGGGTGATAGCGATGAAATATCCCGCCAGGCAGCCGTAGGTGTCTACCATAGAAGGCCAATGAACGACGGCTAACAGTTGCGGAAACAGAACGACGTAGACGAGATCGGAGCACAAATACCTTCGGACAAACACAATGTGCCCCCTTCACTATTGATCGCGATAACCGTACGCGTCTGTGTTCTCGATGATGCCCAGGAGGCATGCGAGGATTAAACAGTGGCGAGTTGAATACACACAACGAGTTTACTTACGAGAGGTAATATACACTGCTGACGGTGAGAGCGACGAGAGTGGACAGTATGGAGACCATGATTACAGAAATTCGCAGGACCCAATTCAACTCCCGCTCGGACGCCTGTTGAGAGACGAAAAGAGAGAGATCCTTTAATGACGTTCATCGTTGGTCAAAGAGCGACGGTCACGTTTACCTTCGGCCGTATCGTGAGCTTGTATACGTTCCTGGTGAACATGGAACTGCTGGCGAGTATGCTAGAGTCCGCCGACGACATCACCGCCGCTGAGATCGCGCCGAGACCTTGGAAATAATAGCGAAGCGTTGAGTACGAGTATTCTTTTTCTTTCTTTCATCGGGAAGCAAAAATGAGATTACGATAGAGAATAGGTTTCGTCGGTCGACTATTTATGAAAATGAAACATATCCGAATTCATGGGCGTAGTGGCACGATGTGGGGGAATTTGTGTAAAGATAAATTTTTACTCCCTTCGCCCCGATTGAAATCTCGGCTACGCCTATGCCCATATCCCACGACAAATTGCCCTTTTTTCTATCGGATGATAATCGAGCTCACCGACGAAGGACACCCATTGAGGCGTGAGGTACCGCAAGACCATGGGCAACGCGGCGTTCCCGTCATCCGTGGAGAAGGTCTTGTTGTAACTTGAGATTAAGGACCAATCGGTGGCGCGAGCGACTACCCCGATCAAGGCCGACGGTATCGCTAGGATCATGCAGCCGAACATGGAAGCTATCGACAGAGTTGTCGCCACGGTGGTGCTTCTGATACTGAGGATTCGTTGAAAGTAACCCTGAAGGGAGAGAGAAATTGTGAATTTTTGCCTATAAGCGGTTTTACGGGCAATCAATATCCCTTCGATTTTTCACCTTCTTCCCGTCAATAAATACAACGATAATGCATAAGAAAAAAATTTAACGCAAGATATAGATTTCGATCACTGATTGGGTATATGAAGTCAGATTTGTAAAATGATTTGTTGAAATAATTGAAAAAAATTGAAAAAAATACGGAATGACATGTTATAAGAATTATTCGGGTAAATGATTTTAAATGTGTCGCTGTAAAATAAATTGTTTTAAATTATTCGAACAACAAACGGCATCTCAAACAAATCAGCAACAAAATTGAAAGGATTGAAAACATGGCAAAAAAAAAGAAAAGAAAAACCGTCCGCGTGAAAATCGGTACCTGCTCCTCGCTCCGGCAGTTATTTCCTATCTCGGATAATCTGTCAAATTTTCACTAGACGCACGAAGTAAATCCGCGACTCCGCGCTCTCGATCTCCCGAGTGAAATAAATCAGGATTCCGCGTGCCAGTGTTGCCGGAACAACAAATCTTTAGACGTCCTACGTCCACTAGGTATCGCGCTGAAAAATTGAATCATACCTGCCAAGGTATACCGCCGAACACGAGCAGCAGCATGCCGTCCACCCACATGCCCAGATCCTCGTTCCTTATCTGTCCCAGCCAGTCCCTCAGGGCCAGATTCTTCTCGAACGACACAGCGGGATGCAGCATGGAGAACGGCGCCGCGATCGCCAACCCGAGCAGAATGCACAGCAGTTGCAGGGCGTCGGTGCACGCAACGGAATACAGGCCGCCGAAGACCGTGTATCTGGAAACAACATCACCCGCTTGGTGACGCCGCTTCGACCGTCGTCGTATTCACGGAATTGAATTCGGCAAGCGAATGTCAATCGTCATCGCGCTTACATGGCAGCTAAGAGCGCCGAAGCGCAAACGCTGATATTTGGGTCGACACCGGCGACGACGGCCAGCGAGCTCCCCAGGGCCCGCAAAACGGCGCCGCACCAGAACAGATCGCCGCACAGCGCCGGAAGGAAGAGCAAGCCGCCGACACCTGCGCCGTATCGTTCTTGAAAAGGATCCAGCATCGTCACGTACTCGGCCTTCCTCATAGGACGCACGAAGAGCATGGCGCCTGTACGCGTTTTTCATTCATTCAAATGAGAAAGTATCCCGTATATAGTATCTCAATTTGTGACAATCACATGTTTTTCTTAATTTGTGACAATCATCTGTTTTTCTTAATAAATCAAGTAATCAATATAAATTCAATCAAATCAAGATTAAAAGTCTCCTAAAAAGATTATGATATTCTCGATTATATGTATATGAGAATATCTATTTTCGATTGAAGACTAATTTCTTTTCCGTGCGGGAAAGCTGGGATATCATCGTTGAAAACGCTTTTTGCTAGAAATTACATTTTAATTTAGCACTTGTAGAGCAAGAGGCTAAAGGCTTTCTACATCTATTGTGAATCCGAAACTTAAGCACAATGTCCTTAGAGATATCGCGCGCGTCTACGTGGGACACAACGATCGGCTACTCGATCACGTACGTACCGAAAAGCAGGCTGAGGCTGTATCCGATAGGTACTTGACACCAGGCCAGGCCCTTGGTGAACATTGCCTCGGCGGTGCCGTTGACGAAGGCTCCTCCGACCCACGTTGCTTTGCATGGAAGCACACACACACACACACGTATACGTACACAATTCGCGAAACGCGACCTCAATTTTAAAGGGGAGCCTAAAAGGGGGGGACTGTGATAACGCGTCGTTAGGACGCTCATCGCGTAATGCGTATGCAGGCTAGAAGCAAGTGTGAGCTTTGAATCGGAATATCTAGGGTTCGTCGAAATCCTGGATCGTCTAGCGGATTAATGGCAAAGCGAGTACCTCGCCGGCCACCTCTTTCTGTCCCGTTCGTATTATGAGAGACGTGAGAGGGAAACGGGGGAAGATCAGCGGACGAATAAAGGAGAAAGGGCGGAAATGGAGGAGACACTTGACGCCACGTTTTTCCGCAATTGTACCGGCCGGAGTGTGTTCATTACGATAATGGAGGCACGCCAGAAGTCGCGAAGTGATATTCAACGAGCGCCTGAGAGGGGAGGAAAAGAGGAAAACCCGAAAGTACGAGATAAGAGATCAAGATTTAATAAAAATTCATAAATGTTATGCGAATATAATTTAAACGTTTATACTAAACCTTATATTCATAAGTCCAATAGTTTGAACAAGAAAAAAAGTCAGAGTTCGCGTAAAAATGAAAGCGTAAGGCGCGTGAGTAGTCGACAAATCAGGGGGGAGCATCGATCGGGATCCATTCTCACGCTAAATTGCGAATTTCTTCTCCACGGACAGGCGGTTAAAAATAAAAGAGCCAGAAAGGCGGGCAAGAAGCGCGCGATTCCAGTTTTAAATAAGACGACCAATGAGAAAGCGGCCGGGGGGCGAGCTAGCTTCTTCCCCACGGCGTTACTCTCCGCGGCGAAATGCAACGGCGCCTGACACGTGTCGATATCGAGGAGAAAATAAACTGGAGCCGCGCGCGCGCGCGCTGCTTTCTTGCGCGACCGAGCAATTTCGTAAAATCTGATGATGGAAGATTCGACGGAGAACACATCGGGGAAAAGGCGGCCCGCAATACGCTCGTCGGGATGGATTATCGGCTCCACGGTGAGTTCAATGCCTGCAGGAAGACGCCCGGTGTTACATCGCGGATACAAATTGGTAACACCGTTAAAACACGCGATAAAAATAAACGCAATGCGAAAGCGTGTCGGCTCGACTGAAAAAAACCGCGCGTATACGGATATATGGGAAAAGGAAGGAAGGAGGGAAAGGAGTTCATGCAAATACAAATCTCTCGGGATCAAGCTGTTTCTCCCCAGTTACGCTAGACTAAAGAGAAAAAAGCCCTGAAGAGAGTTACTCTCACGAAGTTAACATTTTCACCGCGTACGTATCGAGATTCTTTTACTTCGCTTAAGGGATTCTCGTCTGGACGATGAATTTTCAGGCGAACCTTGACATTTTCTCTTCGTTTAATGATATTTATGCATCAACTGATCTGTACAGATAATAAGGATAAAGTATATAAATGTTTAAATATATGCGTACATATGTATTTCGGGTATTAGTATAAGTTATGAATTTTACATCATTATATTTTCAAAACAAAATATTCAATAATTCTGAAATTTGTGCAGGATGTCTGCATATTAGTCCCTAACATCATAATAGTTTCTTATCAAAGCCTTATTTTTAGTTTAAAAGATACTAAAAATGGAAATTAATAAAATGGCACTCAAACGACACGTGCGAAAAGTGTCAACTTTACTTGCAAATATCTCAATTCTCGAATGGTCTGTCTTCTTCTAATTGCACGATCAGTTAGATAACATTTCGATGCGTACGTAATGCAAGTTTCAAATCAGCTACGAATTGGACCGAAGAGGAATTCACGGATCGTGCGTCCCGTACACACCCGGTTAGCCAGCTCGCCCTCTGTTGATGGAGCGCGTGGAGTGTGATCCTTGACCTCGCTGACCTTTCGGCGCGCGATCGTCGAGAGCAGGAAGTGCGTAACGCGCGCGTTAGTTCTCGCTCGATTGATTGAAGAGTCACGTGTGTCGCCGATGGTGTATGAAACAATAGTTACCGATGAGCGTGAACACGCCGAGGAGAGGGCCGAGGCCGCGGTTCGCCAGCATCATGTCATCCTGGCCCTGCGCGGCCTTTCTCCTTTTGAACGCCGCGGCCCAAATGCCGACGCCGAGTACCGCGACGTAAAACACGATCACTCCAATCACACCCGTTACGTATACTCCCATCCTCCACGTCGTCGTTGTCGTCGTCGTCGTCGTCGTCGTGATAGTCGTGCGTCTGTCTGCGTGTGTGTGTGTGTGTTGCACGTTCTTGTTCGTTTCCGGATGTGGACCCTGCAACTGAATGATTGGCGGTAAAAGCGGCGGCGGTGGTAGCCTGTCGTGTTGTCGGGTAGATTATAAGTGGATGTGAGCGCGTGCATACACGGTGTATCCAGAGAAATGGGTCAAATGCCTTTTTTTACGTACGTATCCAGTGATCCAAGTACACATTTCTTTTTTCTTTTATTATCATATGATCGAAGGATGTCGTATCGGGATCTGTCGGCGACAGAGCGACGAAGCTTCGCGTCTCTGAATCGATTTTTCGTCGTAACACGCAGGAGTTTTGCACGACATCCTATGAATACCTAAGTATTTTATTGCAATGGCAACTGGCGTATCTCTGTATCCAACTACTTCACATTGTATCTTTAACAAGCCTGATAATGGCCATTACATGTGCGAACAGTCGAACAATGGAGGAACACGTAGAGAGGAGAGAGAGAGAGAGAGAAAGAGGAGAGAGGCATGGGATTAATTGAACGTAAAGCCCGAGCTTTCGCGCGATCAATACTGTATTAATTATTCCGTCTCCTTGATTAACGTCTTCCGTACAAATTAGCCCGCGTGACTACATCTCCGCTCATTAGTCGATAGAAAAAGGCCGTGCGCCGGCCTTTGTGTATATTTAGAAATCGATATCTGCGTAACATGGGCTCGCGATCGACCGCGAATAAATCCAAAAATATGTGGAGCGAATTATTAATACCGTCGCCGGTATATGTTAATTTATATTCTCTCACGTTACATTAATAAGTTGCTTCGATGCGGAAAATATCATGCGATTTGCGTGCCTCGTATAACAGATAATTCCGCAAAAAGGAACACCAACGTCTCTCTCTCTCTCTCTCTCGAGAGAGAGAGAGAGAGTAGGAAGATTCTTTGCTAGCAGAGAGAAAGAGAGAGAGAGAGAGAGAGAGAGAGAGAAAGAAAGACAGACAGCCGAGAATTTGTCTCCGACATTATAACTTCATCTGCGCTTTATTCCTGTGGCAAATAATAAACTTGACACTCGCGTACTCGACGGTCGATCGCTTTTCGCGACGAATTCGCGCGGGGTAGTTATTGCGCACGTTCGATTTCCTCACGCGAAGAGCGACGAAGGATCGCGCTTCTCCTGAGACAGAGACGGCGAGCTCTCGTTCAGCAGCGCGCATGATGCACCTCCGTGTTGACCGATGACATACAGAGTGACATTTTACTATTAACTACATTTCGTGGGAGTTTGCGCCGAGGTGGCGCGTAACACACCTATAGATCGGCAGGAGCGAGCGAGCGCGCGCGCTCGCGTCTACGTCTAAACGATCGGAAAAGCTAATCGAACACGACGGCAATTGCAACGTGGTTTTAAAATTCAAGTGTGCCCCAGATATCAGGCGCAGGATGGGTCGTAGGGTCATGACCCGCGCGAGCGAACGAACGAGCGCGCTCGCACTGCGCGTCGACTCGCGTAAAGTTCAACGGATCCTGCAAATTCCGAAACGACTTGCATTATTAATCGCTCCAAAACGGCACTTTCGGGCTTCTTGAAGCTGACGTCTCTCCCCCCTCTCTCTTTCTCTCTCTCTCTCTCTCTCTCTACCATGTATGAGTGATAGACGTGCGGAGTTGAGCTTACCAGGAAAGGAAGAGGAAGAAAGAAAGATAGATAAATAGATAGATAGATAGATAGAAATAGAATAGGAAGAAGGATAGAGAGAGAGAGAGAGAGTGAGAGGGAGGAGGAGAGAGAGACGGGAGCGATCTGTAATATTTATTACGGCGGTTATCGCTCGAGTAGGTGTGAAATAGCGAACTCGAAGTACTAAAGAAGATACCAAGGAAAGAGCGACGTTCGCCCTCGAGAAACGCGGGGGCCGTCAAGTGAGATGATCATCGAGCCGAGTTACATCGAAATTGTCGACGATTTCATCCCCCGGAGGCGAGACAATGCTCTCTCTTACTCTCAGCCGCGGTGACGATTCATTGACGCGACAATGCTCAAGCCTATAAATATATTACGTCTTACACACAGGACGTGCGTCTGTACGCGCGCGCGAGTCAAATTACGTCGTGGTGTAACATGTAATTCAACGACGTCATTCAACCCCGACACGGATGCGCCAACAAGCCGCATCGGAATCGCGTGATTTATATGTCGCCGAGATAATCAAGCGGCGCGTCGAGGCCGATCGTCGGCGAAAACAAAGATTTTCCCGATATCTTTCTACTCTCGCAGCTCGATACCGATACCGATATATTCGTTATCTGCTTTCTTCTTCTCTTTTATCGAGAAAACATTTTTTTGTTACCGAGAACATGCAGTCTTCAGGTGCTAAGCCTATTGGGGCTTAACATTGTGTTACACGTTTCGTTGTGCGCGTGCGAATCATCACGAATAAATATCGCGAATTATCCATAAAGGTGATCCGTTTTATTATTTAACCTCCGAAGTCGAGCGACATTTCCGAAGAAGAAGAAGAAGTCCTCATATTTATTTCACCTGATACCTGCTACAGAGTCGCGAAGTCATAGGAGGGAACGTTCGCGTTTGGCGAACAACGATCGAGTCGAACTCGAGCGTCTTCAAATTCCACTGTGTGCGTATATCAGTCAAAGTTGATGTATTTACGTTATTATAGAATTATGCATACGACGCGTACATACGCCCACGTGAGATCATTTGTTTGTCGCTTCCCTGAGAAAGAGAGAGAAAGAGAGACAGAGTCCGAGAATTATTGGCATGTCTCATTCCGTCGCACGTGCGCTATTTAATGCGAATGCACTCGTGTACGGACAGTTTTAGAATGCAACCGCGTCAATTGGAGATCCTATTTAACGAGCGCGCGCCGCATGGAAGTTACACAAAAACACACACACTCTCAAATTTCAATAATCAATAAGTACACCTGATTGCGAAAGCGGTCTCATTGCGAAACTGCGAGTTATCTGGACACAATGGTGCGGGAACAAAAGGAAGAACGCGTCCGGGGTAAAAAAGGAGCCTCGTGAAACTTCTCACGACAAACTCCACGTTGGGAGCGTCAGTTTGTCCATCCCAGTGATGAGGAACGTCGATAATTTTCGGCGGTGTGTGCGCACCGAAGGGGAGGAATAGATCCTCAAACGGAAAGTTAAACTCCCTCCTCACCTCGGCGGGCGGATGCAGCTATCTCGCTTTAAAGAGCGTCGCGACGAGCGCGCGCGCGTAGACCTGCTCGTCGTTCCCGAGGTAGGAAGTAATTTTTTTTTTCTCCGCCGTCGATAATGTGCTCACGCCTCTCATAATCTCATTACCTTACCGTGAACGAAAATAGCGTGGAACAAGCTATAATATGGCGCGCCTGATGATCGTGGTGAAGGGTAAGCCGGCCCTCAAAGGGTGAGGGAGACAAAGCGAAGAAAAGGGTGCGCGCCGAAGAGGTGACCGCTATGCGATCATTTTCACGTGGCATCCTTCAAGGCTCGCCAATCGCGACGGGAATTTTTTCACAACAGGATATCCCCAATTGCAAATATCAGTATATGGGCCCGCTCATCGGGCGAAACGGCGGGCAGAGGTGAGGGGGGAAGCGAGATTATATTTACCGTGCCGTGGGAGAAGAGCCTCTTGAGAGGGACACGAAGGTTGTCGATGTCGAACCGGATAGGAATCTAAATGGAGATATTTTTAGCGATTTGCCAAGAGAACGAGGGAGAGAAATGGAGAGAGCGCGCGCGACCGGGATGCGATCGGGGGGACCGTGTTCGAAGATCGATCGCTATCCCGGATCCGCGAACGAGAAGAAATCATCGTCGCGTTCGAGGAGAAATTACAATCCTCTCCCGCACCGAGAGTTCCGAGTCTCTCTCTCTCTCTCTCTCTCTCTCTCTTTCTCAGTCACCACTGTGTGGATTTTTCGGTTTTCTACACCGAGAGGAGAGAGAGAGAGAGAGAGAGAGTAGATCGTAAAAAAAGATCCATATTTACTCTGACGAGAGACATTAAATTGTCTCGGCGAATAAAGTAAAAAAGGAGACGGATGCTGATTACAAAGGCACGTATGCGGTTATCGAAACTGTGCGCAGAATTTCCGACGGAATTCTCGCCCGGTCAGTGGGCGTTACAAAAAGCGTGAAAAAAACGGAGCTCTCGCGCGGAGTTGCGTAGAGTTGCGTTAGAGAGCGAACTACGTTGTAGTACCGGGCTTCCGAAAATTGATTGCTCGCCGAGAGTCACACGGTCCCGTGGATCTCGCGTATGAGTAGCGGGACGAAGAAGAAGAACAAAAAGAAGACGAGGAAGACGCAGCGTGCGAAAGGAACGATTCGTCCGACACTGAGAATCACTTGGCTCGCTCCGCTCTCTCTCTTTCTGGCGTGGGTAAAATCAGCACACACGGAGGTTTATCTTTGAACCTCGGCCTGCCGCGGCCCGGTCCGCTGCCAACTTTCCGTACCAGTCAACGAGTTCCTCTCGTAAACACTGTGTGTTCGCGAGTTCTTCAGCGAGCCCTCTTCATTTGAAATAACAACGGCCGATGCGGCGGAGCGATTAATAAGAGCGACGGTCGAGCGATCGCGCCGATGCTTCGCTGACGGTTTGCGAGTCCGGTCGTTCGAATCTGTCCCGCTGCCGTTGCTTACTTTGGACGACGAGCCGGTCTCTACGTTCCACTTTAACGAAAATATGTCGATGGTGGTGTGTAACGCGTGTGAGAATCGCGATCGGAGATCCGGCGGTGAAATCCGCTCGAATTGGACGCGATCGCCGATTCCGTTTGTGGATTCCCGACGCGCGGAGCCGTCGACACGTGCCTCCTCGGGAACGCGTCGTAGGGATTAATCGACAAAGTTTTCGACGAAATTAGATCTCTCGATACACCCGAGAGAGAGAGAGAGAGCGCGATCCCCGCGTTGATTCGCGACGGCGGAAGCGAAGGTATTGACATCTCGCGTAGTCGGAAGTGGGTCCTCCGGAATGAACGACCGATTGCCACGGCTGACGACGTCGGGGTGTCGCGCCGGCCGGTGTTTCCCGGCCGGGAAAAGTATTCGGGAAACAAGACAGAGAAAGAGACGGGGAAAAGAAGGAGAAACAGAGAGAAAGAGAGAGAGAGAGAGAGAAAGAGAGAGATCGAAACTCTAGGACTTACCACCGGCTACCCCAGCGAGATCATCCAGCGTGCGGGTGCAGCCATCTTCGCGGTCGTCCTCTTGTTTCGATTTCCTTACGACCGCGACGAGAAAGAGGCCGCCGAGGGAGGGAAGTCGGCTCCTCTCGCGGCACGCGGATGCAATATTCGCCGGTCGACACACCAGTCGTTAACCGCTTTGCCTCCGACAGAGAGGAGCCAGGCAGTACGACTGAATCTCTCCTACGGACTCAGCATCCCGCACGGCTGACACGCTGGACCACGCCACCACCTCGCCGGGGGTGAGCGCGGGACAAGGACGGAGCGCGGTCGCTCGCGCGCGCGCGAGATACGCATACACAGGGTGTCGCGGCGCGAAAGGAACGAACGAATGCGGCGTCGAGCACGGGAAGAGAGGGAGAGAGAGAGAGACGAGGGGATTGATCATGAGCCGAGGGATGAGAGAAAGGACCGCCTTTTCTGCCTCCCGATTACCCGGTGATTTCGAGCTCCGAGAGGATCGTCGATCCGCATGCTGCTTATCATCGTCAGTTATGACAGACGCTGGGGATTCGCGAGGAAGTTTACGAGCGAACGTATCCAGTGCGAGCAAACGACAGAATCACTCGCGAATATCTCAGCTCTGACTTGATTTATCACTTATTCTTGAAGATTTTCGTTTAAGCAGTTTTCCAACGAAATTTAAAAATATAAAGCTGATGATGAACTTACGTTAAAAATGTCGAGTATGTGATGGAAAGTGCGGCGGGTGGCGGCGGCGCACGTCGGATTCTCGCAGAGAGAAAACTGAACAACGGTGATTCCCGAACACCTTGTATTACGAATAAAGAGCGAGAGAGCGAAAGAGAGGAAGAACTGATCCACCGACTAGGGACTGAGATAAGAGGAGGAGGGGGGGGGGGGAGCGAGATAGAAGCACGGGAATTGCGATGGAGCAGAAAGGACCTATGACCCGCGCGGGGAAGAGACGAAGTTGGATAAGGACAGCGGAATGAAGGGACGAAAGACGCGAGGCGACGACGTACACGATCGTGGGGCCGACGATGGTGGGGAAAATTGGCAGAAGTAGAGAAAGACAGCCACGCGGCGGCGGGGCGGGTCAATGCTTCGTTCCTTGTGCACACACATGATACAGTGTCAATGCCACGAGACGGTATCGGAGACAGGTAACAAAAGGAGAGACAGCTAGAGAACTTTGGGCGAACTTCAGAAAGTAGCAAGGGAGAAAAGATTCTGGTGAAACAAAAACAGGAAAAACCACCGGCGATTGTCGCGAACACGGGGATGGAACCGAGGATGTATGTCGGGAGAACGAGCTGGATACGGTCGGTAGAATAGAGAAACTCGAGAGAGTAGAGAGAGAGAGAGAGAGAGAGAGGATCGAGCGAGAATATACCGATGGAAGGCACGAGGAATATGGGTTGACAAAAAGGACGCGGAGTTACGAGTGACTCGCGGGGGAGAAAGAACGAGTGGTAAGGAACGGCGAAGGGTGAGAGGAAGAGCGAGAGCGGGAGAGAAGACACGCAGCTCCAGAGAAGCGAGGCGAGATGAAAACAGAGAGAAAGGGAGACAGAACAAGCCGGCAGAGAGGGAGGAAGGTCCACGTGCAGGGGGCAGCCGTATTGATCTGTTCGCGCAAACTCCTGGTCCTTAGGCACCAACCCCCGCAACCAGAGCCGACCCTCGCTCGCCTCGCTTGTCGCCACCCTCGCCCTGGTCCATTCCCAGCTTCCAAATGCGCGTTACGGAGTCCTCCGAGGTTTTCAACCGCGAACCTCCTGACCGTCATGCATCCTCGTCGCTCTCGTAAGACACATCGCGGCGAGCACGAATATGTTGTCGTCGTCGTCACCGACGACATGCTCGCGCTTTCCCTCTTTCCTTCTCTCTCTTTCCCCTTCTCGTCGTTTATGACGTTCCTTCTCTGTTTCCAAGTTACATACCAACGCGGAAAGTCCTACAAAGGATGTAATTGAAGGGGCACGAGGATAAAGCTGATATGTTACGAGAAAGGAAGAGGGAGAGAGGAAGAAAGCTGAATCAGAAAGAATACGAATGGGACACTTGTCTGTCGTCGAATGTGTGCTTTCTCGCTGATCGCGATACGGTCTTTTTCAGCGCGGTTGTACGAAAGCAGTTGATCGACGACCGAATTACCAAAAATACGGCGAATCAATGTAGCTCGAGACGCGCGTATATCTTTTACCTCATCCTCTCTATTGGCCGTAAAAGCGCTCGTTTATTCATATAAGTATCACAAGTATGCAAACTTTGATGTAAAAAGTAACGGTCAAGATTAATTCACTTCAATTCGATTCAATTTTCTTCGAATCCAATTTCTTCAGTTCAATTAGTTCAATAGAATTTTTCCACATCACAGATATTAAATAATAACTAAAATTTGCAGTAAGTAAACGCAAGTTCTAATAAGCGTATATATTAAAATAAAAAGGGAGGAACGTAAAGCATCGTTTCCATTAAAAAATCTGTCGCAATCTGTCCTGTAGCCTTACGAGCGATAAATCTCGGCGACGGTGCTCGCAGTCACGGCACATGTTTCGCAAAACGTCGAAGGAAGTCATTGAAAGTAATAACGAGATCGCGCGCCGCCTAATCGGCTCGGATTAGCTCGTTATCCGCGCTAATTCCCCGTCGCCCACATCGATGACGCGATAACGGACACGATCTTCATCGTGCGTGAAGATCCCGCGCGATAACGCGACGATAACGCTCGATCGCTCGAGCTAATGCGCGAGTAATTCTTGAACGAGACGCAAGGCCGCTCGACGTAATTACTAGGCCACCTTGAAGACGCGCCGTGACCCTGTTCATGGGGATGGAGCTTGACGTGGTTGACTCTGCGAAAGGTGCGATCGACACGGCTCTGCGCGCCAACGTTGACAACATTCCCTCTACGCTTTCGCGTCCAATGATGTAGTAATCGCTCTCGGCCCCTCATCGTCGTCATTTTCACGAGTGAGCTTCACTCCACCGACTTCTCGTCGCTATGGATCTCGATATTGAGGATGACTTTAATCAAAACCTGACTAATCCAATCGATGATTTAAAAAATCGCTGCTAGTCGAGTGTTATCCGTTGTTACTTTACTAACACAGATAAAAGTTATTAAGTTTCGATTATTATCGGACGACAAGTTTCAGAACTGGTAAATTATGTGTTAGCAATTCCTGTTATGATTTATCGAGTGATTTAATTTGAGTTCGGTGAGTCATTTTAATTACAGCAAACACTCATGTGGACAATCAATATCTGGTTGTAAAAACCACGTTTGGCTCATCAGGACCAACAATTCTGTTTCCTTCGACCGAAATAAATCTGATTGTTCATTTTTTGATCAATGCAACCGGACTTTTTCTTCGTACACGTTTCTTTCTTCACTAGGAAGTTTCAATCAAACCATCATACCGCGATGGAATCTCGAGAGCCATAACTTTGCAAAACTCTCGGCTAACGTAATTTCTCCCAATTTTTCTTTCTCGAAAGAAAGTGGAGGGGGGGGGAGAGGGGGTAATTAAGCGGCAGGTAGCGGTCTAGTGTTAACGGCGAAATCGTGCTGTTAACGAGTATGTGGTGCGATCGAGGGACGAAGAGATAAGAGGGGGAGGGGAAGTGCACGGCGTCGTTTTGTGCGCTCAACAAGCTGTATCGTTTTCGACCGTAGGCGGTCGACGCTTAATTAAATGTCGGAGGGCGTTGAATGCGGTTGAATGGCCCGATGGGATACCGTGGAAAGTGTTAGGTCAGGCGAGGAAGGGACAGACAACAACAAGAAAAAAAATACATCACAGCGGGAAGGGTCGAGGGACTATCACAATAGATTAGAGCGGAGGCACGAGCACGATGGAGGAAGAAGATGAAGAAGAAGGAAGAGCAACGAACCGGACAGAGTGAAAATTGAGAGATTTCCGTGACGAGGAGGAGGCTACCTCTCTCGACCTTTACCTTTGTGGGGTAACCTACTTCGTAATGCGCAGACGAGCGAGTGTCCATCTCAATATTCCGTATAGTTAGTTTTTAATTTTTGCACACGTGCAATCTCGCCGTCGAATTAGAAGACAGATGAATGTTTTCGGCGGGAGGCGATCTAACGAACAGTGAAACACATGTTTCATGAAAAAAAGAAAAAAAAATATTATATTTATTATCACTTTCAGAGTGATAATCACAAATGAGATTAATTGTATACATACAAGTAGCAGCGTCGTAAAGATTACAATGATTACACCAAAAGTGGGATCGATCAGTCGCATTAAAAAAATTCGCTTACGTACAGCCAATCCGCTCCCCCAATAGCAAGGTGATGTCAAAAAGAGATATCTTGATAAGGTCTTAATGATGTCTCTAATGTCATTAAGACGACAATAAAGTGCCATTTGACGTCACCTTGCTACTTGGATCGTCGAGAAGGCGCAGAAAATTCTTCGTAAAGCGCTCACAGGGAACGTCGTGCGTTTACAAATAAATTGTGAGTATCATATATATATATATATATTATATATATATATATTCGCCGGTTTGCCGAAACGGAAATTTAAAGGATCGGTTATCATAATATAAAATTCGTTATATTACGTATCACAATATTTGCGCGTATATTTAAGAGTATATATAAATATATACATTAATATTAAAAATTTGTGTATAAAATAAAAATATTATTATATGAAAAAATAATCTATAGGATAGAGGTGGATATAAACGTGTACGAGACACGGTGATACTTCTCTCTTTCTTTCTCTTTCTCTCTCGATCTGTAACTGTTATGTTATATTTATAAATAAACTATGTGTAAATGTATGTAACGATATACGCGTATTTCCATTTACAGAGAAATAGCGCAACGTAATCAGAATAAGGATCATGGAACACGCAGAATAGCATAAATAGTAAAAACGTAAGCAGTAAGAAAATGAATCAGATTATTTTTCGACGGCAAAGAGAATAATTTCGTATCTGCAGTAGGTATAGCAAGCTTTTAGCTTTTTGCTCTAAGCGATAAAATGTAACGTAATTTCTAGTAAAAAATGTTTTCAACGCTACTAGACGTCGTAACGTTCTAAGATTTAAGCGTTCTTATGATTTTTAGCGACGAGAGAAACGTCTTTTGTCAGAAATTACGTTACACTTTATTGCTTAGAGCAAAAAAAGGCTCAAGGTTTACTACATCCACTGCAGATTCGAACTAATCGATTGTGGTTGGTCAACTTTCCCACCGCTTACGTCTTATTTTTTTCTGTATGCCCCAACTGTTCAATTTTTTAAACAAATGAACGTATCGACACTTTCAAAGCGGAGAAACTTTCCGGAAGTTCTTCTCAGGTCTCTGACTCATCCGTGTGTTTTTTCGCGCGTTTTTCACAATAAGTACAATTAATTAAGTTCTATTAACAGACTCTCGCGCTTCTCTTCGACATATTCTTAAAGAATTTCTAGCGATTCGACATGAAGAGCGAGTGTAGGAAACTGCCGTATCGAGCGAGGACTCGCTCATGCTCGTTCGTCAAGTCGCGAAGCGAGTCACAATCATGAAATCATTCACATCATTTCAATGCGACCGTCCGGCGACACTGTATCTACACGTTCGTCTTCAAAGGGAAGTAAACCGCCCTGAGCAGCAACGACGTGAACGACGGCACTTGCTTCTTCGCATGCCTGGTCGGATCCTGCGGATTATACGACGAATAGTCTGTGGCGACCTTTCGGGACGTCATCGTCAGCATGGTCAGTAAATCCAGCTCGGTGCCATGCTTGTCCAAGATTTCGCACAAGCAGCCGACGTACCACGTGCCGTGCTGAGGATCCCTCCAGGTGTAGAAACCTTGAAACAACAGCGGGGATTTCAGAGAACGTCGAAAGCGTCTGAACATGGTATGTCCCATATAGCTTCCAAGGGACGTCCTAAAGATATCTATGGGACGTCTCTATGTCCTAAGAACGTCCGCAGGATGTCCATCGTATATCGTGTGCTCTATGGGATATCGATTAATGGGCTCTACCGACAGCATTAATTTCGAAATATTTCCTCTACGACTTATTCTCTCTAAATTTCTTCGAGTGAAATTTCATTCATATAGAGTGAATTTTCCACCTTGAAACATCGAATGAATACTTTTATTCGATACTGAAAGGTGATGCTGTGCTAATCGGGGCTTACCTTGAGCCGAGCTATGAGCTATTAGAATGTCCGCGTGAGTTGGAATCTTGTACGACGACACACTGTCAGTCGATGACACCGTGCTGTGCGGGGTCAGCACGACGGAGTTCTCAACCGCTTCGCCCCTGCAAGCCTGAGAAGAAAGCCAAAAAGCGAAGTGGAGAAGTTAAATAAACTTAAGGACAGATCTTAGACTCGGGATTTTCAGAAATTGCCGAACTTTCCTCATAAATTCAACTCTCAAATTTTTTTCCCCGATATTAAGTAGCATTTATTCAATTATACTCTGTGCAGTCTAAGATATTTCAGAAAACGAAGGAGCAGCGAACACTTTGGCCGATTCTCTCACCTGGATGAAGAACAGCTTCGGCTTGCCCGCTAAGCTCGGGCACTTATCAGCGGTGAACGGCTTCCAGATCATGTCGGTTTTGTAGATAACGTCCTTCGCGGATATGAGATCGTTCTGCAGCCCATGCGTCAATACGATGACGCAGATGCAATCGTTGTCTGTGTGATCCGTGTTGCTGCTTACTGTGACGCCATGAAAAAATATCAATATCGAGTATTCGAATAAAAATAATCAAAGTTAGGTTCTTAGATTGAAAATCATGTTTTATAAAGCTTATCGCGCCGGGACCGAAATCATGCCGTTAAATTAGTTACGGCTCTTTTTTTGACTCCTTATTTCGTTCCTTATTCTATAATTTATTATCGCGTTATTTTTTCAACATTTTACATTTTATGCTCAATATAAGAAGCAATTTTCCGTGGCATATATCCGAATATTTAATGTAGCATATTATAACATAAATAAAGCATAAATAAAGTAATATAAATAAAGCATTAATACGGAAAATTAAAAAAATAATATCTCTGTGTTTGCGATATAGTGTATATATTTGTCTTAATTTCGCGCTCAAAATTAATATTTATTACTTAGATAGTTGAATAAAATTATAGGAAAATATTTTTTCAAATAATAAATTTATGTAAGGACCCTTTAAAATCGCCACTGAAAATTCAGCATTTTACGAACCACACCACTTTAATGCAAAACATTATTTAACCATTGAAGTCAAGTGACGTGTTTATCTTATTTGCGCACTATATTCCAAATAGCAGACTGACGTCATAGGACGTCATATTGACAGCAATATGGCGTCTCCGACATCCTTATGACGTTGATATGACGTCTTCTGATGTCACTTTGCCACTTGAGATCTAGCGCTCAGCTTTTTTACAAACTTTTTTATTGCTTTCAAATGCCCGCATGACGAACACGCACCTCAGCAACTCGGTGAAGATATTTTAATTTCCGCAATATTCGAGAGAAACGAAAATTCCCGTTAAAACAAATGAACGAATACTCACGATCCTCCAACACGTCGGTGACTTCCTTGTGGCTAAGGTTATCGTAGGTCTTGGTGTCGAAGCCGAGACTGCTGAAGGTCTTTTGCAATTTCGTTGCGTCCTTAGTCGAGCCTTCCCGCTTGTCGAAGCCGGCAATCTCGAATTCCTCGTGATTGAAGATCACACACTTACCGCGATATTTATGATTCATATTGTAGCAGGCCGCGTCTTTCTCCACCGGCATGAGCGCGGTAAAAGTCGCACATTCGCTGAAACCGGACAAACACACCAAACATTCTTATAATTGCACGCTTGCTCTAATCTTCTTTATTCATTCTTTCTCTCATTAAGTCTGTAAAATCGCAAGAACCGGCCGGCGATTTCTGCTTTCCTGTGTACCTATTGTTCTCCGCATCATCGATGATCTTCACGTGAGCGTCGACTTTGTCAGCCACTCTTTTGACCAATTCCGACTGGACCTTCGCGGAATCCGTAGTGACGATACTTTGACTCTCGGACAGCGACGTCTGAAAAAAATGAACGGATTGAACAAAGAGGAAAGATTACATTTATAATAATATTTTATCAAAGTTGAGTCAAATCATTCGAGCACGAAATGCGCAAGACGGGAAAATGGCATTTTCCATCGAGAAAAATCGAATCTCTCCGTCCGTCTAAGAAACAATAACGTGCCGAGATACGCCGTATTCCATTGTCATCGACAACCCTAACAATGATCGATCTGATCCAGAAAAATAAAAAATCCAAGACAAATTCATTGTATCGTACAGTCTCGATGTCATACATGCGATACCATTTTCTGAACGGAAAATTACACGATTTTCAGCCTGATACATAACTCATAGGGTTGAAAATCGTACGAGTAACTCTACTTATGATAATAATTATGATAAACGCACATCCGATGAGGCGGATGGAGAATTGTTCTGCAAAACGGCATCGTCCACGGGATACGCGAAGAAGGATTCACCAGCGGCGGCGATGACGGCGGCGGCGACGCCGCTGCCGACGGAATCTATCACCGAATTAGACCTCCGCTTGCGAGAAGGTGACGTTTCACCTGTGTTCACGAGTATGCTGTCTTCGTCATTCTCCTTCTGAAAAAAAGAAAAAACAACATCGTATCACGAATACGGCTGTCAATTAGTGTGAACGACGTACACTTCGACGGCGGATTCGTTGTTACCACCACAAAATGGCAACATTTAATGTTAACCCTTATCGGACGCTAGCTTTTTATACGTGATTCTCACTAGGTTGTAGCTGGTTTCGGTAAATATGCGAAAAATTTTCAGTATTATAAGAATAACATTTTTGTTAGAAATTATTTATTTTTTGAAGGAGTATTACAAGTATATGAGTTTCAAATAATTATTTATAAGTTTTTAATGTATGATATTTTTTGAAACAATCTCCAACATGAAGGAATGGTTTTCTGTTGCAAGTTTCACAGAAGTATACTGTTGTTTTTCTTCCTCCAGGCAACTTACGATTAGATTTTGCCAAACTGATCTGGCGGATAATTCTTTCTTTGCAATTTGCTCGTTTACATATAAGTTTATTTGCGTTATAATTTCCGTTATGAGTTCGTTAATAATAAATTTTTTGAAATAATCAATAGACTGCTGAACGTTTCCAAAAATTTGGCAATTGATATTTGTAAAAGGAATCCCACTATGGAGACCATCATCATCACTCTTGATTTCAATCCGAACATCGTCTGAGTTATCAACATTTTCTATTTCTACATCATTTTCTTCTCCACTTGAAGATTTTATAGGCATAACTTTTCTTTTCTTAGGATGTAATAAGATGTGACTGCTAGTCTCATCACTTGAATCAAAATCACTTTGAGAATTGTTTTCAATACGTTCACTGCCACTAACACTATCGAAATTTATAAAATTTTCTTTATTCATTTTTGGGCTCAATATATTAAAAAATTGAGTATAAAAGGCAGTGATATATCACTGGAGATGTCAATTGCTCCGTTGCTTAATTGCTTAACTGACAAGGCAATCGTACCCACATTTGACAGAGAGCGAGTTTCGACAAGTTCCGATTTGTCACCTCCTACGTAACGTACGACCGCAGCGACGAAGTATTGTTGTCATGTGAGAGGTCACTTACGACCGATAAGGGTTAATTGGCTGGCATTCACACTCTCCCGACGTGTGCTGGTCACTTCTTGAAAATTCGCCAAACTTCTCCGGAACGATTTGCCCGCTCGACTTTCATTGCCCATCAAGTTCGACTTACGTAAAATGCCACTTTGTAGAAACTTCGCCGCGAACGCGAGCTCTAATATTTATTTATTTTTGTGAGATATCGCGTCTTGTGTGATCGGAGCGTGCAGAAAAAGTCCGATCATTTCCGAGTGGAAATTTGGACGCTATCTCGACTCTCTCGAAGGTAGTTTGCACCTACTTATAGACTAATAAAAATCTACTTTGACGATACTGACATTTGCAAACTTCTCTTTTCGATCTTTAGTTTTACAGATTTAATTTTAACGCTACTTTGAACAACCCATTTTGAGCCTAAAATATGCAGTAATGTAGGAGTAAATAATTTTATTAAAATTAAAACTGAACCTATCTTGCTATCTTAGCTCCTACTATGTTGTAGAATTACAGGTTTAACATGGGGCTAAAATCTCGACTGCGGCTTATCGGCTATTATATGTCCATTTCGGAATCACAGTAGGCACGTTACGTGTCCTATCGCAATTGTAATTAAATCAGTCAACAGCCATCGTTATCTCGATAAGCGAAACCAAAAAGGTCAGATCGATTGATAGGCACATCCGGAGAAATAGAGAGAGAATGAGAGAGAGAAAGAGAGAGGAAGAAAGAGAGAGAGAATGGGAGAGAGTACTAAGAATATCATATATCAGTTTTAACGTTACTAATGAGATTTCACTGACTCACAAATATCAGATTAATTCGATCCAATCAATCGTTCTTATCTTCTCACAATGTAGCAATGAAATCTGAAGCGTAATCTAAAGTGAAAGTGCGCGATTGATAAGAAATCGGCCGAGGGTGTTTCAGCAACAAAGTCTACAAATGTATCGCGGCAGTGTTGCAATCTCATAGAGCTACCGATTAGTCATCGCCCTTGTCGATCGTAGATTACAAAAAAAAAAATTTAGCGGAGAGATAAAATGGAACAATCGCCGGCTCGCGATGACAATGGCTGCGTTCAGCAGAACATATTATTTTACAACTGTTGGAAGAGTTTTCTGCGCTGAGATTGGATTGTTCCTCCAAATCGGCAAGAATAATCCAATCTCAGCGCAGAAAACTTCCCACGGTTGCAAAATAAACGTTTCGCCGTACGTGGTTCAATGCTTCACGGATTGTTTTCAGATTCCGTGATTCCCTCCGGCAAATTGCGCAGATAAATTTCGACGTTGTTGCAACGTCATCCTGTTCTCTATCTCGGTTGTCTTAGCGTCCTAGAAAATCGCATCCTCGTGCCCTCGACAGCCGGCAAGAGTCAGTGGATGGAATCGCCGCGAGTCAACACGAATTGACGAAACGTAAGTCGCAGCTTGGGGCAATTTGCGCGTCGGATCGAATAAACACCGGGACGATTTTGATAGGACATCCTTCCGGACTGTGTCCCCTCGATCAATTTCGAAGAAGAACGCAAAATCGATCTCGTCGATAAATAACAATGACGAAACGACTTGACATAAGGTACACTATCCGATATCGAGCGCACGTCGAGCACACACACACACACACACACAACATACTGCGACGATATCAATCTCTAGTTCGCTAATATGGAGAATTGATTCGTCGAAGCGATCTCGCGGAGAACTCCCTTCTCTTCTCCGGTTTTTCGCTCGGTATCGTTCTCGGAACGTTCGCAACGTACCTTGACTTCGGTGCCGTTGCTCGTCGAGGGTTCCATGTCGCCGAGGAGGGAGATCTGCCGAGCACCCGGTCGAGAGGTTCGCCGAGAATGGAGCGCGTCTTCTTTCGCGCTTCCTTCGCCGAAAAAGCCGATAGATACGCAGAGAGTACTCAACGTGAGGTTCAGCGATCTGCCCCCGAAATACGACTAACGAAAGGACTCGAAAACGACGGATTTTAAAACGTTCGCCTCAGAGGTGTCACCGCGTGATTATCAGAGAGCTGCTCCTACTCTACTGGCCGGCTTATCAGTTTATTATCAAGTTTGATTTTTATCGCGCTTCATAGTCCGTCGTCGAGAATGGTCAGTTTGTAAAGGCTCGCGTTAACCGCAATATCCGTCGTTCCGTCGCATCAGGATGCTTGTGGTTATAGTCGACTCGTGGCGATAGTCGGCTCCGGAACGGACTCGCAGAGTCCCACCGGAGATTGTTTACGACACGGGGACGGACAGGCAAAAACGCCGATCCGCCGATCTACATCTCTATGACGTAGTTATAATTGAAAACACAATGGAGTGACGACTCGAAGTCGACTTTGCTACAACCCCTAGAGTCGCGTGCGTCTGACGCTACTCGTAGTCGATCGAGATTCACGGTCGAAATCTCTCTCTCTCTCTCTCTCTCTCTCTCGCGTGCGCACGCTCTTCCTCCTTTTCTTTCTTCCTTCGATTAAAATTCGAAGGTGTTCTCTTTGCAATTCGCCAGAACTATCGACGCGCTGCTCGCAAAATGATCAGACATAGCGTTTATCTTACGGGGAAAATAGCTTCCGCCTGCAGCCGAGAACGCGCGCTTTTTCTCTTATCTCACAGACAGATACATTATAATTAGTTCCTGTTTCTCAGGATGGCAGAGAAAGGTATATATCGGTATAGATTGATATCGTTCGTTAATCATTAACGATCATCATTTCTCTTGATCATATAAGAATTATACGTTCACTTGTCTTCTTTCTCGAAAAAGGGGAAGAAATAGAGAGAAAGAGAGAGAGAGAGGGAGACACGCGAGCTTAAAACAAAGAGAAATTTTTATTGATTACAGATCTTTAATTTCAAGAATCCTTGCACTTCTAAATACCTTCCGACAAATCAATTCGCGCAATGTTGGAGATCCGCGGTTTACTCGGATTCGAGGAAATTCAATCCGAACTTTTCTCAATTTTCATAGATTCTTTCATATCATTTATCAGCAGATAGTGATGAGGATTCAAAGAGACTAATTGTCCTCGATTACCCGTCGAATGTTTCTCCGTCTAATGTGGGATAATGACTCATCATCTGCACGGTTCTACGCGACGATACAACAGCGACATAGAATGTAGTGAAGAAATATAGCATAAAATATATAAAAGCAGCACATAGAATACATCTGTGCTAGTGTACATACCTGAGATACATATGTATGTATGAATATATGTGTATGAAAGGTGTGATGCGTAATAAGGATATTTTTCTCCTGCTTACGTCGTTCGATAGATACGTATGACGATAGGGACGTAGGAAGATTTTTCGATCCCCGACCAAATTTGCAGCAATCTCGTCTGTGTACGCGGAAACGAAGTGACAGACGCGGTCTCGAAGCTTGTCGAAATTCTCGCATAAAGCAAGCCGCTTGCACAAACGTCTGCCCTTCTCATTGTAATTTCGCGCGACAAGGAATTGCGGTTCGAAAAAATTGCTCGCTTCGGATACGTTCCATACTTTCTCGTTTTGTTTCTTTTCTTCTCTTATCTCTTATTCGCGAAAAGCCGAGCGCAATGCATCGGAACTTGCACGTACAATCCATCGATCTCGCGCGTCATGGCATTTGATAATGAAAATCCCGATAAACAAATTCTAACAAACATCGCTACGCATCTGCGTTTGTTGCGTGTGACGTCTCTCGCGCGTCTTGGCACGCGCATGCGTCTGTGCATCTTTCCTGCTTAGCTCGCCGAGACGGCTCGCCGACCAATCGGACGCCTGTGCGAGCATTACACTTACACTTCCTGCACTTCGCGGAACTGTCAAGAAAATACACAGCGAGGAGCGATGCGAACGGACATCTGTATAGAAAAGAAAGGAGGAAAATCGCGGTTGCGGCGCAGTTGGTCGCTAAGCCCATGCAAACCCGAGCGTGACACGTCCATCTATCGAAATTAATTCGTGTTCGTACTTTCCCACTGTGACCCGTGCGATCGCGAGTCAATTCGACTGTGTGTGCTCGCGAGAGGTTCGCCGTGGTTGTGTGGTTTGCGATGCAAGTGCGATTGCCGGTGAGTAAGTGAGAAATCGGTGAAACGCGATTCTTCTGCAACACCTCGAATCCGCGCAAATCGCTCGACGGAAAATCATCTCAAGGTTATTCGCGTTCCTTTTGTTTTCGTACATTCCGATGAATGTTTAGTCACGGGTCACCTTCCATCGCAGCAATTGTGTGTAATTTACGCATCGTAACCGGTATTACGTCTAGGAAGCTGATATACACAGGCACACTTCGATCGAATCAAATCTTTGGAAGGTATATAAAGTATACTCTGAGAGAGAGAGAGAGAGAGAGAGAGAGAGAAAGTATTGGTAATGTAAACTGTCATTAACGTCTCTTTCCGAAGAATCTGAACAGGAAAAGCAATGTCATCATTTCCGTTTCAGTACTGTAATAGCATCTGCTGTCTTCTTTATCATCTCTTTGATAAGTACACACCTATATTTATTTTTCAGTAGGGTGTATGCTAGAGAAATCTTGCTAGATCTTGGTAAGATTTCAGCAAAAAGCACATAGTCTCAGCAACATGGATCTTGCAAATCAACAGATTTCAGTTAATCCTTGTCTGGATGTCAATGCAACACTTGGAATAGATGAAGCGTATCTCAGCGTTGTGAATAAATACAACATATCTATCACATTGTTTTCCGATCTACTTGAATGCTTCATGGTTTGTACTTGTCAGATCAAATCTATCACACGACGTGTGATTTCATCAAATTGACCACTAATAGTCCCAATTTTTCTGCAACAGTGCTATGGAGTACCAACAGCTGTCTTACCAGCAAACAAAAATAGTACATTAGTCATACCTACAAAATATCCCCTGCAAGTGTTTTATCAAGCTAATGATTACTTATATTGTCAGTAAGTAATTTAATGATGTACACAAGTATACCAAATTATAATAGCATTGCTATTTATAATTTATCATGTTCATTATTAAAATATTAAAATAGAGGAATATATATATATATGTATAATCACAACTCACCAATTTATGTTTCCAGAACTACGTACATTTTTAAAGAACATGGAAGTTACGGGTGGAATATTTCCCAGGAGGACTTATGCTCGGATATTTACACGATCCGTGAGCCGATAAACAGTTATCTTCGTAAGGCAGAAAAGTTTACAACACTCACATATTTTTAATCCGTGGCACTTCGATCATAGACCGATCAATAGTTGTTGTTCCTCTTTGCAGCGATATTTGTAGCTTTCATGGTGTTTACCCTCTTATGGGTCTTATTCGCAACATGTAGGGTGGTTATACGTGTGGTGAAAGGGAAATTATCGCCGGACACGGTGCACGATGTGAGCTCTCTTTACACAAATATGCATGTCGTCGTTGCATGTGTCAGACATACACTTACACACTGCTCGATTACCTCATGTATTTACAGGACTTGGATAGACTTCAAGAAGCAGAGACGTCGAACCCAGTAATGAGGACCAGCAGAGTCAGTACCAGAATCCGTTCGGTCGACACATTCCGAGGGTATAGTTTTGCAGCTACGCGCAAACACGATGTTTGTGCGTAATGTCAAATGTTTAATGTCAAGTACCGTATATACGACCGAAATCGTTTTCAGGATCACTATATTATTGATGATATTCGTTAACAATGGCGGTGGCAAGTATGTGTTCTTCAATCACAGCGCTTGGAACGGCCTGACCGTCGCGGACTTGGTTTTACCTTGGTAAATAAATTGCGTGTATCTTATCGTCATTATTACGCACACACATATTGTACTGTACCCTTTTACGTGTCGCTTCATGCTCAGGTTTGCATGGATCATGGGATTGTCTATTACCATATCGAAACGGTCGGAACTTCGCGTATCGAATTCACGCGGCAAGATTATCTTACGTTGCTTGCAGCGCGCGTTTATCCTTACGCTTCTCGGACTGATGTTGAATTCGATTTACACGAAGTCGTTGAAGGATCTCCGGTTTCCGGGTGTTCTTCAATTGCTGGCTGTTTCGTACTTCGTGTGCGCCGCCATCGAGACCGTGTTCATGAAGGCGCACTCTCAGGTTTGATTGAGTAACGTTTCCGGCTCTACCGTAGTGTATATACACACATACACACACGTACTCACACACGGTAGTGTCCACATATTACGTACACACGAGTCTGTCTGCGAGATCAGTTTGATATAATTTATTAATTCTCTAGGACGACTTGTTGCAGTTCGGTCGATTCACAGTATTGCGAGACATTCTGGACAGTTGGGCGCAATGGTGCATTATCTTAGCGATCGCGACGACGCATACTCTCATCACTTTCCTCATGCCCGTTCCGGATTGTCCGAATGGATACTTAGGACCAGGTGGTTACCACCATTTCGGAAAGGAGGTCAACTGTACCGGAGGCGCAGCTGGATACATAGATAGGCTCGTTTTCGGTAGTCACATGTATAATAAGACACACAATCCTGTGTACGGTACCATTTTACGTCACGATCCTGAAGGTATGGCACACGGTTCTTATGTTTCTTGTCTTATCAGTGAAATTCCGTGTTTTTGTCCCATCAGTCAAGGTTAAAATTCTGCTGAGGAATGCTGCGTTCGTTAACGTAACACATTTGCAGGAATAATGAATACCATATCTGTAATACTTGTCGTGTATATGGGGGTGCACGCTGGGAAGATCTTGCTGCTCTATTACCAATGTAACGCGAGAGTGGTCCGTTGGCTGCTATGGTCTGGTGTCACGGTAGGCTTCTTGCAGTCTACAATCGTGTACAGGCGGCATGAAAGAAAGAAGAAAGTGCAACTTACACGAATAATAACAAGTAACGTCGATATTTACAGGGTCTTATCGCGGGTATATTGTGTCATTTCGACAAAGAGTCTGGAGTGATACCGGTCAGCAAGAAGATGATGTCGCTTTCCTTTGTTTTGACAGTATCATGTTTTGCATTTTTATTATATGCCATCTTGCATTTCTTCATCGATTACAAGCAATATTGGAGCGGAGCTCCATTCATTTACGCAGGTTTGTGTGCATTTAATTTCGTTTACGAGTTGCACAAATTTGTGTATATGTCTGCAAAATTATCCACAACGATGTAACTGTGGGTCTTCTTGTTTCAGCGATATTTTTACGCATTATTTCTTCTCTTTTTTTTTTCACAACATGAAGATACACTTATTTCGCTTTATGTTCAAAAAGACAATCTGCTTTAAAAATCTTAAAATTAAGAGACAAATAGATGACTAGTATTTGTTTTAGGTTTGAATCCGATCACCCTTTATATCGGTCATATAATAACTATGAATTTATTCCCATGGGCTTGGAAGTTGACACACGCTACGCATTGGTCGTTACTCGCTATGAATCTGTGGACTACAACCTTATGGGGTGTTATCGCATATTGGCTTTACTTGAAAGACGTTATCATATCTATTTAAAATTATTTTCGAAGCAGCTGCTACATAGTGACGGTCGTTATTGTATAATATATTCCCGCGCGGAATTAAAGAAACCGTTACATTGTAATACCGCGCGTTAACACACGCTTATAAAGTTAGGAGAAACGTGAATCTTGAAGGCGAATATTTTCGAGCCGCCACAGTGGCAAAAATAACGAAACGGAATGAGAAGCGTAGCTCTGCGGCACGTAATTGGTGTTAATGTTCTTTGACGAATTTTATAAAATTATACATGTTACAATTCATTTTAAGCACACACCGTGTACTCATTTTCTAAATAAACAATGCTTTTTGTAAAACTCAATCATAGAGTAATTTTAGAAGTTTGGTGAAAAAGCAAAACACTTTTTTTGGAAAAAATCAATTTTATTTTTCGACATAATCTCCTTTAAGAGCTATACACTTGGTCCAACGATTTTCCAATTTTTTCATCCCGTCCAAAAAATAAGTCTTGTCAAGCTCCGCAAAATAGTCATTGACGGCGGCGATAACATCCTGATTCGACGAAAATTCCTTTCCACCGAGCCAAATTTTTAATTTCGGAAACAGAAAGAAGTCGCACGGGGCCAAGTCCGGAGAATATGGCGGATGAGGGACCAATTCAAAGCCCAATTCATGCAACTTTGCCATTGCGACGGTCGATGTGTGGGACGGCACGTTGTCTTGGTGAAAGAGCACCTTTTTGCGCGCCAATCTTGGCCGTTTTTCCTTCAATTCGTCCTTTAAACAGTCCAATAACGCCGCATAATAGGCTCCCGTTATTGTCTTGCCCTTTTCCAGGTAGTCAATCATGATGATTCCTTGAGAATCCCAAAAAACAGTGGCCATCACCTTTCCCGCCGACAAGACGGTCTCCGCCCTCTCCGCCGCACTTTCACCAATCGTTGTCCACTGTTCTGACTGCTGTTTGGACTCGGGTGTGAAGTGGTGGATCCAAGTTTCGCCCACAGTGACGAATCGGCGCAAGAAACCCTTCGAATTGCGATTAAACATCGCTAAACACTGCACTGAAATGTCCATTCGAGCGCATTTTTGGTCGACAGTCAACAATCGTGGCATCCATTGCGTAAACAGCTTTTTCATATTCAATTTTTCGCGTAGGATATCGTGCACTCGTGCAGATGAGATGTCTACAGCCTTAGCTATCTCGCATACATGCACTCGGCGGTCTTCCATTACGATATCACAGATTTTTTCAATGATTTCCTCCGTGATGACGGATGATTTCTCAATCGGCCGTCCGGAACGCGACTCATCCTCAATGCATGTATGGCCACGTTTAAACTCATTTATCCACAAATAAATAGTCTTCAACGCTGGGGCAGAGTTCCCATAAACTTCGTCCAACTCGGCTTTGATCTGCACGGCCGTTAACTTCTTCAGATGAAAATATTTTATGACAGAACGGAACTCAATTTCCTCCATTGTTGCGGCGAATGCGAAAGTGGTCGATTTAGACGGCTGTCAAACGTCAACTACGCGTCACATTGGGCTGAAATTTTGACAGAGGTCGCTTGAGAAATAAGGGAGAATTCACACCTTGACAGAGAAGCAACAGCCAATCAGAATTCGCGCTGATAGTCGACAGTTTCTGCTTTATTTACTGCTTATTACCAGCGCGAGTTCTAAATGGCTGCTGCTTTTCTGCCAAGATGTGAATTACCCCTAATACTTGCAAGCAGTGATGTCGCTTTATGAATTGTGGCGCCATCTCATGGAAATTTACAAAACTTTACAACTACATTTTTTCATTTTTTCACCGACAACATTGGTATATAAATATATTCATTTATTTATAACACTTACTACTTTTAGGATTCACATATGTCCTACAATTATTTACAATGTAACTTAAAACTAAAACGCATAAGGTAGATTGAACTTAATGTAATAAAGTCATACTTAACACATAACAATCACTGGTGGCTCGTAGCAAACTTTGAAACTAAAAAAATAACAGGCTGTTAGAGCAAGATTCAAACCGCTTAGCGGAGACTCAAACCTCCCGTTATCGATGTTGGTTTTCTCGCAACCCGGCTAGGTGGCGTCAGATCGTCCGGTTAGTCGCGTATTTGGTTATACGGTTACAGGTAGGAATGCATTGAGAAGAGCTGAATGTATTAAGGCTTCAATGTTTTCAACTAAAGCACAGTTAATAAAACGGACCGGAAAGAACGGTGTTGGACGTTATGATTTTTTAAAGCTCTTAGCTACTGAATATCAAATAACGAAATCTAAAGGTAAAGTACACAATGTGCGCACGCGCGTACTACGTGTTTACATATGTTTCATCCGAAGGATTGTGTTAATAACAAACCGTTTTTTTATTGTTTATTTCATATCACTTATAAAAGACGCGAAAGAGCAAGTGTTGGCAAATTTGGCAAACTTTGCTTACGACCCCATAAATTATGGATACATGAGGCAATTATCCATAATTAATTTGTTCCTTTCTGCTCTGTCTGAGAACAACCCAAAATTAGTACGTTTTGCCATTGGTGGTATTTGTAACTTGTGTCTAGGTAAGTCTGTTTATCATAAATTTGGAAGAAAATTTCACATACAAGATATATCTCATCGTGTAATGTTTTTTTCTCATTTAGATGCCATAAACAAGATATATATATTACGTAATCAAGGTGTCAAGTTGATATCATCACTGCTTTCTTCCCAAGATGAGGATACTGTGCTCTCGGCAATTTCTACTTTAATGTTTCTGATTACATCTGAATCAAGAGAAGAAATAATATCAGCTGATATAATTAAACATATGTTGGAACATTTACATAGTTCTAACATCTGTATTAAAAATTTAGCATCCATATTTCTGGCTGACTATTGCCAAGCAAGTGAAGTAGAGAAAGTAAAGGAAAGAGATAACAACTAATTCACTCATAGAAAATGAATATTCAAGATAATTAATATTGTACATATATGTACTATTCTGTATATATATATACACACACACACACATACACACACATATATATTTATTGGGATCAGAATTATCATATAATTTTCACTGCAAGAGATAATAACATCATGAAGCTGATCCAATTTTTTGCTGGGTTCCTCAAACATTATCCTGTAAGGATATCCAATGTGAGAACATTTGCTGACTCAACCATGAATCTGAGAGAGGGAGACCAAGTGTCGATTTTCAGAGTGATAACAAATGAGGACATATTCAAGTTTGCTGAATTGACAGGTGATTATAATCCAATACACGTTGATTCAGCAAAAAACATCGTACATGGTGCTTTGCTCAATGGCCTAGTGTCAGGAATAATAGGTACAAAGTTACCCGGTGCAGGCACTATAGTTATTGAGCAACATCTAATGTTTCCCAGACCATGTTATGCTGGTGACTCGGTAGAAGTCACAGTAAAGATTTTATCTGTCAGAAAAATCATCACATGTAGTTACTTGTGCATTGCCAATGGAAACAAGCTTGTATTGGAAGGAGAAGCAAAACTTATGAGGAAATTGTTATAAATCTCTCGCATCATTTGTAAGAACTTGAATAAGATATTTTACTTTTTAATGAAGACAAGATTGTACCAGATCGAGAAGCAAAACTTGCGAGAAAAATGTTACGATTCTCTTGATAATTGTAGGAATTTTAATAAAGTGCTCTATCTAATAATGTAATATGTACGCATAAATGTGAATTTTTGTTATTAACATATCTCTTTCAAATGATGGACAGATGTGCTTGCATAATTTATAATTAAAATTATATCTCTCAGAAAGTTCTTCTTTTACCATTGTGCAACAGCGATTCTGTTACCTAAACATCAGTAAAACCTTTAGGTTCAAGAAAATTATCTGTTGACCATAATCTGGCATACAAATCGTGTATAAATCAGAGCAATGAAAGTGAAACACCCTTGTTGCACGAAATCCGAATATACAAGGTTTTGCTTAGCAAGCGCTTCAGATATGACCCATATATTCGTGGCAACGTTACGACAGAAATGTCAGTGAAATTTCAATGAAATGTAAAGGATCAATCTTATCGCACTCGCGAGGATCACGCAGTGAGCATAAGTCATTCATTTGCGCGTAATCGCAAGCAGATATTTATCGAGTCGAGGAGAAACTTGATATCCTTTACCGTTATACGTAATATACTTTATACATTCATTTGCTGTTATAAATAATATATACATATCAAAATTATTCAATATACCCGCGGGAGCACAGTTAACTAAGTCCGGATTAAGCAGTGCTTTCATTCAATTTCCAGGCCAAAATGTATCTGACATTAATGATGGTAGTCCTGTACGTATCGTATCCCTACGTAGGAGGAAACAATATTGTTCCAAGTATAACCAAGTCATCGACAAACTCGAACGAACCCGGCTGTGTTTGTGGGATATTCCTAAGTGGGCAATTCAAGAAAGGCAGCAAGGAGCAACCTAAAGGACATCCCGCGCTCCTCCACGAGCACCCTGATACATTTCCGTGTAACACCGTCGGGAACAGGCTCTGCACCAACAAATGTCTCGAAACTGTAAGTTCTCAAAAATCCACGTTGAAATCGCGATTTTTAATCGAGACTTAAGATAAATTTTCTTACATTGCGCAGTCCTTCCGATCCTCCGCATATAAACACAAAAGTGTTTATCGATAATAAAGAGAGAAATTTTACAGATAGTGAAATATTTGCCGAACAGTGCTGCGATCCTCTGCGCTTCCATCGACCGTGACTGTCACAAGGAAAAGGTGAGAACGTTTGTTATTGCTGTTATGTTGTTACTTTTGCAAAGTTATTGCGAAAATAACTATTATTTCACTCCGAGATCGTAAACTTTTGATGCATTGTGTGCGTGTGTGATCTTCCGACAGGCTTATCTCTTCATCAAGAATTGCAAGGACGAGTGGACGAATACGAATCTTTCCGCGGGCAGGGAATACTGCTGCAAGGATGGCTTGCCGTATAAATGTTACTGATATTTGAATTTGACGCGATCCTTTTGTACGATGACTCTAATTTATAAATTATAGGCGATCTAAGTGACGTTTATAATAAATACACCGACTCGACAACCGTGAGTACTTTGAATATCCCTCCGTGTGCTCTAAATATAGCTAGTAGAGATCATCGTGTGCACTCTCCTCAAAAGACACGCAGGAATTCAGCGTAAATGCCCGAGATGCCGCTTTCTATATTTAGATTTTGAGGTGTGGGAATTTTGCGTGTACACAGTGAACGCACATCCGAAAGCCGTGTGTGTGTGTGTGTGTGTGTGTGTATGAGAGAGAGTTCCTCTTCGCAAAATCCAAAATTGCAAGTAACTATTGGCTCGCGAAGTGCGACTCCACTTTCAGTTACTGGGTCAAGTTCAAGCATAACCCCGACAATTTTCACGAGGCTGCAGAGCGCCTTGGAATTTTACATCGTTCAGTCAGTTATCTGCGAGATCTTGGAAGACGCTCAAAATGCGCGCTGCCACACCGTTGTGAAGTGTCGCGAGATCGCTGGCAGACGGACAGTTTGCGTTCGCGAGACGACACGAGAGAAGTCAACAGGCGCAAAATGTGCGCACGACTCTTGGCCTGCCCGTTGTGCTCTCAGCCTGGATTTCTGACACTCGACGCGCTGCGAGCTGGACTCGTGAGTGTGGCGACCCGGCCCCTCGTATGCCCTGTCTGCAACGAAGTGCTGTTGGGCATAGACAAATTAACTATACACCTGTTCGGTCATACGATCAATCTGAGCAACAACAATGCGACGACGGAGTCGTCCAAGCACGTAGACGTTGTCCTCCCCGACGAGCGTCTGATCGCGCTCCATAATCTGCACAATGTCGCCCCGCAGAACTGGAACGCGCTGATGAAGATGCAGCAATTGAACAAGTCGCAAGCTTCGAGCGGGACGAGCAGTCGCGCGGAGTCGTCGGGGAGCAAGGTCCATGTTACGAACTCACAGTCCCAAGTGCAGAATCAAGACTCGCTTGGCAAGAATACGGCTCAGCAGTTCGTGTCGGATTACAATTACGATGTGATCAAGATCAATATCCGGCCGAGCGAGGATCACGGCGCCGCGTTAGGGGCAACTGCGAGCCTGCAAGAGGTACTGAAGACACACTGTGTCGCGCAATCCTTCTGCAACGACAACGTTAAGCAGCTGAGCGTGTCCCGAGAAAATGCACCGACGGAGAAGAGCGTGTCGGACTTCGGCAACGACTGGATGGAGAAGCGGAGCTGCGGGCCTGCTGTGGACGCTAACGTCTACCAAGGTATCGAGGCGGGTTGCATGGAGTCGAGCAACGGTCAACACATCGCGAAGGAGAGACCGATGATGAGTTTAATGGACAAAGAGAACGACCTGACCGACTTCCAGTCGATCCAGGACGCGGTGCCGATTTGCTGCATGGACACGTCGCTGGAACAACGGCACGACGACAAGCAGAGTCCGCGCGATACGAAGGAACCGATCGCCGAGGATCGAGACAACGGTTCGAAGGAGCAGAGGAGGATACTGGCCGTGCAGACGTGCGCTAAGATCTTCCCAAGCGCCACGCCGAAGGAGAAGACTGAGAGGTGCGACGTATGCGGCTTCCACTTCCCCGACGTCAACATCTTGACACTGCACCAACAGCTGGTGCACGAGCAGGAGTCGGAGAACGCCTCGGGAGGGAAGGTTCTGAAAAATTACTCGTGTCACCTGTGTTCGAAAGTATTCAAGATGAGAGGCAGCTTGATGGTGCACATGAGGGTTGTGCACATCGGCCATAATTTAGGCAAGTGATCGCGACTACTACTTTCGAAACTCTCTGTTCGATCGGTTCAATCCAATCTAATGATTTATGTTTATACACACACACACACACAGGTTCTTTACCTAAAGACGGCCAGATCGAAGTGGCACACGGCGAGGTCGGCTACAACTGCCCAACGTGCGGGAAGAGATTCAAGAAAGTGAGGATATTCCCCTGCTTTCTCGCCCCTTTGACGTAAAACTTTGTCGTAACGTAAACACGCCTAGTCGAAACCGCTCACGGTAATCCCCCGCTTGTATATATATATATATATATATATATATATATATCTTTTTCTCTGTTTCGCCGGCGTGACAGGAGCAACACGTGATACAGCATCTGAAAACGCACGAGGGCAAGCAGTGGGAGTGCGACGTCTGCAGCAAGATGTTCACGACCAAGTACTTCCTGAAGAAGCACAAGCGACTGCACTCGGGCGAGATGCCGTACAAGTGTAAGATATGCGACAAGAGCTTCACCTTCCAACAGTCGTATCACAAGCACAGGCTCTACCATAAGGACGACAAGCCTCACACCTGCGCGACCTGCGGCAGATCGTTCAAGGAGCTCTCCACGTTGCACAATCACGAGAGAATACATACCGGGGAGAAGCCGTTCGCGTGTGAGACATGCGGTACGTTGAAGGAGAGCACGGCGGAGAGCTCGGGAGCGAAAGCGACACCCTATAACAGGTCCACGCCGGTATCGGATTAACTAACAATTTAACTGCCGATTACCGTGTTCTCGTTTTGCCTAGTGTCTGTAACAATGTGCTGCGTGCATGACAGCAGGTAATTTCCAAAGAGCGCTGGTTATTCGGTTAGCGTGAATCAATGCAACGAATGCTCTTAACAACAACGACGAGTAATCCCCCTGTATTCCCCGTATTGATTCTTCCGCAGGGAAGTGTTTCCGCCAGCGTGTTTCGTATTTAGTCCATCGTCGAATTCACACGGGAGTGATGCCTTATAAGTGCACAATGTGTGGCAAAAGCTTCCGATACAAGGTATTCTCCGTACGATCCGCAATACGCTTCGGCCGTCGCGTGTCTCGCTTATCAATGCCCCTCGTGTTTGTGCTTCCAGGTGAGCCAACGAACGCACAAGTGTCCCGCGCAGGCAGCACCGGTTGGTGCAGCGCAGCAATCGCCGGACGCGATTGCACAAAAGAATAACGACGAGACGACCAGGCTGCAGGCTAACAACACTTTACAACAATCCGTAGGGGAATCGATGATTAATACCGTTGATAAGGAGGAGAACAAATTTGTACTTATAATAAATGCTGAAGGACAACATGTTCTAGCACTGCAGTCGGAGATAAACAATATATCTACGGAGAAAGAAGGAGGAAAGCTGGAAGGCGCCGATAACACAGACAAAAATTCGAGAAGCAAGACGTGGAGCACTGACGATCTTGATTCCTTCAAGCTCAAGGAGCCTTCTGAAACAATCGAGAAGACGCAGTCGGAGAAGATAAATATGAAAAACGACTTTCTCTCGCTGATGATGTCGCGTCTTGAGAACAGCGTGTCCTCTTCCACCTTTGAAATGGAACATCTGAGAGTATCATCGCCCAAGCAGAAAGAGAATTTGATAGACTCTTATACTGACTTTTCGCAGATCTCTGATAACGCACAGATGAATATCGTGGATTCAAGAGTGGAGCAGAACCTTACTCGCGACAAGGACGTGTCCGATTCTTTGCAAACCATAAACGTAGAATCATTGAAGGAATTACTGTACAGTATTGATAGAAAATAAAGCGACTGTGTGTGTATATACATATATATATATCTGTGTAATGTAAAAGTACAAACTAACGTTACGTTAACGTCGTCTATCGATCGTAGATCAATATATAGAAAAGCAAAGGATATTTATTCTAATTCTAACATACATGAACAAACATACACGATTGTAATTACGTTTCGCCAACTTTGTACATGAACCACATGTAAACTGGACTAATGAAAACAATGATGTCACATTTCTATATCGACAGTAAATTGAATTGGATATTTTATTTCATACGTGATTTCACGCTCCAAATATCCGACGTCTCTCTCTCTCCCTCTCTCGATTCCTTTCTCTCTCTCCCTCAAATGATTTACAAGACGGTTGACGTTACTCGTTCGTCATGATTTATCCTTCAGTGCCCGTCATCTCACATGTATATCCGCTGGAGATTCACGAATCGCCGCTGACGCGCTCGCGTCGAACATCACGGTGGATGCGCATTGCGGCGTGACTCTCGCGCGTTCTCGCGACGCGATTGGCCAACGCGCCGCTGCCCGAGGCGCGACCGCCAATCGGCGAGTGTGGCGCGGTAGCCGACGGCGCTGGCGGCGCACGCACTTTCGAACGCGCTGGAACACCTGCGTCTTCTGCAACCACTTCGGTCGAGATATCTCGTAGCAGACGACGCGCAGGGATCGACTTGACAGCTCACTCTGTATTTTCACGTGTCGCCTCGCGCATCGCGTTGCGTAACTGGAGAGTCCGACTTCCAGGGGAGGAGCTCCCTTTTTGCGGTAAGTGGAAACGTAATCTCTCCCCGTGGAAGGGAAAGACGCGCGCGTCCAGGGTCGCTCACGTCGTGGTCGCCGTGTCGCGTCGTCTCGTGCCGTCGACGCGTGCTACGACGTGGTGCGTCCACGGGAACACGATCGACGAACGTGCGTAGGCACACAGCTGATTCGTGTCAGGTCATTCGGGGCTGTCTCAACATCGCTCAAGCAGTAAAATCGTGCCCTGCCGTTTATCGACGGCCAATTGGCCGCTGCCAAACGAACTGCTCAGCCAATCCGAGCTGCTACCGTCCGCTTGCTTGCTCATACGCTCGCATTAAGCGAGCTCGGGGACTGCCGAGAGAACCTGACATCTGTTACGACATCCGGAACGACCTCGTCGTGTCCGTGGTGCCACGAGTTCGCGAAACTGTTTCGCCGTCGTCGCGTCGGCGAGCCGAGCCCTCGTCGCGACGACGCGTTTACTCGCGCGTCCATGTAATGTCACACAGCGTCGCAGTGGCGCATATTTCGATCGGTTTGAACGCACGACGATCGACCGGACCTTGGCACGCCTGAATGCGTGCGTTTATATGCAACGCAACGCGTGCGCTGCGTCCCACTGCGACACCACGGGCGGAGGATTTTCAACGGCGATGTCCTACGCACGTCCGTCTGAAGAACGACGCGTGCTTCTCTTTCTCTATCTTCCTCTCCCCCTCCCTCCCTCCCGGTATCGTTAATTCTCGATTTTAAATTTGTCCGCCATCACGGCCTACCGCGCGTCATTATGCGACATTGCCTCGTAAATCCGCGGCACGAAGTCAAGGTAATTGCGCGATATGTGCTAATGAGTTGTTTTGTCGCAGCGGAATAACGGGCGCGTCGAGCGACGACAAATCTGCTCGCTTTTTCTTCTCCGCAGCGGAGCGTCATCGATTTTCGCTGTCGATAACGCCGAGGCGCGGTGTCGCTCGCCTAAAACGCATAAAACGTCGCGTTACATAAACGACCACGCGTAGCCGTGTATTTTTCTCTCCCGACTCTCGCGTGTTTGAGAGTGGCGAACGATCAATCGGTCGGTCGGCGAACGAGCGAGCGACACACGCACGAGTGAGTGAACCGCGTGATCGACGCACGATACGCGATAAAATACGGTTTCTCTCGCGGAAAAGTGTCGTGCGGCCGATTTATGTAAGCGCCTCTCTCGCCGAGGCCGGTTCGCTCACGCGTCGCTCGCGCGCGCGAGCGACTCTGGCAAAAGTGAAAATTTAAAAAAACGGCCGAGCAAGATGGCCGTTCGCGCCGCGTCGCTGTCGTCGCGCTGCGACTCGCCGCGTTCCCGAACACACCTGACTCTACCAACAGCGCTCGGCTGCGACGCGGCGACGTACGTGCGTGCGTGCGTGCGTCGTTCGTTCGTTCGTTCGTCGCGCGTGTGCGTGCGTGCCTGTCAGTCTCGTCCGCCTGCGTCTCTCTGCCTGCGTTCACACGTACGTGCGTGCTCCGATTGCTCGCTCGCTGGCCAGCGCGTGACGTTAGCCGAACGAACGGGGGCGGAGCGTCCTCCGGCCTCCCAATTCTAACCAACCCGATAACCTGTCGCATTCCGCCGATTCGCCTTCAGTACGGCTCAATGTGTTCAGTGTGTCGCTTCGTTCGTGTTTATTTGCACATCGTCGTCGTCGTCGGCAGTGGTGTGTGCACGCTCATCGCCCGCACCGTGTACGGATAGCCGCTCTGCCCCCCTCCCCTTGCGATCCTTCGAGCATCGTTCGTACCTACCTATCTACGTGCGTACATGCATGTGTATGCACGCGTGCATGTGCGTACGTACGTTCGTCCGTCCGTCCGTCGCTCGTGCACTCCAGGACAATAAGGAAACGTCGCAACAACGACCGAGAGATACGCTGAAATCGCGCGATGTCCTGGGCATGTTTTCTCGACATTCAGGTAAAAGGGTGCATCGGTTAGTTGCCTTTTTCTCTCTCTTTCTTTCTTTCACTCTCGCATATATACACGCATATATATTCCCTCTTTCTTTCTCTCTTTCTCTCCTTTCTTTCGAAATGACTCCGACGAGTCGAAGAGAACGTTGGAGGCAGCGCGTAGGGTGGAAGGAGGTACCCGAGCGAGCGGTGGGTAGACGGAAGGGAGGAGTATGGAAGAGCCCGGAGGGGAAGGAAGAAGGGGGCTTCTCTTTTTTGGAGGACCTCAACCTGAGGTCACAGAGAACGACGGAGAGCAACAGAGAGGAGAGGAGCGCGAACAGAGAGTGGAACGAGAGAGAGAGAGAGAACCCGTCCTCCATTACTCGCGAGCGAGCGCAAATGGTGGCTGGCTAGCTGGCTGGCTCGCTCACTCACTCACTCGCACGCTCGTTCTCTCGCACGCACGAGTCTTTGTTACGCTCGTTCAAAGCAACCTCTGGCTTTCGGGATTCGCCAGCGGAAAGAAGGAAATCGAAGCTCCGGGGAGGACTCTTCTCCTCGCTCTCTCGACGCTTCTTTGTGCCTTTATCGCGGTTCCTCCTCCGCGGGAAGGCGGACTTGGTTGCCGTCATGTCAACGGCACAATTCTGTGTTAGTCACTGATAACGCGCGGACGGACGGACGGATGGAGACGAACGGTGCAGTCGTAGTGTTTGTTATGATTCTCGGTTCGTTACTATCTCTCTTCGCTACTGCCGCCGGGGGAAAACATTAATTGCGTATCGTACCCTGACCGTTTTATTTAGTCACGCTCTTGTTATCCGAGCGCATATGGCTCGCTTTGCCAAGGCACGAGGATTTTTTTTGTTAGAAATCGTGATATCGATATCGCTGGCGTCGCGCTACCACCCGCCGCCGCTGCCGCTAAGCAGTTCGTTGTGTATCACGCGTGGCGTGCAGCAGAGCAGCGTACCAGTCGAACGATAAAATCGCCGACCGCGACCGAACGGGGCATTTAAATCCTTCCTTTGTGTGCTCATTTAAATGTAACACCTGGCCGTGCGCGCGATAAATAGGCGGCCTCTCTTCCTCCAGCCAGACCGTGCGGCATTCTTGCTCGTTTGGACTTCGAACGCAAGCGATAATCGAAAGTAAACCGCGCGCGAGCCTGATAGCGTTGTTAATGTTTTCCTCCAACAAAGGAGGTTGGAACGAGGAAACTCGGTATTCGCGAGTGTGCAGTGGTGCCGTTCTCGTCTGGCCGCAAGTCTGCGCGATCGAGATATATATCCCTCATAGCGTTCCTTCTTCTCCATTGTGTCGTTCTTCTCGTCTCTCTTGTTATGTGCACACACATTTGCACGGAAATAGGAACGTTGCTTAGGTTGCGCCGATTTACGACTTGACGATGCACCAACTCGACCCGTCCGAGCCTCCCTCCTTCCATTTTTGCGTTCCGATTGTCCGAAGTTGTCTACTCGAATTTTGGAATTACTTCGACCGTTGTGTGTCAGTGCGTTATAGTGCGTGCGATCGGTGAAAAGTACTCCGTACCGTAATCGTCCGTAAATGCCGAAATCTCTCGTCGAATCTCGAGATTACCCTCGATTCGATCCTTCCTGTGAATTTCGCTATACACGTTGCGTGTGTACCAAGTGAACGATGGCACTCGTACTTGTAATTGTCGATCGCGTGTTGAATTGAAAACAACTGAGTTTCTCGTGCTCGACTACATCTTTGTGATCAAGGAAGAGCTCTCTACCTTTGTATTTCCTTGTCTTTTCTTTGCAGACAGAATAGTGGCATGAGTCGATTAATCTATGGCAGATCAACAAGATCAGTCGTCATCAGGGGGGTCTGTAGAGAAGGCCAGTGCTGCAGCGGACACCTCTAAAGCTAGGGGGAAAGGCTCTAGCAGTGGTTACAGTAGTTACAGAAAACGACAAAGTAGCAGTGCAATCTCAGATACGGTGGAGGAGAAGAGACGTAGACAGATCACTGACGACCCGCAGACGTCCCAAGTTGTCGGTAACACAACGCACACACATTCGATCGATTCTTCCAAGGGGGAAGTTAGACTCAGAGGTGAACGAAGAAGTCATGGAGCTGGCTTAGAATCTTATCCAGGTACGATTATCCAGCGTCTACTCATCCAGAGATAAGGTGTTTTGTCACAATATTTCTTTTTCTGCTCGTCGTTGTGCGTAATTCTATGTAACATTATTGCGTTATTGCACAATCTTGGCAAACTAATTCATTATCGTTACGCGATTATCTTGTTCTATGCTTAGATCAATTTTCTTCTTGAACTTGTTGTTTGTCTGAGGTTTCCTCTAAAAAGTCTTTCTCTTTATCGTGTTTATAACGTAAACACCAGATAAAAGTTTATTCAGCTTCGGCTCGGTCAATAATTACACATATAATGATTATTTGGAAATATTTCCATAACAGATACTAACTGGAGGCCACATCATAAAGTTCATCAAGCCAACTATAATATCGGTAGTAGCAGTACGAGGGTGCGTAGTGCAGCAAGGACAAGTCTGCCAGAGTTAAATTTAACAGCCACCGATTGTGTGGCCTCGCGAACCCGTTCTCGTACACCACAAAATCCACAAGCGTTGACACAGGGAGCTAGCAGTTACGATCTGTCATTATCCAGTGGATATAGCCGGAAAACAGCTACCACCTTCAGCGACGTAGTACCTTCCTCAAGTACGACGTCACTCACTAGTCATCCATCCACATCGAGAGGACGAGGTTAGTGCATATCTTTTCTACTCGCATTCTTACCGATTGCAAGAAGATATGATGTGTGATTTGAGTGAAGATACCAGTTTTGCCTTAGCATCGTTTCAATCGATCACACACAAAGGCCTCGAACTAACAGCGATATTCCGTAGATCAGAGATTTTAGTGATACACGTTGTTTCTATGTATTGACAGAAATTAATCTGTATTTTTTGTTTTCTTCTTATTTTTCTTCCTTTATGTTTTCTAACACTAACGATAAGAGAGGTACTTCTCTATGTATGATTCAAAATTTATTGGATATATATATATATATATATATATATATAAACATTTAATTTGCATTAAAAAAAATAAAAGTAAACGCAAAATTAATAAACTCAGTATTCTGGAAATAATTCACAATGAACATTATAATATTGGTAAAAGAGAAAACATTTTTCTGTTCGTTTTAATTTCTAGCTACTTGTGTAGCTACTATATTTACCAAGTTAATTGTTGTGTTATTTCAAAATATGATACATCTTTTCCATCTAACCAATTTCTAATAACTAAGAAGAGAGTAGTAAATATATAAATCTGATAGGTACAATGTGTGCAACAACATTGTATACACAAAAACAAGAAAGAACAAATTGCGTAGTTAGGTAGTATCTTAGAGCTAACCTATAGTTACATAAATCCCAGCAAGATTTTATGGAACATGTATTTCCGTATTTACGCTGATATACGTTCACACTTATACGTATTTCTATACGTACCAACACGTATACACGTATCTCTTTTTGCAACGCCTGCAGTCTTATTCTTTGGTAGACTTTTGAAATTACTTACTGAGAGAATTTAATATGATAAAACTAATAATATGTAATATGAAATCCTGAAGAATTCGTCTAAACTGTTGTGTGACATACCTCACGTGAGGGAAGCATTATACGATAAGTATAATAATTAATAATAGCAGCACACAGCACATATTCTATACACTTAGTGTAATTATATCGAGAGCTTGATCTAACAATGAAACACACAAAAATTGGAAATCAATAACATAGTCTTATGTGTGACAAAAGAAAAACTGATCAAATCAGTGTAATAGATTTAAATATTGTTGACAAGATTTTATAATATATAAAAGACCGTGATAAAAAAGAAAGGCATTTAAGTATAGAAGAATATATTCAAGAAAACATGCGCGCGGGCGCGTGCAAAAAATATATTTCAATAATAAGAGATATAGTAAAGTTAACAAAAAAGCGCAAGCGTTATCAAAATAAGAGTCATAGATCAGACTGTATCATTAGGCCTGAGGATGAGCGAATGTCTGGAAGGATTTGTGTCTGCTGTCAAAGCACTTTTTCCAATATCAACACAAACGTATCATCAAGAAGGTAAGCCTAAGGAGTACACACTTCGTATCACAATTTTCTTCCCCTTATTTTCTCTTACAAGTTCGTGAGTAGATGTCTTTAAGCGAATATCAGAGTCATTGAACTCCATTCTAAACTTATTCCCTACATCCATATGCAAGTATCATCACTTACTATAATTATACCGCCAGGTAAACTCGTGTGTCAGGTTTTATTTATGCATGATTTTAGTTATGTAAATACTTAGGGAAAATACGATTCCAGCTATTGTACTACATTCTATTCAATTTCGACATATAATCACCACAAAAATTATATAATATTTATAAAAAATGCATATTAATGCATCTTGACTTAATATTGAAGCATTAAAATCTGTACTTCTTAAATTTTCTGAATTTTTACTATATGCGCACAGGGTGAAATTATTATTAACAATTTATATATATATATAATTACATATATTAAAAATACTAGGAATGTTTCGTACAATTTTAATATCTACTATAATATAAACCAAGAAATTGTGACATTCTTTATAAATAATGTTTGATAAATATATTGTACTAAAATTTTATGTGAAAACTGTTTTCCAAGATTTTCGTAAAGTTTCTTATAAACATGTGCAGCTTAAGATTCATAAATAGCTACTTAGTAATATAATGAAAAGTAAGACTAAGTATAATATTACTATATAAACGTTACATTGGTGTCATAAATATTATCATTTAAAATCGCATATGTTACATACATTTTGTATGTTTTATTTCGAAATTATAAGATCAGAATTGTTGTTTCTATCTTTTTCTTATGTATTTAATAATTCGTACATTTCGTTTTGGTAACAAGCCAATATTGATAAATATCAGTACAGTCTAATCCATGAAAGGTGAGTATGTGTTCTCCAACGGATATGGTTATTGTCGTGTTTTCTATGATCCAAATTTAATGAAACGACATCTGCCTTACCCCAAATTTGTCAAAATATCTGTAAACGAAAGAGGAAGGACAGGACAAATCTGAAGTACTTTCTGACTTAAATACGTGATGCAATATACAAGTGCTTATAGTCGCGATAACTTTTGAAACATTTTTCTCCGCGTGTCGAAGGAACCGTTTATCTCTTGTGAAAGTTGATTTTTATTGCGTAGTAATACTCTTGCTATCAATCTTTTATCACACATACAATCATCAATCTTTCCTTCTATGCTTCTTGCTAAGAATTAGCTGGTTGAAATTAGATGAAGTCTGAAATTAATATACAACGATGCTATTTGCTTTGTTACATTTTGTTTGATAAGAATTATATGTGTTGTACTATACAGAGTACAGGGATGAAAAAACAGTATTATTCGATTCATTTCTCAATGATTTTGACATCTCTCTTCGCAGTTCTCTGATATTTAACATTAAAAACATCAATACTTAAAAATCTAATTAAAATTCGCTTTTTTTTTGTATCTGTTGTAACTATTAGTATCGCGACATTTAAGCAAGCGTTATCCATTCCATGACTTTTGATTTCTACGTTTTAGAAAAAGTGTGCAACATTTGATGCATCTGTACATAATATTTGTACATAATAATGACGCCAATATTTATAAGACTTCGAATATAATTGGCAGAAGAAATTTTACATGCACATATATATATGTATGTATGTATATGTATGTATCCATCGCAATGAAAATCGTACATCACCGATATTCATCAAACTTGCGAAAATGTTTGATATTTTGAATTGCGCACAACAGAGGATTGTGAAACAGGCTTGAGATATTGTTCTTTCTCCAAAAACATCTCACCCTCTTGCATTCAACATGTTACATATACTGAAAATGCTATATATGTACTTGTACAGCAAGTTTGACACCCACATTGAAAATTATGAAAATCTGTGCAGCATTGCGTGCAGTTAGTTAGTCGAATATACAAAAAATCAGTCTCTGCTCTTCGTATCTCAATGATCGTGTGACATTTGAATATTTTAGATTCAAAGTCCCACGGCGGTGCAACTTGCACGAGCAGCAGCACGAGCAGTCAAGCTTCCAGTCAAGGTGTGAAGTCCAGCGTCAGAGTGGGTAACGCAGCCAGCAACTCTGTGGAGAGTGGTGGGGGTGCGTTGGCACATGACGGGGCAGGCACGAGTGGCATCGCATCGACAGCCACTGCCAATCCACCTGTGTCTGCCACCGTTTCTGCCAACCCAGCACACCCTCATTCTACACACAAGCATTTGCTACGCTCACGAGGGAAGACTTCTACCGAGCAGTATAAAGAACTACCGTCAAATAACAAAACTTCGGGAAAGCATCACAAGAAAGACTCTACGACGGGTTCCTGTTCAAGTTCCAGGTATAACAATGGACCCGAATATGTTTCTCTCGAGCGATTGCTTACCGAAAATTTGCCCGAGAAAAATCTCAGGCAAGGTTGCGCTCGAATAAGGAACCTAGTTTTTTGTCATAATAGCAAGTATAATTTCGTCATTTGCACACAGAGAAAAATATTGTAGCGAAGAAAAGCAATTGCTCTATTTATTTTTCTATTTTCATATAATGCTTATATTGAACGAAGAATATTTTCTTCATAATAGCATTAAAATATATACTCATCGCAAATATTAAAAAAGTTTATTATCTGAAGTACTAAACTTACTAGGATTCAGAATATATTTTGAAAAAGTTTGATGCTTATGTTGAACTTACGATATATCTGCGGATATATAAACTTATGTGATATATTCGAAAGAAACAGTATTTACTTGAATGGAATATGTATTTTTCTGTATACGGAGACTGTTTTTCGTGCTTGAGATGGTCATATTTGTCCAAAATACCAGTCTTTCAAAGTAACATTTTTGATCTTCTAGCTGCTAATAAGACTCTTGTCGACGTTGTCGTGTCACTAAGAGCTATGTTTGCTACAGGCTACTTTCTCGTGCGTTGCTCCACATATAATCGGTTTAGAAAGAAAGAAAAGAACAATTATGAGTCCCCGACACACGCGCGCATATATAATCTACACTTTGTTACAGGCATCGCTCCTCATCGCGAGTGAGGAAGCCGCCAGTGGTTGAGAGTGGCTCTGGTGGATTGAGCAGTGTGATGTCAGGTAGTGATTCTATCAGCGCTACGCCGACATCAGTATCATCCTCTGTCCCTGGTAGCCAGCTAGTCTCAACCACCGGTGAAGAGGAATCGGCATCAACTGCTACATCCGCCACCGGTAAATCATTATCGATTTTATCGACTGTTAACCACGGCGTGAAAACACTGATGCGCATGTTTACATATGAAGCAAGTGGAGGACCATCCGGTATGTCGGGTACCACTGGTGATAGCGAAAGCGATGACGGGGAAGTCGGACGATTGCAGGCTCTATTGGAAGCTAGAGGACTTCCACCTCATGTATTCGGGGCATTAGGACCACGAATGCAACACTTGCTAAATAGAAGCATGGGTGCGACTGCTGGTATAAAAAAATAATAATAGATTATTGGCTAATAATCACAGACGATGATGTACGTCGTTTTGTGTCGCATATGTTTTGGCAGAGTTTCTTCTAGTTGTCTCACATTTTTAGTACATATAATAAGTTGGGGGAAAAAAAAACATGATTGAATAATACATAGACGTACACACGCATAAGAACTGAAAAAAAAAAGGGAAAAGAAAATACCTTGTCTATCTCTCGTAGTTGTCGCATAAATTGCTTGCAATATTTCACACATTCATCGCCAAGTTCGTCATCACCTAACCTGAGTCAATACATTTCAGCTGCAAAAGCCCAACAGTTACTTCCCGGTTTGCAAAACGCCGACGACGAAGGTGAACAATTGCAAGCTGTTATCGGTATGGGGGAGATACTTGTGATGGGAAACGAGGATACTTTAACAGGATTTCCTGTCAAACAAGTGGTCGCAGCTTTAATTAATTTATTGGGAATTGAGCATAATTTTGTGATAATGACCCATGCGTGCCGCGCCCTTACGTACATGATGGAAGCGTTGCCACGGTCGTCCACCGTCGTGGTAGACGCGGTGCCGGTGTTCTTGCAAAAACTGGAATCGATCGAATGTATGGACGTAGCCGAGCAATGTCTGACGGCACTGGCCATGTTGTCACGCAGGCATAGCAAGACGATTTTACACGCGGTACGTATACTTGTGCCTTACTTGGGAAATATCACGAGATATTTGCAAGTATTTCGAAGATATTCTCGACGATCTCGCGACTGATGTGCATTTTAACATCGTGATCGATCAATGGTCTTCGTTTTTCTTTGACTTTCAGGGTGGTGTGTCAGCCTGTTTGAAATTTGTGGATTTTTTCAATATCACAGCGCAACGCGCGGCATTAACGATTACCGCAAATTGTTGTCAGAATCTCCATCCGGATGATTTTCACTTGGTAGTGGACAGTTTGCCATTATTAACGAGCAGATTAACGAATCAGGATAAGAAGAGCGTCGAGTGCGTATGCCAGGCATTCAGTCGATTGGTTGACAGTTTCCAACACGATCCTGTTATGCTGCATAAGATTATCAATGGCGAACTCCTGCAAAATTTACAACAATTGGTACGTGAGCGGAGGTTGAATGTGTGTATTTAAATCATGTGTCATATATTTATCGTTGAGTAATCTACTGTAAATCTCTGTTATTTATACGTTATTCCATATCTTCTCCATTGTAGCTTATGATTACGCCACCGGTTAATAGCATTGGCAATTTCATAACTGTATTACGAATGCTCTCTGTGATATCCAATCGCTGTCCCGATCTGGCACAGTTGTTACTGCAGCAAAATATAGCTTACACGTTAAGTTATCTTTTAACCGGATCTCTGGACGTTAAAACGGAAGATGTGGAGTTGGTGTCGCGTTCTCCCCAGGAATGGTTCGAAATTACGTGTTTAATCGAAGAACTTATGCCTCCATTACCAACAGATGGGATATTCAGTGTAAATAGCTTACTCGAAAGGACCAGTAATCAGCAAGAAACTGTCCACTGGGAATGGCGCGACGAAAGACACTGTTGCCACCCGTTCAGTACTATAGATTCTAGAATTATCGAGGTAATTGAACAGCACACACACACACCGATAATTGACATCAATTGCCAAGTTACATCGTCAAGTGCAACCGTGCGTACGTCTTTCAGATGGCGTTTCAGAATGGCGAAGATGAGATATGCCTTTCCACTTTAGGACGAACTTACACTATAGATCTGACTGTGATGAAACAAATTAACGAGGATATGGGAATGGCAAGAAGTATATTTCGCAGAGTAAACGCCAATCCTACTGAAGGAAAGAGTCCTACTTGCTCATCTAGGTACGAGTCACACACAGCGACTATCCCTGGCTTCGAGGCTGTAACGGTCTTGCTAAATTGTAATTGTGTCGCGCTTATTGGTTGCAGCATGGATGTCGTGCCTCCGGTAATCGAGACGAACGAATGGCTAGTGTCTTTTATTCGAACTCTATTCTCTGTACTATATGAGGTTTATAGTAGCTCGGCAGGGCCTGCTGTAAAGTGCAAATGTCTCCGAGCGCTTCTTCGTATGGTATATTACGCCTCAACTGATTTACTTAAGGTAAGAGACGAGGCACAAACTCCGCGACACGTCAACTCCGCGATACGTTCTAATTCCGAGTGTTTGTCCCGCCGTGTGCAGGATGTTCTAAAGAATCAAGTGGTTTCGTCGCATATAGCTGGTATGCTAGCGTCGCAAGACTTGCGCATAGTTATCGGGGCTCTTCAGATGGCGAGTATCCTGATGAAGAGGTTACCACAAGTATTTGGGGTTCATTTTCATCGCGAAGGCGTGCTTCATCAAGTTCGTCAATTAGCGGATCCTGAAGTACCTCTCGGTGTTTCACCACCCAAGTGCCCTTCTGGTAAATCGCCATGCTAGTTGGCAATCTAATGAGCCGATTTACGCGCGGTTTAAATCACATTAAGTCACGATGAACATACGTCGTCACACGACACTTGATCTTATTATTCAGGTACATCCTTACCAAGCCCACAGCCAGGACCGTCTAATACACCACTTTCTTCCACCGCAATGTTGTCTTCTAGTAGTACCACGTCTCCTGTTGTCTCGCCCTCCACGAACGGCAATATATTGTTCGGTACTATCGCATCATGTCAGCATAATACGAATATCGCCGCTTCGCTGGAACCACACAGAACGGAATTGAGCAGCAATGCGGATGAACCGAGCACACCGCAGACTCATCTGTTAGTATCAAGTGTTGTCCAACCCGCGTCGAAAAGCGGTAACCACACGTGGCCAATCTCGCGCTCACGAGCTGCTCTTTTCTGTCTGGTTAGAAGGATCGGTGACGTGCTGAAGAGGAAACGGCAAAACAAGAAGGGTCGTTTCTCGAGATTGGGAGGCGCTACTTCGCAGCAGGCGCAGCAACCGGAATCTCTCTTCACCGGATTCACCCCCAAGAACCACCGATTCCTGGGCAATCTCAATCCAGCCAGATGGGGCCGCAAATCGTCCTCGTCCAGTTCCACCAGCGACAAGAGAGACTCGAGCTCGTCCACGAGCCTGTCGAAACCACCGAGCAATCCGAGCTTGACCGGCGGGAACCGGGATAAGGCAAAGGCGTGGGTGCGCGAGCAGGCAGCGCAGTTTTTGGCGAGATATCAGGACGACGCACCCTGTTCGCATCCGGCCCTGACGGTCCTCGCTCGGCTGACCGCCGCGATACAGCGATTGCAATCAAACGTAAGTGATGCACGGCTACTTGGATACATGTATGCCTCGCTTTATGTAATTATGCGTTAACTGCTTGACATAAATTTCGAGCGATCAATGAGATCGCATAGTTCCGACGTGGGTATCGGCAAAATGATAGAAACTCGAAATTTGGTAACATATATACACAGATTTTCAGATCTTGGCTAAACTTGAGAGTACGGGAGAAAATGGTTGTTTAAAATTTTACCTTCTCCTTAGTTTGGCACTCGTGCGGGTTAAATTGATCCGAACATACATTGCAACAACTCACTTTTCCTCATTTATTTCAAAATATCATACTTTTCTCACTTAAAAAAAATACTCACTTTTCTGTTACTCGACTTGCGCCCCGTAAGAAAAATCGATCATAAGAAATTATGTTCATTCATTTATTTCTTAAAGATAAAACGGAAAATTAAAAAAAAACGTGAATGATTCTGATGACACAATATTCATAAAGTGAAGAATTGTGATTTTATTTTTAAGCTGTCTTCATCAGGTTTGTCAGAAAACCAGGCAATGACCGTCAAGAGTGCACTTGTGTTTTCTTTAAAATTACATAATGAAATCTTTTATCCATTCATGATTCTTCTATCAAGCTGAAACATTTACAAACAAAACCAAGAAAACAGACAGTGACATATTGTATATTGATGATTCTTGTACATTCAAAATCTGTATATTGATCAAGCACATTTATAGATATTTAAATAAGAGCATATCAGAAAAGTGACTGGACTCTCACCGATCTAGTGTGCCAACAAAGGATTAAAGCGGCAGGTTTGAACCTCACAATCCGTGTTAACAGTGGCGCAACGACATGTTTGCAGGAATTAGACGAAATGTTATCAGCACTCACGGAATTGCGGGACATCGTCCTCGAGAGCGATATATCGCCCTTCGAGATGAATTACAGCGGTCTTATCAAGGCTCTATTAAACTACCTCACTACCACGGATGCGCCTGGCAATCGTTACGATCGCCTTCGTATGTTCTGGAAATTGTTTGCGGAGTCGACTGTAAGCGAAATCTCTCTCTCTCTCTCTCTCTCTCTCTCTCCTCTCTGTTGCATCTACTTTCTCCTTCCGTCTGAGACACGCATAATCCACGTGATGATTCCTCGCAGATGCAACAGAACAATGACATCATGGATCTTAATCCCGGGGCATTCGGTGCTCTGGTGGCGAAATTGAACAGCTGCGTCGCGCAGCTAGAACAATTTCCAGTGAAAGTTCACGACCTGCCAGCCGGCTCCGGTGCTGGTCGTGGCGGCACCAGCGCCCTCAAGTTCTTTAATACCCATCAACTGAAAGTACGTGAGAATTATCGGCCATCTCTCATTCAACTAGACATTTCATCGACTGACGACATGACGCATACGAACTCAAACGTACATCGAATTTTGCAGTGCAATCTTCAACGTCATCCGGACTGCAATAATCTGAAACAATGGAAGGGCGGTCCTGTAAAGATCGATCCCCTGGCGTTAGTACAAGCGATTGAACGATATTTGATGGTGCGTGGATATGGTAGGATACGAGATGCCGAATCGATGGTTAGTGACGACGACAACAGCGAGGACGATATCGACGATACTTTGGTAATGATGTGTTTTCATTTTCACGATCACACTTCTTCTTTACCTGTTTCGAATGGAAAAACCAAACGAATCTACGCGAATATCGTGCAGATTCAGAAATATCCTTCCGTAAAGACCGAACCAGCGTTAATCTGGACAAAGTGGTTATCAAATAGTGCCGACGATCGAAATACGCATTATATGAAAGAGAATGACTAATCGACCTGATATCATTTTCATTCCGCACAGGCGGCAGTCGTGATAAGCCAAGGATCGGCGAAGCACAAGCTTCAGTTTTTAATCGGTGATGTAGTTCTGCCGTTTAACATGACGGTCTATCAGGCTGTCAGACAATTCGGATGTTCCGGAGTGGATCACTCGGAAGCGGAAGCCGACAGTGAACCGCCGCTGGGGCACGATGCGGTGTGGGTGCAAACCCATACAATATATTACAGGTATTTTCGTATGCTTCCCACTGTACCCCGCGGTAGTGATAACGAAATCGGTGTTGCGAGCCGAATGTGCACGTCGATCTTTTCGCGCCGAGTCGCACATCGGCCACTTTTTTTTTTCACCGTGCCGTTGCGTTCGATCGAATATAATCCTTTCACAAACATCGACTTTTATGCGATTGTTCAAGAATCGGTAAAGAACTTTTATACTCTTCTGGATATAGACCTGTACCAGAAGAAGATGCCGCGACTTCTCCAAAATCAGGGTCGAGTTCACAGGGTAGTAGCAGAAAGGGCAAGGGGAAAAGTACAAAAATTAGTTCGAAGAGGAAAGAGGACAGTCTCTGGCTGGAAGGCACAGTCCCACCTCAACGTTGTCCTCTCGCACCATACCTGTCCCCCGTATTACCGCCGTCAGTGACCATCACGGACGCTTCCCTCGACGGATTGTGTCTGCTGCGACTCTTGCACGCTCTCAATCGCCATTGGGGCATACTGTTCCCGCATCTGAAAAGCATGAGCTTACTGTCAGCTCAGGACTTCATCAACAACAAGATCGCCGCGAAAGCAAGCAGGCAGCTGCAGGATCCGCTGGTGATCATGACCGGGAATCTACCGTCTTGGCTGCAACAGATCGCGACTGTTTGGTTAGTGGCGGGCTAATTCGTTCACCTGAACTGAACTCGTAATAGCCTGATGATTAATTGCTCGCACTTACAGCCCGTTCCTCTTCCCGTTCGAGACGAGGCAGCTACTCTTGTACGCGACGTCGTTCGATCGAGATCGAGCTCTTCAGCGTCTTCTGGACTCCGCGCCTGAACTCTCGGGCTCGGACAGTCAAGAGCGCGTCACGCCGCGTTTAGAACGAAGAAAAAGAACCATTTCGAGAACGGACATCCTTAAGCAAGCTGAGCAAGTGATTCAGGACTTGGCATCCAGCAAGGCTCTGCTTGAAGTGCAATATGTAAACGAGGTCGGTCGCCTATCTCCGTCATCAGCTTCGCCAAAGCCCGCGATTAAGCTAATCGACAACTTAGAATTGTCCATTGGTCAAATGTTACCCGCTCTATCTTGCCGACGCACATAGATAAATTATTAGCTTTCCGGTTGTTGTTGAGCGGACAAGTTACAGAGCCGGAAATTGATGCTGGCAATTCTTATTGTTATTCATCGATTAACTTAATCAGATTTTGGCGAGAGTCGTTATCGCAACGTGTTATCGGCACACCGACATCGTCCCCTTCCACCGCGTAATCGCGTGTTGCAGGTCGGCACCGGCCTCGGGCCAACCTTGGAATTTTACGCTCTAGTCTCCAAAGAGCTGCAGCGTGCCGATTTGGACTTGTGGCACGGCAGCTCTAATCCTACCGAGAACGGATACGTCAACCCAGTGCACGGACTGTTTCCTGCGCCGATCCCGTGGAACACCAAGGTGTCTCATTTAGCGAAATTGAAGACCAAATTCAAATTCCTCGGGAAATTCATGGCGAAAGCGATATACGACTCCAGAATGGTAAGAATCTCGCTCGCACATTTGCTCCCTCTTCTTCTTCTTTGTAGTAGTAGTAGAAAGAAAAAGAGAGAGAGAGAGAGAGAGAGAAAGAGAATCTACTTTTAAAACGCTTCATCTTCTTCCCCTCTCTTAGTTGGACTTGCCATTTAGTTTAACTTTCTATCGCTGGTTATTGGGAGAGGAACACACGCTCACGTTAGCGGACTTGGCGCACGTGTGTCCTGATGTGTATCGTACCCTCAGCAAGCTCCAAGACGTTGTCAGGCGAAAAGAAACCATGGAGAAGGACCAGACACTACGGCCGCACGAGAAGACGCAGCTGATTGAAGCGCTCGATTTAGACAACTGTCCGATTTCGGAGTTAGGACTCGTGTTTGAATTGCCGGGTTATGAGAGTATAGAGTTGAGAAAAGGTGGCAGTGAGATACCCGTGAATATTCACAACCTGGATCAATATATCAAGGTAACGCGCGCTGCTGTCCCTTTCTCTTACCCGACGATGCTTTCCCCGGTGAAGTGACACGCGCGATTATTGTGAAATTTCAGTTGGTGGTACACTGGTTTTTGCACGAAGGAGTGTTCAGACAGATGGAAGCTTTCCGGGAAGGTTTCGAGTCGGTATTCCCTCCGTCACAATTGAGGCTGTTCTTCCCGGAGGAGCTGGAAGCGGTGTTCTGCGGACACGCACAAACCGGCGGACAATGGGACGTGAAGACACTCGCAGAATGCTGTAGAACCGATCACGGCTACACGCCCGACTCGCGCGCCATCCGGTTCTTGTTCGAAGTCATGTCCAAGTACAACAGCGAAGAGCAACGACAGTTTATTCAGTTCGTCACCGGTTCGCCGCGTTTACCCGTCGGAGGTGAGTGATTCGCTTTCATCTCCTCCTCGTCGTCGTCGTCGTCGTTATTATTGTTGCCGCTCACGCTAATATGACGGATTTGAATTTCTCACGCAACTCCTGTGTGTTTCGCAGGTTTCAAGAGCTTAACTCCCCCTTTAACGATAGTGCGCAAAACTTTCGATCCATCTATGAAAACGGACGATTTTCTACCGTCTGTAATGACTTGCGTCAACTACCTGAAACTGCCTGATTATACCACCTTGGAAATAATGCGGGAGAAATTACGGATAGCCGCACAAGAGGGTCAGCACTCGTTCCACCTCTCCTAGAAACGGATGGAAAAGTCGGTGCACCTTCTTCATTATTCCCACGCTACCCCGGTTGAGACCAATTATCCCAATCATTTAGAGCCCATGTGTGAAACCCACTGTGTTTCGGCGAGCAAATTCAACGAAAGGACGATTATATTCTTTATACGGATTCTTTTGAAGATACTCTTTTCTTCACGTCTCGAGTGATCGATTGGAATAAATCAGCTTTCTCGGTGTTTATATTTTTACTTGCAGATTTTAATTATTATGTACTCGATTAAGAAGAAAAGTGCAAAGATATTAAGCCGAACCGCGCGAGTTTACTCTCTCTCTCTCTCTCTCTCTCTCTCTCTCTCTCTCTCTCTATCTCTATCTCTCGCGGTGCTATGAACCGGGTGCGAGATCCCGCGACCGACCTCATTTCAGGAAAAAAAGGAAAAAAAAAGAAAAAACTTATCTTCAGTGTGTTACAATAAAAGTGGAAAAAGATTGTAAATATAGTTTAATATACATAAGTCGATATAAATACTTTATATAATAGTAACGGAGAAACGATATTGCTATGAAAACGCTATACTAACTAAATAATGATATAGCCTGAGAGAGGACGTTTACTAGACATAAGTAAAAAATTTTATATCAGTGGTGCATTTAAAAGCATCGCCACAACACGCAACACAGAAGACACAAAACATACCACACACACATATACACACACACACACAGATACAACACGTAAAGACAACACAACTATCATCGCCAACTCCGTGTTCCCACGAGGCCACGAGAAACAAAAGCCACCCACGAGCTAAAATCAGTAAAGAAACGCGCGCGCGCGTGCCACAACGAAAGTGTGCGAGCGTGCCTCTTGTCGTCGGAAACAACGCCAATTCCAGACATAAAATACCCATNTTTTTTTTTTTTTTTTTTTTTTTATCGATCTCTTTGTGTTCGCCGCTTAAGTTCCAGCGTGAGAGAGCACTGCGCGAACACAGGCGTGTGTCGCTCAGCGCTTAACTATAATTTAAGTTTCAATCGATGTATCATCCCATTATTAATATTATTTGATTTCTATTTTAGATAAGGATAGTCCAATTATGTTACATTTATGTAGTTGTTAGGAGTGCAGGCAGATAACGAGAATCGCCGTCATGTGACATGCGTGTGAAAATTTGAGAGGAAAAAATTCCAATACCCACTTACCTTACCCAGGCAAATCGTTTCGTATTTATGGAAAGAAAAAGAAAGGGAAAAAATTGTAAGAGTATTGTATGATATGAAATAGAATGGATATAAAGTAAGAGTGAAGTTGGTGTATGGAATAAGTAATACGAGGTACACACACATTACTTTCTTACGTCTCTGACCGGAGAGAAGCGGAGAGTCTATATAAAATCTGTGAGAATACGAGGCAATCGTGATTTACTCGAGATCGTTAGTTTTTCGAACTTACATCGTCATATTTTGCCGCGTTCGTGTGTAATGAAAGAAGGGGGGGAGGGGGAAAAGCTTTCTCAATTTCGTTGTCGTATTCGCCGGAACAATCAGATTACTCGAAAGTCATGTACATTAATTTCTATCAGCGAAGCGAAAGTACGGTTGTAATTTACTTTATGTCAATATGAATAAAACGTAATGTCTGTATTTTTTAGACATACCACACTCTGTACGTCGATATAACGTTACATTGCCGTTCCGACATTACGTTTTCTCATCTCACACAACGTGGACAATATGAATATATATATATATATATATATATATATATATATATATGTGTATGTATGTATATATATATATATATATATCTGTATAATTACTTTTCTTATTATATATACATATATCTCACTTGATGACGACCTCGCGAGTAATAGTATATTGCGTGAAAAAAGAAAAAAAAATAAACGAGAGTAATCCCCGACGGGCGGAATACGTGCAAGAAAACTTAGGTATTCATCATTATAAAGTGTGTAATGGTTCAGGATACGTGTGATCCACAAACCTATGTCATTACTATTATAAACAAAAGTTATATTTATATCGATTCATTAGTATAAACAAGTTTTACTTTATTCAAATCAGAAGATATTGTTTCTTTTTGAAAGCCTTCAATAAATATAAACACTGTAAACTTGCTCAATATAGGAATATATCTCCTAGACACATCGAATAAGAAGCATAACGCGATTGAGAATTACACAGACGTATTATTATTTTCTACAAAATATTCAAGACAATTAGAAACATACATTTGTATAACTATTTAAATAATTATAACACAACCATTTCCAAAATTGCTCTCAACAACTGTTGTAAACACTGGTCGGAAATGGTAATCTACAACTGTAGTTGGGCCCTCAATATGCTAACAGATATCTTTTCCTTCTTACTGACACATTTTTTAAAGACACATGCTGCACCATCCTAATATAAAACAAAAGCCACCAATCGGCGTTGTTCTCCTGAATCGTCGATCGCTCGTAAATGCGATATAGTAGCCACTACCACAAAACAATAGAATCCCGGAAAGCATAAATGTAGCAGCCTGCAACAGGTGTACATGAACATATCGACACAAGGAATATCCTTATCATTTTCATCAGACATGCAGCAACATTCAACGTACCAAGAATGGGGTTCTGCACAATGGTAGTCCTAACAGAGCTAAGGTATGTATGAAGTGATATTGATTCGCAATTTCGAAGATTCGACGCTGCTCTTGCCCTACTTCGCCCTTGGGGTAATTTCCTAGAAAACAAACGTATTACATCCAAACCTTGCGTTTATACAACAGACAATATGCTTACTATGAAATCCAATGGCACCCAGATACACAGCTGTTGCACCATTCAAAGCAGTAAGCACTACGTACGGTTTATTGGCAGCAGCTAATTTCCACAAAGGTATAGCCAGAGACTTTGCCATTTCTACTGAAACCTTTGGATTCGTCGCTATGTACACCTACAAGAAATGATAGCAGATATGATCTGAAAGAAATTTGACAATTGTAATACTTGACAAACAGTACATGTGTATATTCTATACCAGTAACATTTAGAGCCGAGGTAGCAAATACTTAACACAAATGTAATCTGAGATTTGTGTAAACAAGAAGTTCGTTTCTTCAGTTTTATCGCCGCTTCCAAATGTTCTACTACGTACAATATGTGTAATATTAGAGACAGTGGTAATCAGGAAAAGCATTTAAAGCTGTTTACATAAATCCATGGTAGCAAAAAGTAGCATGACATTACAGTGAACAAATATGGGAACATAAAAAAAAGAGTAACGTCAAAGAGGTAGCTGTTTCAACGTCATTACTCACATTTAACCGTAGTTGATTACATTTCAATTCGTTTGCTCCACGATTACAGAGAAACGCCCGGAATTGTCGCGCTATATGTAATGCGGTAGAATCTGATTTTGTACCTTTTCTTTCTCTTGCCCTATGAATAACTATTTCTTACGAAACACGGCAACCTGCTTTTTCCCATCTGCCTCAATTTTCTTGTCGATATTTTACTTGAATCTCAATCTAAGCCAACGTTTACATGTCAACAAGGTAACAATAGAGACAGCCGACTCCCGGTAAATCCGCTTTCCGCGAAAAGTGGACCCGTTGTGCGGCCAGCAAATAAATAAAGAACGTTGAATAAATATTTTTAATACCCCAAATTTATATTTCTCTCGTGTGATTGTGCTTGCACGATTACACGCAACACTTAAGTGGAACGGGAGAATTATTTTTTTTTTAATACCGAAACGAAAAAGTAAGGTTAAGTAGTGCCAGTAGAAAGCAATTCATATTTAGCGCGTGATCCGTCATATTAATTTAACTTGGAGCTACCAGAGTGCGCTAGAAGCAGGATCGTTGCATTTAGTTTCGCTCGGCTTTTCTCATTCTGTTCTCTGATCGCTTTCGTGACGCTCTTTTTTTCTCATACGCTCTTTTCAGCTAGTGAGCACTAGTGAACATAGCACGTGTGCAGATATGGGTTTTCAGAATATCTGGTATTCGCATCCGCGAAAATACGGTCAAGGATCCAGATCCTGGTTAGTATAAAATTGTTTTCTGCCGATTTATCTTATATCTTTCGACGGTAGTTTGGTGCAACAAATGAGATATTCGCGATCGAATTCGGCCGATCAGTGAGCGCATAACCATAAATATCGTAATCTCGCGGCAGTCACGAAAATTTGATCTAAAGCGAAAATTTCAGCCCCTGTAAAAGGTATGTAAATGTACCTGTAACGCGTAATCCAACTTATAACTTAAAGAAATATTTATTCTAACCTCGAAAGTATTAACCATGTGATTACGTTGTAAGACAAACACTTGGAGTAAGTTTTCCCTCAAACTTAAAGCTTGCCTAAATATTCCATATCAATCAAGAAGCAATATTGTGTATTACCCTTTATACCAATTATAAAAGCCACATATAATTGTCTTTATACATATCTCTCAAGCTATATTATTCCATACCAATAATATTATTCTATATAAGCTTATCAGTAATTAACTTATAATTACCTTAATTAACTTTTAATTACCTTAGTGATTAACTTATAATTGATGAGCCTGATTTATAAGTATAGATGTACATGTTGATTTTAACACATTTGTTTTTGTTGTAGCCGTGCCTGTGCGAATAAACACGGGCTTATTCGTAAGTACGGTCTGAACATTTGCCGACAGTGCTTCAGAGAATATGCGGCAGATATAGGTTTTAAGAAGGTAAATTCCAATATCGATTTGTTCAATTCATCATGGAATAAATGCCAAATTTTGCAATATATTTTCTTCTTACAGTTGGACTAACACAGCCAATGTAATCAATTTACTTGATATGGTGGGCATCTTTTATCCTTGAACCTACTGCGAGAATGGAGCGCAAGGAGGAACGATGTAAAATATTAAATATATAATTGTAAGATCTTGCACTTGTCGTGCAATCTAAAATACATGTTTGTCATTCTGTATCTGTACATTTTGTATCTACCTATTTATATTCTATACACCATACAATGAACATGATCCCTGTGGTCACACACGTGTGATACATTGATACCCTTTATGCATGATAGCAGCATATATATATAAATATAGNATCCAGAAATAAGGTTCCCATCAATTTTACAAAATAGACAACATTGTTTATTCTCATAGAAATTTACATCGTTGGAAAGATGAAACTTTGCTCTATTTTTCTACATAATCGCCATCTTATTCTACGCATTTTTGTAGACGGTGCTCCAATTTCTGTATCCCAATGTCGTAGAACTCCGCCGCCAACTCGTTGAGGAAGCGTTTCACCTCTTCTTTGACTTCATCGTCGCTCCGGAAGCGTTGGCCACCCAAGTATTCCTTTAACTTGGGGAACAAGTGATAATCACTAGGCGCGAGGTCCGGACTGTAAGGTGGGTGGGGCATGACAGTCCCACCCTAAGTGTGTCAAAAGTTCCTGGGTGTGACGGGAGACGTGAGGTCGTGCGTTGTCGTGAAGCAGCGTTACACCGGCTGTCAGTCGTTCTCACCGGCGGTTCTGGATAGCTCGCCTGAGTTTTCTCAATGTTGCACGGAGCGACAAAGAAGAGGTGAAACGCTTCCTCAACGGGTTGGCGACGGAGTTCTACGACATTGGGATACAGAAATTGGAGCACCGTCTACAAAAATGCGTAGAATAAGATGGCGATTATGTAGAAAAATAGAGCAAAGTTTCATCTTTCCAACGATGTAAATTTCTATGAGAATAAACAATGTTGTCTATTTTGTAAAATTGATGGGAACCTTATTTCTGGATCAACCCTCGTATATATAAAATCGCGTCTACGATTAATTAATTTACCGCATGTAACATCGATTATTCATTTTATTTTATTAAATGTATTTGAAAAAGCACAAGGAATTTTAATTTTTTGTGAAAAGTTTTACTATCTCTGAATATGCGCCCAAGACTGAAATTAAGGTAAATTTTAGGTTTTATGTATGTAATCATGTAACTTTCTTGTTCCCCCAAATTATATGATTTTATGTGATTGTAGTTAATTACAATTATACATTTTTCTTAGGAAACAGAAGAAAATTTGTTTAATGCAAAAGTAATTTAACTCAAAGCTATCTTAATCCTTAAGCAAATAAATCGAGCTAAACTCTCGACTGAATCGCGCATGAAGCTCTCCGGTGAATGGTCCCCGTCCACTGATGTCCCACGTGGAAGGCGGTCGGTCAAACGGGGATAAGTTACAGCGAACGGTACTTTCACACGATGTACTATCTCGCTCGAAAGTAAACACGCCTCGGGACGCCAGTCGGGCTCTTCCTCGCTTGAAACCAGGATTATCATGTCGCCTGAAAAGGAACACGAAAATGAGCCGGGCAAAGAGGTACGACGCGCGGAAGGTTGTTCGAAGGCACGTCGCAATGAAAGACGAAGAATTAAATCCGTAATAACGTGCATCTGTACGAACGAAACCCGACCTGCCAACGAGATTTCGTAAGTCTATTTGGATGGACGACCTGTTGCAGGAAGCGGAAGAATGCACTGTGGGAGAGCGAGTTATGAGCCTGAGGGTGAAGACTGTGCTGAAGATTCTTCTATCTTCCGTAGCGGGCCCGTTGATTCTCTACGGTATGTTTCTGACGCACCAACGTTACCAGACGCGCGCGACACAGCCGTCCGAGGTGAACGTCGGGGAGGATCGACTGAGGTTCTGGGTGTACGCCAGGCGCAACGATACCGGCTACCTGAAGCATGTGCGCGCGGTATTGTCGCGACTCGGTTTTCGCGAGAGCGACAACGAGCCCGGCTGGGACCTGCTGTGGGCCCACGACTATCCGTTCCACAAGTTGTCCGCGAGTCTGCACAGGCTGCAGCAGCATCAGCGTGTCAACCATTTCCCCGGCTGCGGCTACGTCACGAACAAGGTGGATCTGTCGATATCGGCCGGTCGTTACATACCGGCCGCCTTCCGGATGCCCGACGACCGGGAGAGATTCCTCCGTTACGCGGACGCGAACCCCACTAAAAAGTTCGTGCAGAAGTTGAACGATCACCGGGGTATCCGCTTGGTCGACAGCCGCAACGCCAGTCTCACCGATGGCATCTTCGTGCAGGAGTTCGTCGAGCGACCGTACCTCGTAGACGGCTACAAGTTCGATATCGGCCTGTACATCGTCGTAACGTCCGTCGACCCGCTGCGGCTCTACGTCTACAAGGGCGACGTGCTGTTCCGTTTCTGCCCGATCGCGTATCATCCCTTCGATGCCGAGGTAGTGACACTCATGGCAGTCGTAATGCAGATTAAAAAATGCGTTAATTGTAATTTATCAATATTTATTTATCCTATTCTACAATAATAAATTAATATATATTATTTAAGTCATATATATTAATGGTGCAAAACAAACAACGTACATGGGTTCATCACGCATTCTTATCTGCGTGTCAGCTGGCATTGTCTCCTTTAGCTTTCTAAATGATTCTTCCTTTTATTTTTTCTTCTTGACCTAACTCGACCGCAGGTCCTGGACAAGTACGTGGTCGGCGACGATTACCTGCCGATCTGGAAGGTGCCGTCTTTGAAGAAGTACTACGTGGAGCTCGGTTACTCGATGAAGAACTCGTTCGATGCTTACGTCCGGGAGCGGGGCGAGGACCCTGCGAGGATGTGGGAACGAGCATACGACGCCATCCGGGAGGTCTTCCTGATGAAAGAAGCTCAGATCAGGGAGGTCTCTAGGCGTGTTGGCAACGGCAGGAACTTCTTCGAGCTCATGCGATTCGACCTGGTGCTCGACGAGGACCTGAACGTCTACACGATGGAGGCGAACATGTCGCCGAATCTCTCGTCCGCGCATTACCCGCCGAATCAGCTGCTTTACGAGCAGGTCATATTCAATACACTCGCGCTGGTCGGTGTCGGCAATAGGGTCAGGAGGAGATCCCCGAGGATCAGGTGAGCGCGAGGTCCAACGAGGGAGTGAACTAGTTCAGCAAAAGAAGAAGAGGAAAGCGATTAATATTCTAAATAGCCAAACCTGCGGAAGCAAATTTTGCGTAGTATTTCTGCTGTATAGTTTTGAGGTTTCAGAAAAAAATCGTAATTTTCCCGCGGATTCCTTCGGTTTCTATCCCAAGGGTACAAAAAAATGCGTTTGGAATCGAGTTTGCTGGCAATCTGCTAGCAGATACTGCCACCATTTTGCTTGTTGTCAATAATATGTATTATTGACGCGTTCGTGCTGCAGAAGTAGAGCGGAGGAAGAAATGGAGGTAGCAGACAAGAACATCGTGGTGTTGCCGGAGCTCTGCAGAGAATGCGACGATTGCTTCCGCGTGGAATGTCAATTGTGCAGGCCGTGTTTCACACCGGAGACTCGGCTGATTTTGTCGCAGAGTTATTTGGAGCACGAAAACCGGATGGACTTTCAACGAATCTTCCCGCCTTCCATAGTGAGGGTGACTTTCATCGAATTCCGATCAAACTAATCAACGATCTAAAATTGCTGTCAACCAAATTATCTGCTCCATCTTGCTGACGCAGATAGAAATGATTAATTCTTCGATTGTTGTTGAACAAGTTGCGGTGCTGACAATTCTTATCATTAACCGTCGATTAGTTTGATCAGAGTTGGATGAAAAAAATTCCTATCCGTGTTATCGTCTCTTCTCGCGTCATTTTTAACCGAATATATATCATTTGCAGGAAAAGGACATGGTTACGAAGGACTACACGCTGAGAAATCAATTGCTGATTCGGTGGTACCAGGGAAAATGCGAATTAGACAAGACGTGGTGCATTTGACACGCGAGGATATCGAGCAAATCAAAAGTATATCCAGAGGATCCCGACACAGTGTTCAAGATTTATTTCTGACCTGTTTCTGAGAGCGTGTGTAAAAGAGTATATATAGTTTTTAAGTTTCCGGCAGGATCGCGCAAGAGGACCAATCAAAAGAACAAATTAAGGATGTACGGAACACACGCAATAGATAGAAACCAAATTAACATTATCAGATTCAACAATATCGTTATCGCTCTACTTGTATATTGTACAAAGAATAAAGGGGCTGCATATGATTCGTCACGATTGAGTGATATGTTGACGTGACAGCCGCCGAAGATGAAATCAAACGTACTTCATACAATTTACTGGAATGATATACGTAAAATCAAGTATAAACGCGACAGTTTTGTAAAAACGTAAAAAAGAGAAAAAAACACGTGAGAAATTACTGGTTTTCTGTCAAGACAACGGTTTCCTTTGCTTTGCGTCCCTTCTTGTTGACCTTCGATTCGGGTGCGTTGGGGTTCGAGCCTTTGTAGAAGTCTTTGAGCAATTTCATTGCCTCGTCCGCCTTCACATCCCCCTGTATCGTTGTCTTCGGCTCGTAAAGGCTCGGTATCTCGAGGACGCTGCGGCAACCGCCGAATCGATCGTTCGCACAGCCATACACGATACTGCGTACGCATAGCTGAAGCAACGCCGACACGCACATTATGCACGGCTCCACCGTGACGATCACGTCGAGATCTTGAAACACCGTCTCGTGGTCCAGCTGCTTCTCTCTGCAGAACCTCAAGACTTGGTCGATACAATTGATCTCCGCGTGACGTGTCGCATTGCAGGTCTCGTTCACCGTATTGTTGCCCGTTGCGATCGCCTCGTTGTTATACACGAACAGACAGCCCACGGGAACCTCGCCCTTCCGCAGGGATTCCTCCGCCCTTTGTAACGCAACGTCCATCCAAGCCGAAGTATCCATGCCGGCGGACATTGTCATATCATCCATCGACGATGATGATGTAACTTAATTTATTTTTTTCCGTGTTACAGAGTGCTAATTCGCGATTTAACGAATTACGAACTCGTGAAAAACAATCATACGAGACTTCTGACGTCTCACTTCACGAAAAAGTATGTTGATCCTTGTAAAAAAAAAAATTACAGAGGTATCGTCGTAAGGAAATAAATACCAATTTTGAAAATGTATGTCTTTAAGTGGTCGTCGTATATCGTGCGCATCTTGAACACACTTTGCAATTACACACTGCGCACGTTTTAAATATTCACAGTTTCGAAAAACTTCTCCAATTTCAACTCGTTCAACTGTTGCATAGCTTTCTCATCCCAGTTTGTGTTGCCTGCAGCTCTTGGGCTGGGATGTGGCAAGTACATCACCTGAAAAGGTCACGATAATGATCAGAAAATCTCGATGTATCAGCATTGAAGGTGATAAAATATAAATAAGATGCAAAACGATATATACATATATATTACCTTAACATTAAGATTCCTTGTTTTGAGAGCTAACTGTGCCCTTGTTTCAGCATACTTGCCAATGCCAACGATAAACTCCGCATTCAAGAGCCTCACAACGTCCACCAAGGCCTTGTCGCATATCCTGTGCAAAAGCTGTATTCCCTCACCCTGAAAAAGATATCAAACAGTTTAGCATGCGGAAAAGCATACGATGAAAGAAACAATTGCCTTTAATTCTGCCGGCGTGACGTTGCAGGCTCTGTCATTTAAGAATGCAAGGGGGCAATAATTGTGCACATATGCGTTTTGAAAGAAGTTCTCAGGACTGCCGCACAGTTTCTTAAAGAGACCCCACAGTCTTCGTCCACTGGGCTCGCTACGCCTACATTGGAATCCTGTGATCTTCCGATCGGGATGTTCTTTCGGTGGAGTGCCGACAGAGCCAGAAATCTTAAGCCAGTCGCGCACCATGGTAACTTCTCCAAACGGCACGCCGGTTTGCGACATGCCCCAAGGCCCGGGATTTATCCCGAGGAAGATGACCTTCTTTGGGCCGTTGCAATATTTACGTACATACATGGCGTGCGGGTCAAACGCGTACTCGAGCGGATTGTAAATGTATCGCACCACCGATTGAAAGGTGATACGTTGCACCTCGGCGCTGAGCTGTTTCTCAATCGACAAAAGTTTCTCGGCGATGGACTCCGAGATTGTATGTGCAACTGTGTCTCCATTCTCTTCTGCATTCCGTTCAGCATCCAGATCTGCTGGAGCCTCGTCGTTTAACTTCGGCGAATCTGCATCCGCTCGTTTTAATCTTTTCGTGCGAGGATTCACCGGCGCATCTTCGCTAGCCATTCTTTTCTGGCGAGGCATAATCGCTTTCGATCGGGTATCAACTCAAAACGGTTAACAGGTATTTTGGAGAATACGGTTTTATCAATAGTTTACCAACAGTTATCCTGAACACTTTATCATACTATATCTATCGTATTGCATATACTTCAGCTAACGCGAGTAGTTATCACGTATCGGTGAAGTGTTTTTACGTATTGTTACGGGAAAAATTGGAATCGAACTTCGAGATCAAATTATGATTGTTGACACCATTAGATCACAACGTTATGGATGTTATATGAATTACTGCAGATTCAAAGAGGAGCTTCGATGACGCGTAACAGTTCAAAAAGTCGACTTTCGCTACCTATCGTTTTTCCGTTACACGCATAAACAAAGAAGAGGGTAGCTCACCTATTCCCGCTGGAATTGTGTGAAATGCATTCGCCGGTTGCACTCTTTACACTATGTCCTATTTTCTCTTCCTTCCTCTAAAGAGCAAACATAGATCTGTAGTGTTTGAGAACAAAGCTACTACAAAAAAACGTGTAAAAAGTGCACTTCACAAGTGACTTCTCTTTCCCTTTCCAGGATTTATCTGTGATTTAGGGTGCGATCTATTAGACGCTGCAAATACTTCGAAGCGTCGTATAGACCAATCATGGCTTTTCTTTGGGCATTTCAAAGAGGTTGCAGCATCTACTGGATCGCACTCTTATTGGAAATATTGTTGAATCATTCTATGCGAAAAATAGAAGAACGCCTGACTTTTCGATTAGTTCGGATCTACAATAGGTGTAGTAAGTCTAAAGGCCAAATCACACTAGCGATTGCCGATTGAATTGCGATTGAGAGTTGGCAAATACTTTTCAACCGATTAAAGTAAAACGGGTCACCTATTGCTTCGTTCTGAACAGGATTGTTTAGCGACATCTAATGATGTCACGAGAAACCCGAATGACGCGATGTTCGAGTTTCTGCTAAGGTTTGAATCTCGGCTAAACGACCCGTTGTGAATGGACCCGTTACTTTTTTTTAGTTCCAAACTCTCCGCTACGAGTCGCCATTGTCTTAATGAAAATCCGAGAACGTAGTATGACTCGATGACATATCGGACACACTAACGTCTGCATTTTTGTACGTTTTTGACAAGTGTATTAATTATTGATTATTCGAGAAAGTGTCACAATCTTACAAAGTAACTAATTTGTGGTAGCTTACGTGTGACATGTGTTAAAAGTGACCTGACAAATGTTAAAAACTGATGTCTGTGTAGTTCTTTTCTTGCGAGTAAACCGGAACAAAGTTAGGTTAGGTTAATCGAGTGTGTGTTTCAGTATAATTGTACAAATACACGATGGAGAATCAAAATGCACAGTCTGTCAAGAGTAATAATCCTGCCCCGACGGTGGAACAGATTAACGCGGACAAGATCACTCAGGTATATTCTCACTTTGCTAAATTTACATGCAAATACAGCATCTTGCGTTCTAAGAGATTTTCTTCATGAGACGACCGTTTTGTTTTTAACCTTTGCTATGATTATTTTATGATTAAATTTTTGTGGCTTTCTGTTGTATTGCAGCTCGCAAATAAATACTGGGCACCTCACACTACAAATACACACCTAGCCTTCAGTTCTCATATAGTGGAAGATATTTATGTACAAGAAATATGCACATCCAAGTTCTCTATTCGGAGGATTATGATGTTGGAGTTTAGCCAGTACCTGGAGAACTTTCTGTGGCCTAATTATGACGCGGAGAAAGCTACACGAGCGCACACCATGTCCATTGTTGTCATGGTAAATGAAAAATTCAGGGAACGAGTACAAGTATGGGAAGCATTTGAAAAGAATCCGACACACTTTGCTGGATTCTTCCAAAATGTTCTGGAAGCATGCTTAGAAGAGAGTATAGCAGACTTTGACTTGAAGGAGCAGACAGCATTGATAGTGTTTCTGAATCATTGTTTTAACTCGATGGAAGTATCATTGGTTAGAGAGGAAGTGAAGAGATTGGTGTCACTCTCTATGTGGATTTCCTTGCAACAAGGCAGAAGGGAACTAGAGTTTAGGAAATATCCAAAATGGAGAAAGTATTGGAAAATTATAAGAAAAAAAGATAATCTGGAACATAAGGAAAAACTTGAATGGGAACGCAGATTCTTGCATAAACTGATGATAAAGTTTATGACGATATTGGAAACAATTCCTGCAGAAGGTATGTCTAGTTATTGTGTTATCTTGAATTTCAATTTATTTTTTGAGAGAATGCAATCATTTATATAATTATGTGTATTAAGCTCTTGATAAAATTAGAAATTTTGTAAGTCCTTTCTAAACTAGATTCTTGAATTCTTCTCATTTAGGTAATTAAATTGCGCGATTGAATTATTATCTTTAACTATGTACTTGTATCTTTTGCAGGATTTGTGATAGCGGACAAAGTGCGCTATTGCGAAAGATTCCTGGAGCTGATTATCGACCTGGAGGCCTTGCTTCCTACTAGACGTTTCTTCAACACCGTTATGGATGACAATCATCTAGTGGTGCGTTGTCAGCTGTCCAATCTGCTACATCGTCCAGAGGGTAGCCTGTTTGGCCAGGTGAGTCTTTACAAAACGTTACAAAAAATACATACAAGGCGTGTGAAATAATTTAATTTGGGATATCGACTCGAAATTACTTATCGAAGCTTTATATTTCTCATGTACAAAAATTTAATCGTCTCATAGACATAAATACTACACAAACATATCGTTAAAAGTATAATATCAGTTAAGGCTTCGTCACATATATATTTAACTATATTGCGCAATACGCTTGCATACACCTGAACACCGTCTCTATCAGTCGGTAATGTTAGTAATATTGCACAATATAAATGACTTGACGTTTAGAATCAGTACATTTGTGTGAGGACATGATACACCATGAACATCGATACATGCATGAATGCTAAGGTAGACGTGTCGGAATTATGAAGCGACAGAGGTACAATTGTCGAAAAGCATCTCGATAAGGCAGGAAATTGATTTTTGCTTTAAGGCACATACAATCACCAAACATGAGAGACATCGGAGTTCACCGAAGATGCAATACGCAATTTCGCCAGTGCCGTGTTCTTCGTGTGTCGACTCGAGCATGTTGATCGATCATTTCACGTACAATCTCGCTACGATGATCTTGTGTATTGTGATCTCCTTAGAGTTCCCCCTTCAATTTGCAAAGTCGCCCGACTTCGTCTCGATTTTCATATCGATTACTTTGATTACGCATCATTATTTACAATACGCGATTGCCGTATTTTTATATCCCAGTATTGTCTCGAGTATTTATATACGTATATTGTTACGTATTCTCCGTTTGCACGCTTCGGGCCTATCTCTATACAATAACGCTATTACACTCATAATACTGTTTCCTTCTCGAGCAGAAGACACATCCACGCAACTTTTCAGTCCAGATCTAGAATAAGTGTAATGTACACCTTTAGCCTTTCGCTTCAGGCGGTAAAATGTGACGTAAATTCTGACGTGACAACGCTTGACTCGTTGGAACTGCGACGTCCGGTAGCGCTGGAAACGCTTTTGTTGGAAATTACGTTACAATGTGATGCTCCGAATTAAAGGACTAAAGGCTTATTGTAGATCGGTACTAATACTTTACAAAGAATGCATTTTGGTTTCAAGACATACGGGGCGATCTGGAGGAAGGTCTCGGAATGTCGGAGCACACTCGCGGCCTTCGCAAGAACCAACGAGAAAAAAACGATCGATCAACGCGAGTTGTATTGGCAAAAATCGGGGATCGTTTCATTTCCCCGAAAAGATCAGTCGGTATTTTCTTCCGACTCGCGTTGATCAGATATGCGTGTGTGTATCTGCTTCTTTCTGAGCACCGCGCGTTCTGAGACAAGTCTTTCCTCAGATCACCCCGTACACGTGTATATCTAACGAATATATGCGAGAAAACTTGCGAAAGGTGTACAGCGATGAGCTCTCGAACACGATCGATACGAAGAATATATATTCTCAATCCGACCGCGATCGCGACCGTCGTCACTCGTGCTTCGGCGATCGGAATGTTTCCTCGTACGCGTACTCGAACGAATCAATAGCCGGCATTGATAGCCGTCATCTCCTCGCCCCAGTCGAGGCCCTCGGTGGTGTCACCGTAATTGCAGCAGTTGCACGTTTTCCCGAGCAGAAACGTGACCCTGCGCTGGCCGAACACGCAGACGTAGAGCACGAGCAACGCCTGCGACAGATTCACGACGATGTGGCAGTACACCAGAGCGTCGTACTTGAGCTGCGACAACAGCAGCGAGATCCAACCGGCGCTCATGATCACATACAAGAAAACGAACATCCTGAAGCTGTACTTCATCTTGTGGTGAATCCGGCCGTACGTGCTCATCCGCTTGATGCGATTCGCCGTGGTCAGCACGAGGCAGAGGTCGATCATGACGGTGAAGGCGATGCACATGAACATGACGGTGATGCCGAGCCAGCCCATCGTCTCCTGCGCGGGATAACTCATGCCGCCTACGGTGGGCTTGTCCGTCTCCAATGCGAAGTGGGCGAACATCGCGGTGCCGGCGATGCACGCGACCAGGCCCCAGACCCACGACGAGTAGTAGCAGTACTTCTTACCGTCGGTCACCCTCAGGAAGACGTTGCGCGACTTGAACGTGTTCCACACGTAGTAGCCGAGGGTGCTGAGCCAGAAGAAGGCTGCCATCAGGGAGACGTACATGACCGTGTCTGGAAAAGAGAAACTTTGTTGTACTCTTCTCGGTCGCGTTTCTCGAGTTCAAACCGGCGAGTCCGAGCAGCTATTGTTAATTGCCCTTTCCGTCTTTCGCGTGCGTTGACCGCGCTCATATTAAATCGTGACTCACGCGAGTTTTAACACCAACGCGACTATGATACCGCCGCGTCGAGTTACGTCTAATGTATCATTAATTGCATTTGAGAAATCGGCCGATAGAGACCGTACGGCCAATAGAGAGTCTGCAAAACTAGGTGAGAGATATTACCTAGATAGACAGAGAAAGATGTAATTAGATGAGAGAAGTTTTCTCCTACACACTCGGAGAAAAACGCACAGGCAATTACAAAGATGACAACTATAGCTTTATATATATAGAATTAATGCATATAGTTTAATCAGCGATATCTAAACGTTACAGCATAGGAGAAAAGCGTTAGATTCAAATGAATCATCACTCTGACTTTCCTCCGGCAAGTTTTTACTTGGATTAAGTAAATTAGTAGACGTAGTTATCGCCTACATTTCTCTCTGAATGCAGAATACACCTTTCTATTTGAAGAACGTCTCAACTTGAGCGAAGCGTTTTTCTTTAAATAAAATATTCTTGAAAAGGTACGTTCCATATGAAGAATACTTTGTTAGAACGCTCTTACAAAGAGCCCAGCTTGTCTCTCGCGGACGGAACTCTGAAGAATGTACATGTACATCTCGCTCTGTCCGACGAAGGAGGAAAAGTGCATGCCTACCGGCGATCAAGAAGCTGACGTGATTGCCGAGCTCGGTGAATATCCTGACGGTGGAGGCGCACTGGTTAGCCACGAGGCACAGAGTCATGCTGGTGATGATGTTACCGACGAGATCGCGCAGCTGCGGCAGCACGAAATAGACCACCGCGACTATCAGGTAGCAAGCCATGGATATGGCGTGGAAGGCGGGATCGACCGCGTGCCTCAAGAGGTAATTCGTGTCGGACCAACGCACGGCAACCGTCGGCACGCACAGCATCGCGTACATCGCCACTAGGCCATCACCGTTCAGCACGGCCTTGTCGGCGCAATAATGACCGAACTGATAGTCGTGGTATATGCTCTCGGATTCGTCGTTTTCGCTCGCCCCGTAGACCTCCTGTTTCTCGTCCATGCCTCTGGCCAGGTCGACGTAGTGGCGCAGCACGCCGGACGGCAAAATCGCCAGGCGGTCCGGCCCGGTCGGGTAATAATACACGTGCCATTGGTGTTCATCGGAGGCGCACCGGGGCCGGCCGATCTTCAGCTCGTACTCGGGCTCGACGAACTTGGAGCTTGGAGCCGAGGCAAACTCCGGCCGCCACTTGGTCTCGTTGGTCTCCTTCAGCGGCGTGCACCGGTCGTCCATCAGGATCTCCTCGGGCTCGCAACACTTGCCGATGCTCACCGCCGCGTCGCCGGCCGTCCCGGCGAGTGTCCTCGTACTCGCGGCCCAGAAGACGATCGCGAGTGACGTCAGCAGGCTCCTCGTTGGATACATGACGCCGGGCCTCTGCTCACGCACTCTCACGTTCGCCGCATCCGCTCGCTCGCTCGCTCGCTCGTTTCTTCGTCGCTCGTCTTCACCGGAGAGGAAGTCGCCACCGTGTCTCTGTCCGTCCGATCGATCGTTTCGCGAAGCGCTCTCTCGTCCGTCCGTCCGTTCGTGAGTCACTAGCTCATTGCGACACAATGTCGATGAACGATATGCGCGCTCGTGCTCGCCTAACCATACCTGGCTACCTGCCTACCTACCTACCTACCCCTGCCAAAGGCCGCCGCCATGACATTCCCGCTCCCCGTCACATCCAGCTGCTGCTGCCCATCCTCCTTCTTCTCCCCACCGTCTCCTCTTTCGCCTGTCTGTTCTGCGGCGTGCCGCCTGCGAGACGCACGGCAGTACGCAGTCGTCACACGCCACGCTCTGTTTTCGTTTACCGACTCATTTCTGTCATCGTGATTTAAATTCATTCAAGATCAAACGCGCGTCGAATGTATACAATGTTTCTCGCANTTTTTTTTTTTTTTTTTTTTTCTTTCGAAATAAGAGACCTGTAAGAACCGAACGCTGGTTTCATCGCAAGCAATATCTGGAGTTCGGCTCTCATGCACCGTTCATTTTGCACATTTTGATCAAAGAGACTTTTGTTTCGTTTAACCTTTTCTTTTTTAGCGAAGTTAGATGAACTTTCCATGACTGTTGTTATTTTTAACGGGTGACGATCTACTGAATTTTTGAGGAATGATGATATTTTGAGTATGCGAAAGTTTCAGGATCCATCGGCAACTCGACTTAGCCACGCGAGGAATAAGACGAGTTTTGAGTCTTGCGGCTTTGCGCATACTTTAGTGCTCGAGGGTTGTTACACGAGCACGCGTTTGCTCGTCGATTCAGGACATATTGATAAGGTGATATGGGACATCTGGTGAAACGTAGAATTATCAGCGGACGATAACGTTATGATAAGTGCACATGGGAGCCGTAAATTATCAGATTGATTGGGAAGTTCGTTCTTATTCCTCTGTTTTTTTTTAACACCGATAACGATGGTCGTTGTTGACCTGCGTCGAAAAATCACACTCCAGACGCATCCCGTTTTCTTCTAAACGCGTTGGTCCCACATTATCGAAATTATTCTTATCGAAATTATCATTATCTTTTGACCTCTAGCGCTTAATACGTGAGCAATCGCAGGAACGATCCCCCGCATATGACAGCACGCGTTCCAGCAATCTTATCCGCAAAGTGTCACATTTACGTAGAATGATTACGGATTACGAAATAGCGCGAGATAGTATTTTTTTCGGGTAACGGCGTTAATAAAGCGTACGTAAAAAGAGAGATCGGCGCGCATAATCGCGCCTCCCCACGGAGAGGACCTCCGCTTTCTCTCTCTCTCTCCTTCATTTTTCGCGACTTTTCTCGCTCCACTTTTCGTGTTCGTCGCTCCTTCACGACGAACGCGTCTGTTAGCCTCGTGACGCTAACGACGCACATTAATACCGCACACGTTTCTTTTGTCACGTACTCTCCGAGAAAACATTGAATTACAAGCAGGTACATGACAGCGCGCCACTGTATATAGAAACCACGTGCCGTTGGGCGCCGAGGACAATAGTTTTTCTCTCCGTGCTCAGAAAGCATATCTCGTGTAGCTGAATAGGCGAAGATTCGGTGATGAGAAATGAGATCTCTGTTAACCGTGACCGAAAACATTCGTCCGAACGTTCGGCTGTGCGTTAAAACTCAGTTGAGATGTCCGAATACAATCGTTCGGGCGGAGAAGCCTTCCACGGCGATCTTTTCGTTCCTGCAACCGAGTTTTCCGTCTGGTCCCCTTCGATTCAGTGACACTAATGGAATTGTTTTTTTCCGTGCGAAAAAATGCTTCCTTCCTGCAATTGAATATGTATGAACACTCGGCGACAAAAAATGATAAAATTGAAAGCGATTGCCTGTGGAATAGAAGCTTCTGCAGAAGTGTTTCTGTTTCTACAACAGAGTTTTCCCCTGGTCTCTAAACAGCGGGAAATCCAGTTACATCGACGAAATTGTTTTTTTTCCCCCTAGATCCGCCTGATGTTGCTTGCGTTCAGCAGGAAAAATAGCTCAGTGAGCGTTTAATGATTATTGTTCCTAATTGGTATATTCCCATGGATTTATCAAGTATCCGAAAGAACACTCCAGTCACAAACGATAATCACGAAAGGCCAGTTTTACAACCTCCGATTAAATGTCAACTGAGATCGGTCACTTCTGGTCAGTTCAGCTTAATGCGAAGTGCGATTCGTCAATTCCATTGGATTTAATCAGCCGGTTAAATTAATCAGAGGTTGTGAAACTGGCTCTAAACGTTCATTGAGCTTCTTTCTCCGCTCAACACAATCATTGTCTATCGTCGTATCGAACTTCCGGCATCATCGTAGATCAATCTTCACATTTCCAGTCTGCCGATATTACCGCCGTTCGCACGCCTATACAAATGATAACATCTGCGTGCACGCTTCCGTTGAAAACACTCTTGATCTTCATCTTTGTCCGAGCGATCGCCGATCACACATGCGCGCTGCTTTATTATTAAATCGTCTCGACATTATTTATAGAATGCAGTAAAAAGAGCGCGACTTCTATCCGTTAGTTATCAAGCACAGCCTCGTACAATCATGCGAAGAAACACGTCGATCACGATCTATGCTCCCGTTTTTACGCGAGTGTCCGTCGATACGCAATCGCACCTTTGCGCTGCGCTCGAACGCGTTCGGTTCCTGAGAGCCTCTGAATCACCGCGACCACCTGATATTTAGGCCTCGAAGCGGAAATTCTAAGAGTCTCTACCGTGAGCGACAAGTTGATGCTGGTTCAGAACACCTTGTACAATCTGTATCAACGAGCGTGATCTAAGTGGGTGACGGCGTGATAAATTACGCGTGAAATTAACGGAAGTAGGACGAAACGGGGCGGTCGGAGGTTCGACGCGGAGAGATTATCTTCTTTCTTTCTCTCTTCGCGCAGAACTGTTTTCGAGACTTATTATTATATGGGTGCGGGGGCGGGAGATCTCCTTATCAGATACTCAAAATTGGTGCCACCGAGCACGCGCCGCGATATATATATATATATAAAACACACGGCGTAATATCGCGGGCGGTGAGAGCGTCCGGTAGCCTTCGGATCGTTACTACAAGAGTGGCCTTAACCGTATTTACCTTTCGATAATTCGTCATATTCCCGCCGATCGCGCACCTATACAAATGACATCTGCGTGCACGCTTCCATTGAAAACACTCTTGATCTTCACCTTTGTCCGAGCGGTCGCTCGATCACACGTGCGGCGCTGTTTTGCTGCCTCATCGGTCCCGAATTTTTCGAAAGGTTCGCTTTTATAATTTCTTCCCTTTTTCGAAAAACCCTCGCGCATCTGCCTGTACGTTCCTGCCGTGGTCTGCGCGTCTCGAAGTTGGACGCGTATGCGTCTCTACTTTTTTCGATAGATAGATTTATAGGCGAAAAAAATAGGATGGCAAAACAAGTCGCGACGGGCGGGGATTAATGTCGAAGGTTAATGTTTGGTTCTCGGCGAGTTTGCTTACGCAATGTTGACGAATATGTAGACGCGCGCGCGATGAATAACTCATGTGCACGAAGATATCTCTCGCCTCGCTCGATAACGGGGTTTAGCGCGAAAAGACGACGCGAATGTGTGAATGAGAGAGGGAATCTACGTGTTTTCGCGGGAAATCGCGGAGATCCGCGACTCAGTCGCGTGACTCGTTTCGTCGTAAAACGCTTCCGTGATTGTAACTAAGCGCGATACCGTAACTGAATCACATCCGCCAAGTCCGGCTTTAATCACGGGCGACGTGAATTACGCATCCCATGAGTAATATATATATATATATATATATATATATAAATACATATACATGTCGTGCACTCTCTCCTGTATTTCTAACTTTTCTCCACGTACACAAGAGTAAGCCGATTCGATTCCGACTCATTACATAACTTACGGAGATTCTTCAGACAATGTCACATCGCGCGATCGCCTTCGCCGCGAAATGTTTCTCTATGCTAATCGTGGAGACAACAAAGCGCATTCCGCGTGGCTGTAATGATCGAAAGCGTACATACGCGCGACTTAATAATCGACGGGCGCGACAATAGTCGCACTATTATCTGTGCATCGATCGTCCACACTACGTGGCACACGTGACAATCCTTGCGAGATTGCCTACCGCCCGTCTCGTCGACGACGATGTTTCTTTGTATTAAATGCACAGGTACGATATATTCCTTATGC